ATTAGAGAGGAAAGCTTTAACGTTCAAGTGTGATCAATATAAGTTAAAAAAAAGCCTTAGCGTGTTTGTCATCATGAGGAAAAATTTAAAAAAAATTAATGGAGGGAATAAATGGAGGTAAGAGGGAGAGGGGAACTGATGGAGGAAAGAGAGGAAGGAGCTTTCCCTCTAAAATTAGATTTAAAAAATTAAAAAAAAACGGAGACACGCACACCTGTTTATTTTTAAAAAAAGGGTTTTATAAATGTTAGCTTAAGCTTTAATTTATTTTTTTAGTGAAAAAAGGGGGGAAGTTTGGGAGGGGGAGGGGGGTATCTGTTCTTTCTCTTATTTTATTTATCTGAATATTGATCTTTGCGAAGATTTATATATTTTTTATTAATTGATCCTTTTTATGTGCTCGATTTCTTGTGCTTGACCTTGATGTTTTCAGACTGCTTTAACTTGTGGAATAATTAATATTTTAAAAAGTATTTAATATGAGTCGATAGAGAATTAAATTGGCTATAAAATAAAGCTTAATTTTTAATTTTATTTAAATTGTAAAAAAAGTTTTGACTGAAAAGGTGTGTCTTTTTGAAGATTTTTTGGTGTTTTTAAGTGTTTTTGTAGTCAAAACCTGTATATTTTTTGAATTATAAATTTTATTTTTAAAATTTATTTTATAGAGAGAAAAAGGGGGACTTAAATGTGCTCATTTCTTTGTGCTTGAAATTTTATTTTTATTAAAAATTCATAAATTTTGGGTTACTCTAGAACCTGATTGTTGTGTCGAAAATTATTAAATCTATTTTCTGAATATTTTTTTTTGAATATTTTTTTATTATTTTTAAAAGTTTAAGTAGGTTTAACTATCAAGAGTGTTGTGTTACTTAAAATTAATTAAAAAATTATTTTTGAATTTTTTTTTCTTCTTGAATTCTTTCATGCCACATCAAAATCGTTCAATTTCTCTATTAGTAACAATATTACCAACTTGAGGAGGTAATATACCAGGAGAAACTTTAGTTACTGCAGCAGAGCGTTGTGAACCTGAATGTGGGGGAAGGGCACCAGCTCCACCGCCACCATCACTTCTACTTCTTAAAACAGTAACACCATGAACTTGGGTTACTCTAGAAGGTTCAAAAATTCTAGGAAAAATAAAGGGGAGGGAGTTGAGGATTTTTTAAAGTTAAAAACTTGTAAAAGAGTAGAATGCAGTCATTTCGAATAGTTCGATTAATACAAAGAAAAATAAATGGAGAAATACCTGAAAATTTAAATTAGAGGGATTTTAAGTTGGGTTATTGGTGACTGGTTTAATTGATGCCTGTGGGAGCAGTTCAACTGGGGAGGAGAATTTTTTAAGGACACTTGAGCCGCTCAGATTTTTTTGAAGCTACAGGCAAAGATCAACCTGTCACCAACAGCCTTATAGTTTTAAGTTTGGGGGAGAGAAGATTGTGGATAGAAAATTAGAAAAAGGAAAAAAATAAATAGAAGAAACTTGCCATGATTTATGAACCTTTAAAAAAATGAGAGAATTATATTTCATTTAAAAATTTTTTTAAAGTTTACCAAACAAATTCAGCAAGTATAATAAGTGATTCAGTTACGGGTACCATTTGCATTAAAACATAGAGGGAACACCCAACCAAATGAATAAAACTTAGAATTAATACTTGAATAAAGCTCTAGAGTTGAAAATAATTTTTAGAAAATTATTTTAAGAGGAACCATCATTTGAAGTTTTGTAATCCCCAAACCCCCAACTGCCCCACGCATTTTCCATCGAATTCCAATAAGAAAGAGAATGTAAATAACGGGAACGGAACCTCCAATAATCCAATCATGAAGTGTATGAGTTAAAGGGTGATACTAGAAAATAGGGGGTAAATTAAATTTTAAAAATAGTTTAAGAATTTTTTTACTTCATCAGCAGCAATATAGCCTTGATAGGGGTTAAAAAAGTAGGCAAAGTAGATACTGTTGAATAGGCTGGGGTTCTGAAAATAATTAGTATATCAGAATTTGTGTTTTAAAATTATTATAAATATTCAGGAAAATAAACATTTTCCGGAAAATACAGAAACACGTTCCGGAAATTATACTTATTTTAATTTATTGCTTTTCCGGAAAATAAACAAGTTCCGGAAATTATACTTTATTTATTCTACAATTTTTCCGGAATATACTTTATATAAATTTTGAAAGTTTTTATTTTTCCGGAAGGTTTATAATAATTCTGAAACACACCACAAAAAATAACCAGTAAAAGCCATAAATTGTAGTTGCACCAAGCCATATCCAAACTCTATTACCTGTAAATTTTTGTATTTTTTCGGTTTTATTTTTCGTGTTTTTTTGTGTTTTTTCTGTGTTTTCTTGTATTTTTCTGTGTTATTACTTCGTGTATTTTTTGTATTTTTACCTTCAAAAAGTATTTGTGTTAATTCAGAACAAAGAATATCCATGCAACGATTTAAGGCAAGTAATGTACTTGCTGACATTTCACATGAATAGAAGACTTGAAAAAATTCTGATTTTAATTCTGATTATTTTTAATAATTACAATCATTAGTTGCTCCAGTAATATAAGTAATTAAAGGGTTTGTGCAATAAACAGAACCATTCAAAGCAAGTATTGGGGCAAGTATTCCTAAGCTCCAGAGAATTCCAAAGTCCATAATGCCACAATATAATAAAATTCTGTAGCAGGGATTGCCGTCTTTTTGTTGTTTCCATAGCGAATACATACAGGGAATGTATAGGAGCTTGAAAAAGGGGGGAGAGGTGAGGGTTGTGAGAAATTTTTTTGAAAATTTTTTGGAATTTTGTTTTTGAAATTTTTTGAAATTTTTTTTGAGGTTTTTGAATTTGAAAATTTTTTTGAAAATTTTTTTGAGAGAAAAATTACATAAATAATAACGCAAAGTACAATAGTCACATATGACACAATCCAATGTTTCTGTCTTCGTTCCAAAGGTACCGAATCAACATCAATAATTGAACAATTAAATTGTGTTTCCCAAGCAGTATAATCAAATATTAGGTGATAGAGGGAATACATTTTAATTTTTAGAAATTTTTTTAAAGTAGCTTTCTAAAACATGCAAATAAATAGAGCGTTCAAAAAGCTGTGAAAAAATTTTTTTTCTTATTTTTCAAATTAAAATGCTAAAACCCTCTACTAAAAACAACTAAAATTGAAAATAAAGCCCTTTTAATTGCCCAATATAAAAATAAATAAAAATAATTATTTTTTGAATATTTTTTTTAATTTATTTTCTAATGGTCGTTGGTCAATTGCAGGCAATCCCCCACGAGATCTTTTTTAATTTTAAATAATTTTTTTAAAAATTAAATCTGCATAATTGTTTTTTTTATTTTAAATTTACATTTTTTAATTTTTATTTTACAAAAGGAAAATTTTTTTTTAATTTTTTGGGTGATTGGTGGGGGATTAAAGGAGATGGAGAGGAAGTAATGGGGAGAGGGGGAAGTGGAAATAAATATTAGAATTTTTTTGGGTTTTTGATTTTTTTTGGCAAAATCTTTTTAATTGTACTTTTTATTGTTTTGATGGAGAATTTAAATTAGCTAAATAAAATTAAAAAAAATTTTTTTAAGGAAAAAAGTTATTAGCCTTTAAAAAGCCTTAAAACCTATTTTAACTTAAATTTTTTGATCATAACATTTTTTTAAATTTTGATAAAATTTTCATTTTATTTTTATTAGATAGCTAATTAAATTCTCTATCAAACAGTTTTTAAATGGTATGAAAAGGTTTAGGCGTTCGTGAGTTGTGAGGGTTTGAGTGAGGGGAGGTTTGAATGAAGGATGTTTTAGGTGTGTGTCAGAAGTTTGGTATGAATTGGCTTGAAAAATTTTTCTAAAATTTAAATAAAGATAAAAATAAAATAAGGGGAAGTATTTAAATATGCCAAAAAATAATTAAAAGATTTATTTTAAGTAAATTTTTGAAATAAATTTTTTTCTAGTTAAAACTGCGTGTTTAATTTTCACACACAAAAATGCGTGTGGCAGTACTAGTAAAGTATTTTTTAAACTGAATAAAAAGTTTAAAAAAATTGTGGAAAAATAATTTTTGTATTTTTAAAAAAAAGCTAGTGTGAGATCCAAATTAAGAAATTTTTTTGGAAAAATTTTTTTGGATTTTTTTATATTTTTATTTTTTAATTTTTAGTCACCTTATGACATGCTTCCGAAGTTTTAGTGATTTTTTTCTAATTTTTTTTTCTGATTTTTTTTTCTGATTTTTTTTTCTGACTTTAACACACAAAGGACATATATTTCGGTATATCAAACATTTATTTAAAAATAAAAAAATTATATAATATTCCAATAGACGCCCATTAAGAAAGCTAGTAGCAGATATAGAGGCGATCGGTTATTTTGAGGGTATGAGCGACTATTAGAATAAATATTAAAAAAATAAATTATATAAAAATTATACAGATTTTTTAAAAAATTTAATACATGGAAGCTTTATTATAAAGCGAAGCAAGTACTAGCTCAAAAACATTTTTAAGCACCAATTCCATTTGGTCTGTATTAGTAGCGCATGTTCTATGAGCATAAACTTGTTTGCTAGGATTTGAATTCATTGCCAAAAAATTTTGTTGAATAAAGTCTAATTGGTCTGAATAGCTGTTTGAACCTGTTTGGAGGGGAATTTTTTAATTTTAAAATGTGGCAAGACCCACAATCCTGCCAAAGAGGGTTGGGTTTGGGTCTAAGCTTTATAACTCTTGAATGGATAGGCCTTTTGAAAAGATTTTTAGATCATTGGATAGAGGATTAAATTTGCTATAAAATATTGCAAAATCAAAATTTCAGATTAATAAACAAAAAAGTTGTAGTCGAAAAACTGACATTTTTGGGTATTTTTGATAGTTTTTTGGCCATAACTATTTTTAAAATTTATTTGGACATTCAATTCCTTTTTTATCTTGTAGAAAATTTTATTTTCTATCGAATGGTACCAAAAGAATTTTTTAAAATTTATCCAGTCTTGAGTTTAAAATTTTTAATTTGCAACCAGTATAGCTTGGGAATAGCTGTTTTATGCTTTTCTTCCCAGCAATTTTTTGTTCAAATAAATCCGTTTTGTTGAGAAACAAAATTATCCCAGTGTTAATAAACCATTTGGCCATACAAATTGATTTGAATAAATGTAATGATTCGATTAGGCGATTCTTTAAAAAAATTTTTGAAAATTTTTTGGAAGGGGGTTTTACTGTATTTTCATCCTCTTCGAGTGTTTGATCAAATTCACTAATTGCAGCAACAAATATAATTGCTTGAACGTTCTTTAAAATTTTTTATGTTAAAAAAATTTTTAATTAATAGTTACATCAAAACAATGAATCCATTTTCGACGTTCATTTCTCTTAAAAAAATTTTTTTAATTATTTTTTCTTAAATTTTATTTTTTGCCTTGCCCGTCCTCCAACATATTAAATATTCTATTTTTATTTATTTTTATTTTCCGGAAAGTTCTATTTATAGTTTTCCGGAAAGTATATTATCTAAAGTAACCATTTTTCGTTAATTATAGTATCCGGAAAAATAACTATAATTTTTAGAAAAATAATTTCCGGAAAATGCATTCCGTAAAGAATCCGGAAATAATAATATCCGGAAAAATAACTCTAATAATTTCCGGAAAATACGTTCTATTTAATATTTTTTTCTTGCCTGTCCTCCAACATCAAATACTCGAAAAGGAAACCGATTTACATTGAATTGGACCTTTGAAATAAAATTTTTTTTGGAATTTAGAAAATTTTTTATTTACCTCTACTATCCCACTAGTTGGAACTCTTAATAAAAGAATATCCTGAATAGTAGGGACATAATTTGGTTGACTTATTCTGTCTATAGAGTTGAAGAAGCTATAGAAAATTTTAGGGAAATTTAAGAAAAAAATTTTAATTTTCTCTCAACTGTGGCAAAGATTCTTGCATGTGAAACTGTCCAAGTCTAGGCAACACTTCTCTGTGTAATGCTGGATCAGTCCAAAATTGTTTTAGGGAAGAAATAAATTTTGGGAGTTGAAAAGGCTCTGAATAAGTTAAACAATGGCTTAAGTCATTGATAGCCATCTTCAAAAAATTAAAGAAAAAAATTTTAAAAATTTTCTTTAAAAAATGCCTCTGTCTCTGTTAAATCCCATCTATCAATTAAAGTGCTAGAAATTTGTAGAAGACGTTCTACAGCTAAAACAAAGGTGGAGTGAACATTTGTTCGCCACTTGATCCTTTCTTCTTCAGAATTGAAATTGTTTGTGTGTAGTATTCTTAGGGAAGAAATTGTTGAATATAATTCCGGAATATACACTCTATTATGTTTCCGGAAAGTATATTGCCAGAGCTATACTTTTTCCGTTAATAATAATCCGGAAAAATAATTTTAATAGTTTCCGGAAAAATAGTTTCCGGAAAATACATTCGTATTTTACTCTTCCGGGAAGTATTTTTCCGAAATATACTTTTTCCGGAAAATATATTCATTGTATTTTTCCGGAAAATTATATTCTGACATAAACATTTTCCGGAAAATACATATAAAACACATAAAAAATACAAACTGCATTTGTTTAAGCATTGTGCTCTTTCCACTTGCAGCAGCACCTTTTTAAATTAAAAATACATTGTATTTTTTTGTATTTTCTTTTTGTATTTTTTTCTAAATTTATACCTAAAAGAAGCAATTTTAATGTCTTCTTTTCTTCTTTAAAATCCTTTAAAAATTGTTTTTAAATTTTTATTAATGATTTTTTACCTCAATCAATTGTTTTTCTAGTGTATCTTTGTTGAAGCAATTTCCCATTTTTAGGGGGAATTTTTTAAAAAATTTTTTGATTTTTTAAAAATTATTTTTAATGATTTTAGGAATTAATTTAAAAAATTTTTTTTCCTGGTAAAATTTACAAATTTAAAAATAAAATTTTTTTTGTTTAAATAAAACTTCCATGGGTGGTCTTAGGGTAATTTTTTAACGGAAATGTATTTTTAATTTACGTATTTATTTAAAATTAGAAAAACAATTTGGGTAGTAAATGGATACCAATTTTATTTTTAATTTCTTTCTTTTTTTTCTTTTAATTTTTATTTTCCCTTTCCTTTGCGTGTTATTATTTTTTTTTGTTGAAAATTATTTTTTTGCAAAATTTTTGAATAATCTTTTTTTAATTTTTTAGATAAAAATGATGCCAACAACAACAACAAAAAAAATTAATTTAATAAATAAATAAAAAATGTTCAGCAACAACAACAATAAATCAGCACCTCTAAAACGCAAAAAATTAACCTTGAAGCCGAATGAATTAAAAGATGAAGAATTTATGTCTCCAGTGAAGAGAAGAGCAAAAAAATGGTTTATTTTTTATTTTACTTTAATTTTTTATGAGTGATTTTTGTTTAGTTTTTGGGGTTTATAAGACTTTGTCTGCAAGTTTTACCCCCAATGGTTTAAGCTTGAGGTTAAGAAGTTTAATTGAGGGGGGGGGGTAATTTAAAACTTCAATGACGCTAATTTATCATTAGCTTTCGTCTTCCATCTGTTGTTTTTAAAAATGGGACTTTTACTAGGAATAAAGTTTTGGGTTAAATTTATGGGGTAACCCCCTTTCTCCTCTACCACATTTTTCCAAATAAAAAATTTTTATTTTTAAATTTTGTAGAAAACGATTCTGAAGACGAAGAAGAAGAATTTGATGAAGACGAGAGAAAAATGAAGAAGAAATTAGAGATGATGAGGAAGATGAAGAAGAAAAATTGAAGGAAGAAGAAAACAAAAACCAAAAGCAAAATGAAGGTAACTTTGAAAAGTTTTTTGAATTAAAAGGGGATTGAAGAAGAGTTCGAAGCAAAAGTGCCCGAGACTTCGAACTGAACCTAAGAGAGACGGTCACTGTCCTCTTCACCTTTAAGCCTTTTAACACCTTTTAGGCCAACTGTCCCTTTTTCACCTTTAAGGTTAATTGTCTCCTCCACATTTAAAGAAGTGGAAAAGTTGCGCTAACCGTCCATCTTCTCTTATTTTTCCATTATCCCTCTTTAATTATTGATTTTCTTCTCTGACCATTGCTTATACAAGCAAAATCATGAAGTGGTTAGAGAAGTCAAATTTTTATTTTTCTTCGCTTCACCGTTGGAAAAATAAATTTGACTTCTCTGACCAGTACACGATTTTTTTGTCTAATTAATGGTCAGAGAAGAAAATCAATAAAAGAAGAGGGATAATGGAACAACATGAGAGACGTTCGTTTACTTTTTTTGTTTTGAATAGGGGAAAGGGTTATTGATTTGTTTGTGTCTCTTTTGTTCATTCAATAACCTTTTTTTGTTACTACTTTTTGAAAAACATTTTTGTTGACACAGTCCAAAGATGAGCAATTAATTTATTCTTTTTTTAGTTCACAAGCAATTCAAAAATTGATGAAGAATTACTTCATCAAAATTCTTCAGCAGCAGCAACAAGTTCTCCTTCAACAAACAAATTTTTATTTCAACACCCTCCAATTGATGAATCATTCATTTCTCCATCAAAACAACAATGGAAAGGATATTTGTCTACACCTGCTTCAAATGTCAACAAAAATTGCTTAAAAACACCTTCACCAGCCGAATGATGAAGTAAGCCTTGGAAATTTGTTGCTGATGACTCCAGGTTTTGTTTTTTTGTTAATCTTTGTGGTCCCTTCTGGGGACGGGGGTCTTTTTGTAAGCTTGGAAAAGAGCTTATCCTCTGTCAAGCGTCGGTCCTTAGTCTTTGTTCTGGGACCTGATACATAGTTATGCACCTGATCATCTGTTGATGGTGCATCAAGGTTATACAAGTCCATGTTCCCTCGTTCTCTACCGATTTTTTCCTTTGCTGACACAACAGACAATTGCGGACTCAAGTTTATCAGTGAGCGGGGTGTTCTAGGAGGAGCCATCTTTTCCCATCTGTTTAAAAATGGGAAACTTACTAGGAATAAAGTTGTGGCTAAAGTTATGGGGTAACCCCTATCTTCTCTAACTCGTTTTTCCAAACAAAAAAATTTTATTTTTAAGATTGTAAAGAAAGATTCTGAGGCGGAAGAAGAAGAAGAATTTGATGAAGACAAGATGCCTTCAGATGTCAACAGAAATTGTTTCAAAACACCTTCACCTGCTTGAATGATGAAACAATCTGTAAAAATATTGGGAATTTGTTGCTGACGACTTCAGGTTTTGTTTTTTTTTTGTTAATCTTTGTGGTCCTTTCTGGGGATCGGGAGGGGACTTTTTAGCTTGTGAAAGAGCTCATCTTCTGTCAGGCATAGATCCCTTGTCTCGATCCTGTCTGTTGATGGGGTATCAGGTTATTAAGAATCAATGTCCCTTCTGTCCTCCGATCTTTTCCATTTGCTGTCACAACAAATGAGTTGTCAGGCTTAAAAGTGAACGGGGTGTTCTAGGAGCGTTTTTATGCCAATAAAAAATTTTCTTTTAAATGAATTTTTTCCTTTTATAGAAACTGCGCACAAAGGACATCAAGAAGGAAACTAAGCAAAGGCCGGACAACATTATGTAGCACTCCTGAAACAACTCCACACCTGCAAGAGAAAAAGAAAAGGGTTTAATCCTTAAATGGGGGGTGGTATTTGCGGACAAAACTTGTGGTCATCCACTAAAACAATATTATGTTTTTATTTACTTCAGCAATTCTTGCTCTTCATGGTGGTTGGCCTTTCTCTTCCTGCTGGTGGCAATGCTCTTCATATGTGGCCCCCATTGGTGAATGACTTGGTGGACCCCCTTGGTGATTGACTTGGTGGACCCCCTTGGTGATTGACTTGTGGCCCTCGTGGTCCCATTGTTGATTGACTGTGGTCCCCATTGTTGATTGACTGTGGTCCCCATTGGTGTTTGACTGTGGGTCACACTCTTCCTGCTGGTGGCAATGCTCTTCATATGTGGCCCCCATTGGTGAATGACTTGGTGGACTCCCTTGGTGATTGACTTGGTGGACCCCCTTGGTGATTGACTTGTGGCCCTCGTGGTCCCATTGTTGATTGACTGTGGTCCCCATTGTTGATTGACTGTGGTCCCCATTGGTGTTTGACTGTGGGTCACATTGGGTTGGCCTTTCTCTTCCTGCTGGTGGCAATGCTCTTCATATGTGGCCCCCATTGGTGAATGACTTGGTGACCCCCTTGGTGATTGACTTGGTGGACCCCCTTGGTGATTGACTTGTGGCCCTCGTGGTCCCATTGTTGATTGACTGTGGTCCCCATTGTTGATTGACTGTGGTCCCCATTGGTGTTTGACTGTGGGTCACATTGGGTTGGCCTTTCTCTTCCTGCTGGTGGCAATGCTCTTCATATGTGGCCCCCATTGGTGAATGACTTGGTGACCCCCTTGGTGATTGACTTGGTGGACCCCCTTGGTGATTGACTTGTGGCCCTCGTGGTCCCATTGTTGATTGACTGTGGTCGCCATTGTTGATTGACTGTGGTCCCCATTGGTGTTTGACTGTGGTCCCCATTGGGTTGGCCTATCTCTTCCTGCTGGTGGCAATGCTCTTCATGGTGGTGCCCGTTCTCATCATGATGCAAGTGGACGTCGTGGCAATAAGTAATGTTTGTTTTTTAATTTTTTAAACAGCCGTAAGTTTTGTCCGCAAATAAGTCCACTTAAATCCCTGGCTTTTATCTGGAGGAGGGAAGGGTTTTTTAAACATTTTTAGGACTTGGCATTAACTCAAAATGCAGTTTTGTGTATGATGTACTTGCTCGGCTTCCATCTTGAATGTCTTTGGATTCGATTACAAATTAGAAATTGCAGTTTATTCAGGTTTTGTTTGGTTTCTTCTGTTGAAATAAAATTCCATTTTTTAGGAAACCTTTGGACGGTTTGCTGTGGCTTTGTGCCCTTCAAGGCCTGTTTTGCTTGTCAAATGAAGATGTACAAATTACTTTGTTAATTTGCCCGGTGATGGAGGTTTTTTAAATTACTGTTTGTCCTAACTCGCGGAGTGTCCAAGAACATATCAACCTTCCACTAGCCCCATTACCTATTAAAGACTAAAATAATTTCCGGAAAATACATTTTATTATATTCTTCCGGAAATTACATTGTCTGAAATTATCACATTTTCTGGAAATAATTAAGTGTCCGGAAGAACTCTAATATTTTCTGGGAAACTTTTTACCAGAAAATACATTCCCTTTTATTAAACTCCAATTTTTTTGAGATAAGTTTCCCACTTTTTTCGTGTCATTTTCTGAATTAAAATGAAATAATCTTCTTTTATTTTTTTAGTTTTTTCAAAAAATATTCTACTAAGAAATGTTCAACAACAATAAATCAACACCTCTGAAACGCAAAAAATTGACCCTGAAGCCGAATGAATTAAAAGATGAAGAATTTATGTCTCCAGTGAAGAGAAGAGCTAAAATGGTTAATTTTTTTTATTCATTTTTGGGTAACTTTTGGGGTTTTAGGACTCCGTTTTCTCGTAATTTTGTTTGGAGGACCGGCCAAAATTTGAAGTATTTTATTAAAATGATGATGTTTTTTCCCTTTTTCAGAACGATCCGTTAAGGACGAATTGCCAAAAATCCGTGCTCCTAAAAACATTTTCCAGGTTAAACTTGGGGACAGAGTCTATAAGTCTATACTCAGAGTCTAAATAAGATCTCAATTAATTCCAAAAAATTTTTTAGTCAACAAACACTTGTGAGGAATTCTTCCGTCAACAATCTGTTCCGACAACAACAAGTTCTTCATCTACAAACAAATTTTTATTCCAACGCCCCCCAATTGATGAATCCTTCATTTCTCCATTAAAACAACAATGGAAAGGCTTCCTGTCTTCTCCTTCAAATGTCACCAAAAATTGCTTAAAAACACCTTCACCAGCTCGGATGCTAAAACAATCTGTTATCTGCAAAAATATTGGAAATTTATTGCTGATGACTCCAGGTTTTGTTATTTTTTGTTTTTTAGGTTTTTTTTGACGGGGTCTTTTTATTTTGGAAACCCTTATTAATCCTAACAATAAGACCGACAACTAGTCGCAGTAAGTGCTGGGCAGACTTCGGTCTAGATATTTCTTGGAGGCAGTGTTATGTATAATTCAACCGACCCTTTTTTCTCACTTCGGTTTCATCCATCTTCCAACTGCTTTTTAAAATGTGGTTGTAAGAATAAGGTTATAGTCGTTCCTGGGTTAGTTCACTCCTATTTTATAAACAAAATATTTTATTTTTTTAATTTGTAGAAAAAGAATCTGATGAGGAGGAAGAAGAAGAATTTGATGAAGAGGGCAAAAATGAAGAAGAAATTAAAGACGATGAAGAAGAATTGAAAGAAGAAGAGAACAATACAAAAACAACTTCAAATATCAGAAAATATCCAACCAAGAAGAAAACAACAACAACCAAAAAACAGAATGGAGGCAACTTTGTCAAATTAAATATGCGTCATCGTAGATTTGCTCCAAGCAGTAAGTTTAGAATTAAAAAGAAATGGAAAAGGAAATTTAAAAATTAATTTTATGTCATGTGCAAGTCACTCGTCTGCATGGTTGTGTTTGTTTTTGGGTCTTAACTTTTTTGAATTTTTTCGAAATCTCATGATTTATATATCAATCGAAAGCCCTGGGTTTACTGATCATTATTCCCAGTGGGACTGATAAGATCCCTTCAGTCCTTAAAAAGGTATGGGTTGATAAGTCCGAAAGAGTGACTTCCGATTATTTTTGGGTCATAACTCCTTTAAAACTTACTCCTTTCTCATGATTTATATATCAATCGAAAGCCCTGGGATTACTGATCATTATTTCCTATGGAACTGATAAGATCCTTTTAGTCCTTAAAATGATATGGGCTGATAATTAGTTGTGATCCAAAAAGGACTTCAACTGTGCAGACTTGTGTTCCCTTTTTCAAATATTCTTTATTTAAATATTGATTATATTAATCTTCTTTTATTCTTTCCAAACAAATCTCTCTAAACTTGTATTTCTCTTCTCTTTATTTTTAAATCTGGGTCAATCATCAATACATAAATCGCGCACATATAAAAGTATGTGCACAAAACTCATCCATTTATTAATGTATTAAATTGTGTATTTTCCGGAACGATTTTAATTTTATAGTTATACATTTTCCGGAAAGATTTTTACTAATATAATTTTCCGGAAGGGTTTTATTTTATATAAAATGTACAAACATTTTCCGGAACATATTTATTTCAGAGTTATAGTCTTCCGGAAAGATTTTTATTTTATAGTTATACCTTTTCCGGAAAATACACAACATTATTTATTCTTTTCCTGAACAATTCATTATATATTTACCGGAAACATTTTAGTAATATTTGTATTTTACAGCATATATTTAAAGTTCCATATTTTCCGGAAAATATTAAATAACTAAACTAATTAAAATGCAAAAATCTTCCTTGGAACAAGTAGCCATTTACTTCTCATTTTTATTTGCTGAATATATGCAATTGGTAAATTTAAAAATTTCTTTTCATTTTTCAATTATAAATAGCTTGTTGTTGCTTTATTTGCATTACTGGCTTTTCTTGGGATTAAAGAACGTTTATTTAATATTGAAACTCATTGAATTAAATATACATGTATTTTCATTGATTGTGAATAAAATTATATCTGTTTTGAATTTTAAAAATTTATAAAAAATAAATTATCGATTAGTATTGATTTTATCGATTGAAATTGATTTTTTGAATTTTAAAAATTTTTACAATTTTTAAAAAATCGATATATCGATTAGTATTGATTTTATCGATTGATATCGATTTTTTGAATTTAAAAAATTTTTAAAAAATAAATTATCGATTAGTATTGATTTTATCGATTGATATCGATTTTTTGAATTTAAAAAATTTTTAAAAAATAAATTATCGATTAGTATTGATTTTATCGATTGATATCGATTTTTTGAATTTAAAAAATTTTTAAAAAATAAATTATCGATTAGTATTGATTTTATCGATTGATATCGATTTTTTGAATTTAAAAAATTTTTAAAAAATAAATTATCGATTAGTATTGATTTTATCGATTGATATCGATTTTTTGAATTTAAAAAATTTTTAAAAAATAAATTATCGATTAGTATTGATTTTATCGATTGATATCGATTTTTTGAATTTAAAAATTTTTAAAAAATAAATTATCGATTAGTATTGATTTTATCGATTGATATCGATTTTTTGAATTTAAAAAATTTTTAAAAATTATCGATTAGTATTGATTTTATCGATTGATATCGATTTTTTGAATTTAAAAATTTTTAAAAAATAAATTATCGATTAGTATTGATTTTATCGATTGATATCGATTTTTTTAATTTTGAAATTTTACAATAATCCGACAAAATGTCCCTTAGTTATTAACGCGACAAAATGTCTCCTAATTATGAATGCGACAAAATGCCCATAACCGTATTTTCAAGATGAAGTTCATTTATTCAATTTCAGAGAATTTATTTACATCTTTTTCATAATTTTAAATATTCAATTTAATTTATTTCAATTAAATTTGGATTTTCTTCCTTCCAGCTTTCAATATTTCCATCAGCTATGGCCACAGGCAAACATCTACCACAAGTTTTCGAACAAAGCAGCCAAATTGCTCCATGAGGGTACGGGAGTAGTTGAGCGCGGAAATGCCAAAGGAGAAGTTCTTAAAAAGGAATTTATAGAAAATATAGATGTACCTCTATATAGGGTACACCCAATAGAGGAGACCCTGAGCTTAAGATACTTTTACCTTCAGGGAATTTATAAAGCGTCCCTGTAGCAGGGGTGTGCTGAAACGGATTTTAAAAAGCGAAACTCGAAAGGCGAAATTAAATTTAAAACCGTTACACGATGAGTCACCGTTACACGATGAGTCACCGTTACACGATGAATCACCGTTACACGATGAATCACCGTTACACGATGAATCACCGTTACACGATGAATCACCGTTACACGATGAGTCACCGTTACACGATGAGTCACCGTTACACTATGAGTCACCGTTACACGATGAGTCACCGTTACACGATGAATCACCGTTACACGATGAATCACCGTTACACGATGAGTCACATTTTACACGATGAGTCACATTTTACACGATGAGTCACCGTTACACGATGAGTCACATTTTACACGATGAGTCACCGTTACACGATGAATCACCGTTACACGATGAGTCACCGTTACACGATGAGTCACCGTTACACGATGAGTCACCGTTACACGATGAGTCACCGTTACACGATGAATCACCGTTACACGATGAATCACCGTTACACGATGAGTCACCGTTACACGATGAGTCACCGTTACACGATGAATCACCGTTACACGATGAGTCACCGTTACACGATGAATCACCGTTACACGATGAGTCACCGTTACACGATGAGTCACCGTTACACGATGAATCACCGTTACACGATGAGTCACCGTTACACGATGAATCACCGTTACACGATGAGTCACCGTTACACGATGAGTCACCGTTACACGATGAATCACCGTTACACGATGAGTCACCGTTACACGATGAGTCACCGTTACACGATGAATCACCGTTACACGATGAGTCACCGTTACACGATGAATCACCGTTACACGATGAATCACCGTTACACGATGAGTCACCGTTACACGATGAGTCACCGTTACACGATGAGTCACCGTTACACGATGAGTCACCGTTACACGATGAGTCACCGTTACACGATGAGTCACCGTTACACGATGAATCACCGTTACACGATGAATCACCGTTACACGATGAGTCACCGTTACACGATGAGTCACCGTTACACGATGAGTCACCGTTACACGATGAATCACCGTTACACGATGAGTCACCGTTACACGATGAGTCACCGTTACACGATGAGTCACCGTTACACGATGAGTCACCGTTACACGATGAGTCACCGTTACACGATGAGTCACCGTTACACGATGAGTCACCGTTACACGATGAATCACCGTTACACGATGAGTCACCGTTACACGATGAGTCACCGTTACACGATGAATCACCGTTACACGATGAGTCACCGTTACACGATGAATCACCGTTACACGATGAGTCACCGTTACACGATGAGTCACCGTTACACGATGAATCACCGTTACACGATGAGTCACCGTTACACGATGAGTCACCGTTACACGATGAATCACCGTTACACGATGAGTCACCGTTACACGATGAATCACCGTTACACGATGAATCACCGTTACACGATGAATCACCGTTACACGATGAGTCACCGTTACACGATGAGTCACCGTTACACGATGAGTCACCGTTACACGATGAGTCACCGTTACACGATGAATCACCGTTACACGATGAATCACCGTTACACGATGAGTCACCGTTACACGATGAGTCACCGTTACACGATGAATCACCGTTACACGATGAGTCACCGTTACACGATGAGTCACCGTTACACGATGAGTCACCGTTACACGATGAATCACCGTTACACGATGAGTCACCGTTACACGATGAGTCACCGTTACACGATGAGTCACCGTTACACGATGAATCACCGTTACACGATGAATCACCGTTACACGATGAGTCACCGTTACACGATGAGTCACCGTTACACGATGAGTCACCGTTACACGATGAATCACCGTTACACGATGAGTCACCGTTACACGATGAGTCACCGTTACACGATGAATCACCGTTACACGATGAGTCACCGTTACACGATGAGTCACCGTTACACGATGAATCACCGTTACACGATGAGTCACCGTTACACGATGAGTCACCGTTACACGATGAATCACCGTTACACGATGAGTCACCGTTACACGATGAATCACCGTTACACGATGAGTCACCGTTACACGATGAGTCACCGTTACACGATGAATCACCGTTACACGATGAGTCACCGTTACACGATGAGTCACCGTTACACGATGAATCACCGTTACACGATGAGTCACCGTTACACGATGAGTCACCGTTACACGATGAATCACCGTTACACGATGAGTCACCGTTACACGATGAGTCACCGTTACACGATGAGTCACCGTTACACGATGAGTCACCGTTACACGATGAGTCACCGTTACACGATGAATCACCGTTACACGATGAGTCACCGTTACACGATGAGTCACCGTTACACGATGAATCACCGTTACACGATGAATCACCGTTACACGATGAGTCACCGTTACACGATGAATCACCGTTACACGATGAATCACCGTTACACGATGAGTCACCGTTACACGATGAGTCACCGTTACACGATGAGTCACCGTTACACGATTAAAGGTAGCTCCTACTGGGCAAGTAGTTAGTAGGTGAGATATTAATGGATGTAGAGGAAGAGACTTCTAAATGATACCCACCCTCTATTTAAAAGACACTTCATTATAAAAAACATTTTCTGTTAGGAGCTCATACAAGGTAATGAACTGATTAAAGAGCTTATAGGAGAGGTAGAGGAGTCTTCTAAAAGATACCCCCTATTTAAAAGACCCTTCATTATAAGAGACACTTATTCAGTCCAAAAAGTGTACCTTACACCCTGAGGTTCGAAATACAAGTCTAAAAACCCCTTTAAAAAAATTCCTCTACCAAATTCCTTGGCCAATTTTGCATTAGCCACCCTTAAACAGCTTTGCCACTTTCTTTTGCAATTCAAAACTTTTGACAAATTAATTGTTAATGAAGGAAGATCATTTGTAGTAGGAGAATTACAACTGCGAAAAGAATTAATTTTTGATTTAAATTTAAAAGAAATTCTCAACTTTATTCGAGATATTCCACATTGATAAACACTTTCTTTTTTGAGTTGAAGCATTCTTTCAATTATGGGGCCTCCTTCAGCAGAAAGTAACAATTCAGTCAAATCATCTTCAGAAGGGAAGAGGTTTAGAAGGCCTCCAATTTTCTGAAATTTTGAGAAATATTTTTTAAAGTAATTAAGAGCCATATTTTGGGGTATAACTTTTCTAATTCTTAACCGAATTTTAACTGATATATTAATCGAAAGCTCTGAATGTGACCCAATAAATATTGGGTTATGACCCAATAAAAATCGAAAGTTGGAAGTCACGATATTCCACACTTAACAACTGATTAAGGACTAATCGACCTTATCAGTCCTTATTAATTTAATCTTACAATTATATATCTCTTAAAATATTTAAACTCACAAAAATCATTCTATTAATCTCTTGTCGATCAACAAGTGTTTGTGCAAGTCCAGTTTTCAAAAAGTTTGCAGCGAAGCGTAGATTTGCCTTAAATTTGGAACAAACATTTTTATAAAATCATTTTTTAAATTAATTATTTACCCTCATATTTCCTCCACCAATAAAATGGCGTAAATAATGAAGAGTGTGGATTAAAGCAACTGAATTTATAGCAGAATCGCCAGTTGGGAAAAGACACATAGACTTGAAAGCAGAACAGAAATGTTCGGAAAGTCGGTTTTTACACTCAAAAACTGAAAGAAAAATTCAGAAAAAATTTTTTTTCCCAAAAATCCAACCCCCACCTTTATTATTTTCTTCATTATCTTCACATTCCTTCCTCTTCAACGTCTTTTCCAAATTAAATTCTACCAACACATCCAATTCTTTATTATAATCATAAGTAGGTGGAGGTGGAATAGGTTGAACTTCTGCAGGAATTATCTTCTCATCCACTGTATTAAAGAAAGTAGTAATTATTATTTTATCGTTCTTTGTGTTGTCGCCTATCTCTTCTTTGTTTTTAACAATTGAAACATTGCTGCTAGTTTCTGATTTATTTATTAATGTTTGTTGTTGTTCTGGTGTTGTTGGTAGCAAAAACAAAGGACGTTGTGTTGTTGTTTGTTGTTGTTGTTCTGAAATTATTTCCTCAACATAACCTTCTAGTAAAACATTTGTTGTAGTTGTTGTTTGGATAGGCTTCTGAAAATTGTAAAAACATTTAATGTTTTGTTTATTTAAACATACAACTTCTTCACGAACTTCATCAAGTTGAAATGTTTCTTCAAATTCTGATAAAATTGGAGGTAACTGTGTTGTTGTTTTGAAGCTGTTTGTTGTTTGTTCAAAATTCTGGTTTAAATTCTGTTTTGTTTTAATTATTATTCAAACATGTTTGAATAAAATTCTGATTTGTTTTATTATTAGTCTAAAGCATGTTCAAATAAAATTCTGATTTAAATTCTGGTTTGTTTTTAAAAAATTCTGATATGTTTTATTTATTATTCAAACATGTTCGAATTAAATTCTGATTTAAATATGTTTCAAACTAATTCTGATATGGTTTGTTTCAACAAATGTTTGTTTTAAAATTTATTTGCATGAACGCAACATAATTTTAAACAATATTAAAATAAAAAATAAAATAAAAATTGCAACTAAAAATATATAAAAATTAATTAAATTTGTCACCTTTTCTTCCTGCAAATTAGGTTTTATTGTAGACAATTCTTCTATTATTTCCTCTTCAAATTCTTCAAGTATTGTTTCATTAGACAAAACAAAAATGTTGTTTATGCTTGTTGTTGTTTTTGTTGGTTGTTGTTGTGTTGTTTGTTCTGATGTTGGTGAATTATAATGTTGTGATGTTTGTGTTGTTAAATTAATGTTTTCAAGTTTGTTTTGTTCTGTTGTTGTTTCAAGTTTGTTGTTGTTTTCCATGTTTATTTCCAACAAATATTCAAGTTTGTTTTGTTCGGTTGTTGCTTCCAAACTTTGTTTTGTTGTTGTTAATATTGTTTCTAATGTTGTTGTAGTCAAGTTTTCAAGTTTAATTTTATCCAACAACAATGTTTCTTCAAATGTTTTGCTTGTTTTATTTTCTTCTTCTTTGGGAGCTTCCAACAGTTCATTTTGTTGCTGCTCTTCTTCTTCTACAATTTCTTTTAATGTTGGATCTTTTATCCTAATCCCTCCAATTTCTTCTTCCAACATTAATTTATTTTGAATTTTGCTTTGTTTTTTAATTTCATTTTCTTTTTCTTCCTCTACTTCTTCAATTTCTTCTGCTGTTTTTAATTCTTCTTCCTCCTCTTCAGAATATTCCTCATCATCAATATATTCATCAATTTCTTCTTCTTCTGAAGCATTTTCTAATTCAACAGGTAAAGGTTTGGGTCTCCACTAGAAAAAAATCAGAATATTTAATTAGTTCAAGAAAAATCAAAATTTAACAAAATTTACAAATTCTGATTTTCTTTTTACAATTCCAACTTGAATTGTAAAAACTTAAAACTCAATTTAATTCAAGTTGGAATTGTAAAACAAGTTTAAACAAAAAATCAGAATTAATTCCGAACATGCATCAGAATTTTTAAAAACACAAACATTTATGTTTTTAAAAATCAGAATTAAATCCAAACATACACCAGAATTAATTCCCCCAACAACATCAGAATTTTTAAGAACAAAAAATCAGAATTAAATTACAACAAAACAAAACTTACATCAGAATAATTACATTCAAAACTTGTTTGTTTAAATTCCTCAATTTGTGTATTTATTATTTGTCCATTTAAATCTGTTGCTTTTATATTTTGACTTGGAGAGCAATATTCAAAAGAAGCATCCAAAAATATTGGTTTAAAATTTGAATCTTGTTCACATAATTTATATACACCTTTAGAAGCTTCATTTAAATTACAAGTAGAATTTAGATTATTTTCTTTCTCTTCTGTTGTTTTATTAAAAAAACAACTTCCACGAGGGACTTTAATTGTACCAAAAAGACAATCTAAAAAATAAAAAAATTAAAAAAAAATTTCTTTAAATATTTTTGGACATTACTTACATATCCTATTAATTAAAAAAAAACTTTTTTTATACTTGCCCGACCAAAAATAAAATTAGAAAAAAAAGTAACCACCACAAGAAATACCCAAAAAAATTTTTTGAAATATACCCGTAAAAATTAAAAAAAATTTTTGAGAAGAGATTTTCTTGCGGGCATAAATAAAAATCAAATAAAATTATTAGAAAATAAAACCAAATCCTATTAAAAAATTAGAAAAAAAACCTTACAAACATCCGAAAAAAATAAAAAAATTTTAATTTTGAAAAATTTACGAGTCAATTCCCACACTCCATGCAAATTAGACAAATCACTTTTTCGAGTACATACACGAATAGAATCGGAATCCTCATCTTTTGAACCAAACAAAAATTCTTCTCCAGTTTCTTCTTTTATACAATTTTTGACTGTAAAATAAATTTAAATAAATTTTTTAAATTTATTTTTAAATAAAACCTCCATTTGTAAAAGATATTCCAGTAGAATTAATTTGGCATTGAATTAAAATATTATGATTTTTTGGTAAAGGTTCAATTTGTCCTGAAAAATTTAAAAAATTTACTAATAAATATTTTAATAAAGATTAATTATAAAAATTAAAAATCTTTTTTATTACAATTCCAACCAACAAGCTGGAATTGTATAATAAAAACTAAACAGGGAAAAACTTTAAAAATTGGAAATTTCTCTTTGAAAAATTTCCCGGGCTACGGACGCGCCAACCAGTGATGGAATGGATTAAGAAAAAAAGTCGGATCAGTTTTCGGATTAAGTTTTCAAAATTTTTTCTTCTAATAGGTTTTTGGGGAGAAAAAAAGTCTGGGTTCAAGGTCCCATCCCCCATTACTAATTCCAATCCAAAAAATAAAATTCAGATTGGAATTGTAAAAAAAATTAAAAAATTAAAAAAATCCAAACCTAAAGCCATTGTAATATTCAAAGATTCCAAATAACAACCAATTTTAACCAATTGTCCATTAGGTAAACATTCAAGTATATCTTGGCTATTAACCATTTGTTCTCTTGGTGATAAATTTTTTGAACCAAATTTGCATCCAATAGGTTTTTCAATTTGTACTCCACTTGGTTTGCAAAATTCTGCAGTCAGCTAAAATTAAAAAAAAATTTTTAGCGGGCAGATATTTTTTCTATTTTACATTATTATATATTCCATATCCACCCAATGGAACGACATTTCCATAATCATCAATACAATCTATAAAAGTAAAAATTTTTCTTTGATTTTTAGACTTTTCTAAAAAAGACAGACAACATAACTAATGCAGGAAGCATTAGCTCCGAAGAGCCAATTCCATATAGAGCCAGGGAGTTAAAAAATTGAACTCTCCCTCCCCGGAGCTGAAACAAAAGTTGTTGAAAAGGTCGGAAAAATAATTAAAAAGATTTTTTTTAAAAAAGGTTGTTGAAAAGGTCGCGGAGCCCAGCACTGATCATAAAAATAAAATTAAATCCGATTAAAAATAATTGGTCATAAAATAGGTAGATTTTAGGTCTTCCCCCACGTCTCAGAATTGTAAAATATTTGTCCCCAACCATACAAATTTTCAAATAAAAAATATTTTATAAAATTAACCTTTGTGAGTAAGAACATACCAAAAGGCTAAAAAATGATTTTTATTTGAATTCCACAAAAAATATTTAAAAAACCTTTATGATTTAAATTTTCAATCAATTCATTTCCCAAAAACAAGCGTTGTCTTTCACAAACAATTCTCAATTTTAAATTACTAGCCCCTTTAACTGGCAAAACAAAATAGTGTCCAGGCAAAATAATATTATCACCAAAAAGGCAATTAAATTCTTAAAAAAAATTTTTTTTAATTTTTTTAAGGTAAAATTTCGTCGAGTATCTCTCCCATACTTCGATTTGGACAAACAATGACATTCAAAAGAGCCATTCCGAAAGAGACCACAACTTTGCTAATACATAATTGAGTCAAGAGCTTAATTTAGGTGTCAATCGACTCAAGCTCGTCGAGCTCTTTCAAGTGAAAAAAAATTCACCAAAATCAGAGTATGGGAGATATTATGAATTCTTTTTTCAATTTTATTTAAATTAACTGTGATATTTAATAAATCCTTTGTCTGCTTCACATCTTTCAAATATTCCGATTCCACCACCAATTGGATTGCCTTCGCTTTCACCAATTTTTAAGAAGTTTCCTGAGGAGCTTTTGCAGCCTAATAAAAATTTGAATGAATTAATTTACAAAACGTAAAAATATAGGGAAGGAAGTAGGAAAAGATCCCGGCTGGCTAGGTAGACGGAGGTTTAGGATACATTAAAAAGGGAAGGTGAAAGCAGCGTCCCGTTATTTCACAACAGTCGGTAGAACACCCTTTACGTGGCTACTGGCAACTGCCACGTCTACAAAGAAGGTCAGAGGTTTCACTGCCCAAAGGAGTAAATAAAAGGAGGTAGGAGAATGGGGATGCAACCCTGGGGTGGGGGATGCATCCATGGATGCCTCACTGGATTGCCTTTTCCCTGCCTCTTACGATTTTTTTAAAATTCTCATTAAAAAATCTCTCAAAACTAACCAATATAAACCAATCCTTCCTTTCTGCATTCCAAAACATCACCATCAATATTTGTATAGTTGCTACCCAAAGGAATCCAATTTTGTAAATTCGTCGGGTCAACACATCCTAGCAATTGGATTTGACTAAGTAAAGACCAACTATAAATCAATCCATGGCAAGAATAGAGATTTAGACTTCCAAAAGGGTAAAGACATTCAACACTGACTTGAGGGGCTTCAAAAATTTGTAGAAAAAATATTTAAAAAAATTCCAAACCTAAAGGCACGACCAATTTCTTAGCCCAACCAGAATTATTCAGACAATAAATAATTACATTTCCTTCAATAAATTCCAATTGATGGCCAATTTCAATTAAAGTTGGTGTTGATGACAAATTAAAATAATGAATACATTCTGGAAAAAAAAATTTTTAGGAAAATTAAAAAATTTTTAAGAACCCAGTTCCATATTCTGCCAAAACCACATTTCGCCAATAAGACTAAAAATACACATTTTGTCACTAAAGTTGTGTTGGCAAAATGTGTCGTTTTACCCTTATTGGCAAATGTGGATTTGGCGTAATATGGTTGGACTTGAAGAAAAATAGAAAGCAAACTAATCGGTCCAAGATTAACAACATCGGGTACTCTTTTCTTCTTTTTGTTTTTTGACCGCTTGGTTGTAAGTGCTGTTGTTATATTTGTTGTTGTTGTTGTTGCAGCCTTGTTTATTTTACATTCATAAATATAATTAATTCCATCCGATTTTTGTTCCCCAAATTTTATTTGTATTTCAGAACCGTCTAAAGCATCTGCACCAACACAGTCTGAAAGAAAAATAAACTTTTAAAGTTTAAACTTGAAAACTTAAGTTTTTAAGTTTGTAAACTTGAAAACTTAAATAAACCAAAACTTAAGTTTCCAAGTTTGTTTAATAAACAATTGTAAAAACAAACAAACAAACTTAAGTTTTGCAATTACAACTAGCCTCACAAACTTTAAATTACAATTCAAACTTATTGTTAGTTTTGTAAAAAGAATTTTCAGAACTAAGAGAGTACGCGTAAAAATAAGAGATACAGAGAAAAAAAGTAAATAGTTAACAAAATGACATTTTTACTTCTTTTTACCATTTCGAATTAATTGAAGGTTATTTTTCAGAATATATATTTTTATAAATGGTAATAAGGGAAAATAATGTCATAATGTCAACAGAATACTTTACTGTCCAAGGCTCCCATATTATGCCAAAACCACATTTTGCCAATAAGGGTAAAACTCTACATTTTGTCAACATACTCTATTGACAAAACGTGAGTTTAGCCTTATTGGCAAAATATGGTTTTGGCATAATCGTAGCCCAAATATTTTTTTAATTAAAAATTTAAAACTAACAGTCAGGGCCCTATTTCAATTGTCCACAGATTCTGCGGTCTGCGTTCTGTGCACAGACCACAGAACCACAGAAATTCTGTTTCAATTATTCCACAGATTCTGCGGAAAAAGAAGTCCGCAGATTCTGTGGAAACATGCACAGAATCTGTGGAAACATCCACAGATTCTGCAAAACATCCAAAAACATGCAAAAACCACAGAATTCTATTTCAATTATTTTTCTGTGCACAGAAAAAAATCCACAGATCTGTGGCTTTTTTAGTCGATTCTGTGCATTTCTGTTTCAATTATTTCTGTGGTCTGCGGAAAATACACAGAATTCTTTAAAAAATCCACCCTAAAATTTTTTCTGCGAACTTTCTGTGGAAAAACTTTAACAATTTTTTTCTAGGCCTAGGCTTAACCAAATTTCAAAATTTTTAAAGATTATTAAAGTTTGAATCATTCTCTATTTTTTGATATAAAAATTATAATTTTATTACCTAAAATTATTGCTTAAAATTAATTTTGAAAAAGGTACATCTTTTTTACGCAGTTTTTGTTATATTCAAGCAATAAAAAAATAAAAAACGTGAGAGATTCTGAAATTTAGAGCTATGATGTTCTAATCATCATGGATATCTCTAATGAGGGGATGTTTACCAGGATCTATAGAAGATATCTGTATAGCGTATACTGGGATATCTCCCATGATCTCTCATTGATATCCGTCATAATCTCTCCTCCTATTTAATGATAGATTTCCTCCTTAATCACTCCAATATATTAAACCTCAAAATCAATGGATATCCCACTTAATCACTCCTCTACGATTTTAAAGTTCCGATTTGACTATAATTTTGGATTCCAGGCATTTTCGATTTCCAGGAACCTCAATTTCTGACTAAACAATCCCCAGTTTTGTAACATTTCCCTCCCTTGCAACAACTTCTATCGTAGTTTGAAAAAGCCACATGTCGGATCGACATCTCCTGATTTTTCCGATCCGAACCCTGCTTTAGGACATTAATTTAATTGGAGATTTAAGGATATTGGATGAACAAGAAAATTAAGCGGTATATCAGCGGTTTTAAAGTGATATCAAAGAGATTTAAAGGGATGTTATGTGATTTGGAGGGAAAATTTTTAAATCTTTACAATATTTTTCAGTTTAATTTAAGAATTTTTAAAGTTTTACTTCAAAAAATCAGGTACCATTAATACTGCGGTAGTACCGAACTGTCCAAACCATTTTTCGTTTCAATAAAACTGTTATTTTCAAAAACGCGGAAATAAAAAATTTGAATTTAGAAGAAAAAATACACAGAACCACAGAAAAATAATTGAAATACAAATTCTGTGGATCAGTGGAAAAAATCCACAGATTTTTATATTTTCCACAGAAATTTTCATCCACAGAATCTGCGGAATGTTTCCACAGAATCATTGGATGTTTCCGCAGAATCTGCGGGCACCACAGATTCTGTGCACACAGAATTTAATTGAAACAGAATTTCCACAGAATCTGTGTTCTGTGCACAGAATGCAGAATCTGTGGACAATTGAAATAGGCCCCAGGAAGAGGGAAAAGGTGGAAGGTGGAAGAAGAATAAAATTAATTAAGGCCAAAATCAGAAAAAAGGGGTAAAAACGAGAGGAGAATAATAATATTTAAATATTAATTTTTATATAAAATATTAAAAAATAGAAAAATAGTTTCGCTAAATTTATTTTATTTAAATTTAATATATAAATTAGAAAGAAGCATTCATATGTATGTGCGCATTTTTACCCAAATAAAAATAATAGTAGAACTAAAATCGAGGATAAGAAAGGTCTCGGTTAAGTGCTTTTTGTACTGATAAATTGATTTGAACAAAGTTGGTATCATTCGATAGAAAATTAAATTTTTGACAATTTAAAATTAATTAATGTATGAGAAAGAAAAAATTTAAAAAAAATAAGAAATAAGATAGTTTTTAAGAAAAGATTAATAAAGGATATAATAGATTTATAAAATAAAACAAATCAAAATATTTATAAACATAATAAAAAAATTTTTGAGATAAAACTGTCCCCCACATTGATTTAATTAACAATTTTAAAATTTGCCCAGAGGGGGAAAATTTTAATTATAAATATATTTTAAATAAATTTAAAAAAAAAATTTTCTAATTTATTCTATTTAAAATTTTAATTTGTTTATTATTGTTTGCTAAAAAATAAATATAAATATATTATTACTACACATTTTAATAATAATAAGCAGAAAATGTTCTCTCCCTTTTATTCTATTTTTAAATGAAAAACTTCCCCTCCTCCCTTCCACCCCTTGTTTGAAAAAAGGAAATCCGATATATCTCAAATATATTTATTATTATTACATCAAATAAATTAATAAAAAAAAGACAATTTAATATATTCATTAAAATTAATTTTATAAAAAATTAAAATGCCAAAAAATTATTTTTTAAAAAGGTTAAGGCACTAAAAATCAAAAATGAGAAAGCATGAAAATACAGAAAAGGGAAAAAATACACAAGCTTTTAAGATTCCGGAACATGTGTTTAATTTAATTTGTAAAAACACATTCCGGAAAATACTATCCAAAACACTTCGAAAACACATTAATAAAGCTTGCCGGAAAACAATAACTAACAATTATAAAATACATTCCAGAAAACACGCACAAATAAAAATAATTATAAAACACATTCCGGAAAATACATCAAAAACACATTAATAAAACACATTCCGGAAAACACAAAAATATTCCGAAAAACAACAGATAGACTTTCCGGAAAACAATAACTAATAAGTATAAAACACATTCCGGAAAACAACTTAAAAACAGTCCTGAAATATTCCGGAAAACATTAACAGAAACAAACAGAAACATGTCAAAAACACATAAACAAAACAATCCGGAAAATAATTAAACATTTACAATTACTAAGCATAATTAAAATTTTACAAAATTAGCAATTAAGAGTTAAATTTAAAAATAAAATAAAAAATATTTTTAAAAATCCCAAAAAATATCAAAAAATATTATTCAAAATAATAATTAAAAATATATTATATTATACTATATAAATTGAATAAAATAACCATAATCTACCATTAAAATCATAAAAATAGGTAAATTAAGAGGGAAGGCTATTAATATCCATCCCCACATATACACATTAAAACGAATTAAATTCAGACTATTTAATCGCTTAGAAAAAAATTATTTTTTTTTTATTTTATTTTCTTCCCAAAATCCTCTCTCCTCTTTGTCCATTAAATGACCAATTTGAGAGGATAAAATAAAAATGTGTAGGTATAATTTTATTTTAAAAATAAAATAAAGCTGTCCCCTCGCTATGCGCGGTCAGTTCAACGCTAACATACATACTTAAGATAAAAAAAAAGAGGAAAATAATAAACTTTCAGGAGAACACAAATTTGTAAAAATAAATTCAAAATGAAAGATAAATTGCAAAAAATAATCGCAAACTTAAAAAAGTTTCCGGAAAAGTCTTAACAATTTATAATTGCTTTCCGCAAATATAAAAATATTAAAAATAAAAAATATACACTTTCCGGAAAACACAAAAAGTTGTAAAAACAAGTCAACATGAAAGACAATTTGTAAATAATCGCAAACTTAAAAAATTTTCGAGGAAAAAATATTTTTACAATTTACAATTCTTTTCCGGAAGAAATACAACAATGAGAAACATGTTTATAAAATATTAATTTAAATAAAACACATCCGGAAAAATGTTGTTTTGAGAAATTGTGAAACTGAAACGTGCCCATACATCCCCCCTCCTTAACTAAATAATTACCTCAAAAATTCCCTCCTACAACCCACCACTATAAAATCCCCTCCCCCATAATTTTTTTATTAATTCATCTACCTCTCTATCCAATCTCTCTCTCACCATTCATTCGCTCATCCCAAAATTACAGTAATTTGCTAATAAAATTTTATTTTGGGTAAAGTATGGAGTGAACCTAATTTGTGTGTGTGTTGAGTTGAGAAGGGATGAGTGGCATTTAAAAAAGCATTAAGAGAAAAATGGGGTCATCATCCACTTATTTTTAAAGGATTTAGTTAAATTTATTTAAGGTTGAATGATTTTGTTTAAGTTAAAAATTGAGAGATAAATATCAGAAGAAGTATGAAAAAAATTTTTGAAATTTTCCAAAAAAAATTTTCAAAAATTTTCCAAAAAAAAATTTAAAAAAATTTCAAAAAAATTTTCATAAAAATTTTTTTAAAAATTTTTATAAAAAATATGTATTTGGGGGAAGAGAGATAATAAAGCTTTAATAAAAAAAATAGAGGAAAAACATTAAACATTCCGGAAAACACAAATTATTCAATTAAAAAATTCAGGAAAAAATACAAAATGAAATTACACACCTTCCGGAAAGTTTTAAATAAATAAAAATACAAAAATACAAACATTTAGAAACTAAAAAATACAATTACTTAAAAATTTGGGTCAAAATTAAGAACACGCTCAATTTGCTGTGGGATCTCTCTTTCACTCAATCTTTAATACCTTAATTTTTTAAATATCCCTTTTTGACTATTTTTAGATGCCGAAATTTTTTTCCTTTGTATTTTGATTTTAAAAGAAGAGAAATTAATTTTTAGATTGCTACCATTATACCTATTTTTATTATTCAGAGATTATTTTCAACTCTTGAAAGCCTTTAAAATAAGTCTCTTTTAATTAAAACAATTTTACTAAAAATTGTTTAAAGTAGGTATATTAAAAGTCTAATGGCGCGGGAGTCCCTTTTTATTTAATAAAAAATATATACTGATAGAAAAATGAGCCACACAAAAAGAAGTAATTAAAAGAGACTAATTAAAAGAATTTTGAAATTAATAAAAAAGAAAAAAAAATTTTCAAGAGAAAAATAAATTAATTAAAAAATGATTGGATTTTTTGAAAAAAAAATAAAAAAGAAATATTTTTCAAAAATACATTTAATGATATTAAACTAAAAAAAGCTCTCCTTTTTTATACACTTTAATCCCCTCTATCAATTAAAAATTAAATCATAAAATAACGTATATTCTTTTTTTTTAAAAACACACTTACATTAGTCAGATATTTATTTAAAAATATTTACATGCCTTTTAAAAGGTTATGAATTTTTAATATATTAAAAAAAAGAGATATTAATAAAGAAGAGCTTAAAAAAAGAAATAAATAGACAAGAAAAATACCAAGTCAGAATTTAAATAAATGTTTCCGGAACGTATTAAATAAATGTCAGGAAAAATACAAAAACAAGTTACGAAACACAAAATAAATATTTTTAAGTTTCCGGAAGAATATCGAAAAAGTTTATTGTGCTATAGAAAGTTTTATTTATTTAATTAATTAATTCCGGAACGTTTTACAACTTGTAGAAATGATTCCGGAAAATACAAAAGTAAAGAAAAAACACAAAATCAGAATTGCATAAGATCCGGAAAAGTTTATTTTATTTAATTGATACCTTCCGTAAAGGTTCAAAAATTGTAAAAATACTTCCGGAAAATACAAAAGTAGAGAAAAAACACAAAATCAGAGTTTTATAAATTCCGGAAAAGTTTATCTTATTTAATTATTTCCGGAAAGTTAAGAAACTTGTAGAAATGTTTCCGGAAAATATTAAGAAAGAAAAGAAAAATACAATTGCAATATTTCCGGAAAGTTGGTTGTTGTACAAAGTTTTGTTTATTTTAAATAAAATACAATTGTATAATTAAACCATTTTATAATTGTAAAATTTAAAGAATTTAAAGAATAGGGGTAGAGCTTAAAGAAACATCAATAATTAATGGATGCAATTTTTAATGATTAAACATTAGCTCAAAATAAAAATAAAATATTTCTAAACTTGCTTAAACAGATTATAATTTTATTTTTAGCAAAGAAAAAAATATTGAAAAAAAAATTTTTTTAATTTAAAAAAAAAAGTAAAAAATTTTTTATCATAAAATAAAAATGCCAATTAATTAAAGTAATTTTCTATCAATTTTTTAATGAAAATTAATCCCCCCCCCCTCACACACACAACAATAAAAATTGCGTGACGCAAATTAATTTACTATAATTTAACGTTAAAGCTCTCTAATTATTTTTCCCCTTAATTTTTTAAATTTTAATAATATAAAAAACTATTAAAATTGCCAATTTAAAAATGAAAAAGTATAAGAGTAAAATAAGTGCATATAAGAGTAAAATAAGTGCAAAGCTTAAGTTTGTAAATCACTCTCAAGTTTTCCGGAAAAGTTGGTAGGTTGTATTTAAGTTTGCGTTTTTGTGTTTTTAATCAAGTTTAATTAAAATGAAACCGGGGACTAGTTTTAAGTTTATATTTCCCGGAAGATTGTAAAATTGTAAAAAAAGTTTGTTTAAGATTGTAAAACCTTAATTGGAAAAAAACAATTAATTAATTAATTTGTAAAACTAGCCAACTTTTTAATTTTACAAACCCCCTCAAAATTGCAACAAAATCATAAGATTAATTAGAAAGAAGGGAAAAGGCGTATAGCGTATAAACTAAAAATTAAAATAATGATTTAATTTAAATTGCTTTTAATTAAGTAAACAAATGATATATTTATAAATTTAATTAAAAGAGGTAATTAATTAATTTGATAAGCAATAAATTAATATATTAAATATTAAAAATAAAATTTAGCACAAATTTAATGGAAAAAATAGATAAAAAAAAATAATTTTTTTTTCAAATTAAATTTACAAAAAAATGAAAGAAATATTAAGATAATTTCTAAAAAATTCCGTGAAAATTTCATAAAAAATTTCCTAAAACTCAAAATTTAATAATTATGTATATAGTAGTAGGCTTAAACATGTAAGTATTTATTCTGACATTTACTACCACTATTTTTAGAAAATCTAATAAAAATTTGCACTAAAATATATAAATTGTAATAAAATATACTTATTATAATTTTTATTTTATTAATATATTTAACGGAACAAAGATTTTTATAAAAATAAATAAAATAAGATAATTATTATTAGAAAAATGCAAATAATAAAATTAGCTTTTCTCGAGTACGTTTCAAGAACAACAGGTGAACTTTATTTTAGAAAAAAAAAATACAATAAGCATTTTTATTAGTTTAGCAAGAATACAACATGGCTACAAAACACAAAAATAAATTCAAAAAAAAAATTTCTAGAATCAGAAAAAATTTTTTGAGAACTTCCCCACACTAGAAATAGGTAAATATTCTTTCGATTAACCAAAAAAAATTTTTTTTCTAAATCAATTTTTCTTACATTTTTTTCCAAATTGATTTAGGTCTTAAAAATAAGATTATCATTTTTTTATTTTCAAAAACTAAATCTAATTTGTGTAATAAAATAAATATTATTTCCCCCATTTAAATCCTACCTCTCTCCTCTCCACCTATAAATTTCCGGTTCTTTTTTAATTTTTAGTGATTTCAACCGATATATTAAATTAATCGTAAATTATAAATTTTTATTTATAAATATATTATATTGTTTTTGTAGCCCTATTTTTTGAAAATTAAAATAAAAAAATTTTTGAAAAAATAAAAAAAAAATTTCAGGTTAAGATAAATAAGCAGAAGCAACGCTCCAAGTCGTTTCAGTTTTTTAACATAAAAAATTTTTGTCAAGTTAAATAAAAATTTTTAAATTTTATATATAATTTTTAGGCTAATATATATTCATTATTTAACCATAAAATAAAGAATTAAAAATTTAAAATTTTAAAACTGAGTTAAAAGGATATATGTATAAAAACTGAAACGACTTCACTCCCCCACTATACAATTTAAGAAAGAAATGTAAAATTCTAAAGAAATTAATTAATTAATTAAAAATTAAAAAAAAATACAAGTTAATTCTTTGAAAAAGTCATTCTTGAAAAAGTAAATAAAGAAAAAAAAATTCAGAAAAAAATTTTCTTTTTAAACTTAAAGCTAAATGTGTACTAAATGTATTTTTTTTTGCTGCTTTAATAATAATAGTGCTGCTAATAGTGTGTTAATGGTGTTAAAAAAGCAACAAAATAATTAAACCAACAAATACAAAAAATAATGTTTCTTCCCCCTTTTTTCTCTCTCAATTAATGAGCCGACAAAAAATAAATAAATAATGAATACATTAATAAATACATTAAAATAAATAAAAATAAAGGCCACAAGCACTACTTGGCCGTTGTTTTTTCCCCTTTATTTTTAGCAAATACACACAAAATTGCTTTATTTTATTTGTGTTAATGGGATTTTGCTTTTCGATACATTGAAAGAGATAAAGAGATATTTTAATTTATATTTTTTATTTTATTATTTAATGAATGCGCTTTTTAAAAAAACTAAAAAAAATTGTATTCATTATAAATGAATAAAAAATGGCCGGAAAAAAAATAAAAATAAAATTGGTGGTGGGTGATGTTTACAAAGAATCTCTCTATCTACTATTAGCAGCTATAAGAAATAATAATAAAAAAAAGTTGGGGGGTAAAAATGGATTCCGTTTAATAATAATAAAAAAATGGAAAAAAAATTAATTGTCTTTTTCCTTCTTTAATTTCTCCATTTTAAATATTAAAAAATTTTTTTTTGTCTAAAAAATTGTTTATTAAAAGACAATTAATCAAAAAAATTAAATTAATTCAAAATATATAAGCATATTTAGATGCTTCAGTCGTGCTGAATGGGATAAACGAAAAAGACATAAAATTAAACGGTTCTGGTCTGATTCGGTAGAGAAATTTAAAGCGGCCACAAAATAGATACAAATTATTAATTTTGAAACTATACAAAATAAAGGATTGTGCTACAGATTAAGGTTGTCGGATAGCTAGAAATCTTCGGATATACAGTTCCGATATTTGAAAATTTCCGGATATCCCCTCTTTTTCTATATCAGGATCCGGAAAACCTTACTTCAGACATGTGATTAATCCTCTATTAAATGATACCCCCAAAATAATTGTTTAAATAAGTAATTTTGCTGTACAATTTAATATTACTCTTATTTTAAAAATAAAAAAAATTTTAGGTGAAAATAAAATATGAAGAAAAATAAAATAAAAATTATATTAATAATAAATTTTTCGTAAATAAATCTTGAAAATTTTGGGGAATGAAAAATATATTAAATAAAAATGAGAAAAATAAAAGAAAAAGCTCTTTATTATTCATTTTATTATTTGATTTTAAATGAATCATCTAAAATGCAAGTAAAAAATAAAATATACTACCTACTAACTACCTTCCCACCTATCAGGCGCAAAGCTATAAAGAAATAAAATTTTTCCTGACACTCCCTCCTCCCCAATTTTTATTTCTAATAAAATAAGCGGATTTTTTCTTGACCAAATTTTTAAGAGTAAATAACGGAAAAAAATTTTTTTTAGCAAAGTCAAGTCCAGAAAAAAATATTAGTAAAATATTAAAAGCTTTGACCATATAAAGAAGAATTTTTTTAATTTTGCGCGATAAATACAAAAAAAATATAAGAAAGCGGCCAAGCCTTTAAAAATATTGTACGGTTATGCTTATATCTACATTTATTTAGTAATGGTCAGCAAACAATATATAAAGTAACCAATCAGAATAAAATACAAAAATAAAGTTGCTAATATTAGACAGGCTAGAAATAAAAGAATAAAAATAAATTTTGATATAAACTCTCCGGAAAAGTTGAAATTAATTTTTGTATTTTACAAAAATAGAAAATATAAATTTTCTGATCTTAAGAGAAAATTCTGATATAGTTTCCGGAAAGCTTCAAATAGATTATTCTGAATTTTATATTGTTGTATTTTTGTTGTATTTTCCGGAAAATAAATAAAATATTTTGATAGAATTTCCAAAAATTTTTAATTAAGTTTTGTATTTTCCGGAAAGTTTATACAAATATAAATTCTGATTTTAAAAGAAAAATTCTGATAGTTTCCGGAAAGATTTATTTAATGTATTTTTCGGAAAGTTTTACACAAATTATAATATAATTCTGATTTTTATACCTTTCCATACAAATCTCTCATTTTTATTATACTATCTCACACACATTTAGCAACAAAATTGTTCAATATACTTAACACACATTTTCTCACATACTCACAAATTAATTCTGATATGCTTAAAATTATCAACACACAATCTCTTCCTTTTTCTTTTAATTTCTCTTCAATTTTCACATTTACCATAATCTTCTTAATTATTTTTTTATTTATTTTCTGTTCTGATAAATTATTACCCTCGCCTTAATAACCATATAACCTTAATGAGTGTTTCTCTCACCCATATTTATTAATCTTTAATTAAACACAATTTTTCATTGGAATATATTTAATAATAATAATTTTCTTCCGATAAATTAATATGTATATACATATCTATATAAATAAATGTTTTATCGCGGCCAAGAAATATAAATAAATTGTGTAATATTTAGAGGTGTTTGGTGTTGACCCAATAAATTTATTTAATATTTTATTTTGTAATAATAAAGAAAATCCTCTTAAAAATAAATGAGAGTGAAATAAATATATTTGATTAAATAAAAAAAAAGTTAATGAGTAATAAATTATATAAATTTTGGAAAAATTTGAAGGGGAAAAATATAAAAAAATTAATTAGCAGAAATTGATGAAATGTCTTAAATTTTAAAACAAATATAAAAACACAAAGAAAACACAAAGAAAATACAAACAAAATACAAAAAGTTTTTTAAGGTTTCCGGAAAAAGACTATCATGTTTGCTTATTGTGTGTTAATTCCGGAAAATGTTGCAGTTGTATTTTGTAACAAGTTTTTAAGGTTTCCGGAAAAAGACTATTAAGTATAAATATTGTGTTTTCCGGAAAGTTTCCGGAATGTTTTACACAAATTAAACGAACAAAATGCCAAATATTTTTTTGTATTTTCAAAAATAAAAATTAAAAAATTTACTAATTAGATTATAATCTCTCTTTTTTATGTTAATTAGCCATTAAAAAATTTTTATAATTTAATGACCTTTACAAGATTGAAAGTTTACACACAACCAAAAATAGCTAATTTTTTCTATCCATTTTCTTAATTTTTAAACACACACACTTAACTTCCGTCTGTCAATTTGCATAATTATTTTATTTATTTTAATTTTTTACAGTCATTAGCCTCTCCTCTCTTTAGAAAAAATAACTGGTTTTTTTCTCTCTTTAATTTTTCTGCTTTTCAATTTAATTTCCCCATCAAATTTCACCCTCTAAAAGCAATTAAAAAAACCCAAAAATTTCCCAAAAATTTCTACGTTATACATTAAGCTCACATTGAAACATCCGCGCAAGTATTTCACAAGAAAATAATTTTTTGAACAAGCAACAATATACACAAACACAAAAACAGAGAAATACAAAAGCACATATCCAAAATTAAATTTCCCCTTCTCCAAGTATCAACAAAATCTTTCTTAAAACAAAATTACCTATTAAATATTTAAATGAACATAAATAAAAAAAATTTTCTTCCATTCTTCATCCTCTACCTTTCCATTCAAAATAATCGCTAAATTACCCCTATATCCGTTGCAAATAAAAAATAAAAGGTGTGTGTGTTTTTATTTATTGCTTCTTTTAACCTAAAACTAAATAGTAGTAAAATCACCTCACTTCCTTTCCACCTTTTCAACCAATTTCCACAGCTAATACTTAAAGCCAATTTCCTCACAAAAAATTTCTCCCTTTAAAAAGCTTCAAGTCTTTCATTAAATTTTTTATATTTTAAAAAAGTATTTTACGTAAAACACAAATTAAAATATGAAAAAGCAAATATGCCCAAGATGAGAAATTTTAATAATTTAATTGTTAAGAGTTGAAAAAATTAAAGGCAATTTAAAAATTAAAAAATTTTTTTTTGATTTTACAAGAGATTAAAAAAACAACAAAACAAATTGAAAAATAATTGGAAGAAACTAAAATATGTAGTAGTAGAATTACCCCACCCTTCCTTCCGCACACATCCCCCTCACCCACACATCCACCACTTTCCTCTCCCTTATCTTCATCATCTTAACTAACTAAAATTTAAAAAAATATATAAATATTTAATTTTCAATAATAGAACCAATTTTCGGATTTAAATAAATAAATGCTCATCATCTCAATTACTTTTCTTCCTCTCTTCCTACTTCCTCCTCCTACTTCCTCCCCTACCTTTCCTCAATCTCCCCCTAAAAATACTATTATACTATACCTCACTCAAATACACACACACGTTTACAAAAAATTTTTTTGAGGGAGATAAAATGGCCACAACAACAATTTACGTCTCATTTAATTTGCTTTATTTTTTAATCTTAATTTTGTCCCCCCTCCCAAAAAAATCTTTTTCATGCATTTCACACACAATATTTTATTTCTTCTTTCCCCCCAAAAATATAGTTTAAGGGATTAATAATAGAAATAAAAAATATAATAATAAATTTAATATGATTCACAAAAATTTTTCCATTCCTTTTCAATTTCCTCAAAATAATAAAATAAAAAAATCATAAAAATGAAACTAAATATAAATAAAGGTAGGTATATGATTAAAACTGAAGAAAAAAATTTAGAGAAAAAAATTTTTTAATAGGGAAAAATAGGTCCAGAAATAATAATAAAAATCCCTCATCTTTTTCTTCTTACAATAGGTGTGAATAATAATAATTAAAAGTTTTTAAAAATATTTTTATTAAAGATTTTTATTTTGTGGGTGTGGCATAAAAATAGTAAACCCTCCAAATATTTTATTAAATTTAAATAGAGAGAAAAAAAAAAGAAGAAAAAGTCAAAAAAAAAAGAAAAAGCATCCACACAACAAACCAATAATATTTAATTTAAAACCCACCCAAAATGAGGAAGAATACTGTCAATTTATTCTTCCCCATTGCTTAAAAAATAAATATAATAGTATAGTAGGAGGTAGATAAATTTAATTAGAGTAATAAAATACGCGCAGAAAATTGAAAAAATATTAGAAATCCACAGACTTTCCTTTCTCCATCTGGCAACATATTTTAAGAGAATCATTTAAATTTTAACAAATTTTTGAGAAGAAAAAAAATTTAAAATATTAAGACACAAAATTTTAAAGACTCACACAAAATTTGATTTCATATTAAAAAAATTGTAGAGAAAAGTCGTAGGTCGTTTAAATGCCAAAAGAAAGAAAAGTCTCATAATTAAGGTTGGGGTTTTCGAGAAGGTCTGACGTTCGAGTCATTTTTATCGGGCCGGGCCGACCGAATATTTTTCGTGCCAAAATTCGATGCCGATCGATCTTTAGATCCGGACCCTAAATCCTACTCATAATGAAAGAAAAAAAATTTTTAACTGATACTTACGTATAAAGAAAGGGTTGTTTTATAGAAAAATTATAGCTGAATATAAGCACCTTAAAAAAATTCAGTTTTTTAATTAAAAAAAGGAAACAAATAAAAAATTAAAAAATTTTTCTTCATTATTATTATTGGATTTAAGACAAAAATTAAATAGAAAAATTTTTAATAAGAATAATTAAACATGCAAATAAATTCTGAAAAAAAAGAGAGAGAGAATTTATTCATTTATTTGTTTTAAAATGAACTTTCTTTTTTTAATTTAAAAAAAAATTTTTGCTTCTCAAGTTTTTATTATTATTAAATTCTTAAAATTTAATAAAGAAAATTATAATTAAAAAATTGAAACTGCTGAAGGAAAAAATATTTTTTTTATTTTGTGTTAATTTTCGTGACCGAGTAGTTAAGTAAAATAAAAATACAGATAAAAATTAAAAATTTAATAGAACAAAATTTTAAAAATTAAAAAAATAAAAAATGTAATAAATAATAAAAAATTGTGCTCTAAAATTAAATGACAACCGTGTCAGCCTTTCATAAATCCCCCCCCCCTTCCCCACACATCCCCCCATTTATCCCGTTAATGCAATAAAATAAAAATTTCAAAAACAAGGACATTTATAAAATTAAAATTTTTTATTTATTTACAAGATGATGATATTAAAATTAAAAGAATATTAAAAAAGACGGCATTTTTCAAATAAAAAAAATCAAAACAAATAAAGTAGTAAAAAATATGGCGCGCGAGCATAAAATCCCTCTTATTTATGGTGTTTATTTACAGGTAAAAAAATTTTATTTTTATATTTGCAACTTTAGATAATCACAAAAATCAAAACAAAATATGCCGAAAATACAAAAATTAAATAATAAAAATAAATACAAATGACCTAGTAGATTATTAGGTAATAATGCAAAATCTACGGTACAACCCCCCCCCCCCCCAGAACATTTTACTTAACCTTGGTTTATTAAAACGTGAAAAGGCTTTTTTATCTTTACAATTGTAAAACTAAAACATTAAATAAAAATTTGTTTTTACAAACTTGAAAATAAACTTTTTTGAAGTTTTACAATTGTAAAATAAACTTGAAACTTTTGTAAAATTACAAACTTAAAGATACATAATATAGGAAAAGTCGTCGTTTCATTGCTTTTCTTTGTACATATTTCAAAAATTTAAATTTTTTTCCCGAAAAAAATTTTTATTAAATGATCATTTCGATAGATAATTAAATATGCTATTAAAAAATTTAGAAATAATTTTGAATTAAATTTAAAAAGATTTAAAATAAAAATCCTCAAATAAAAATCAAAAATGTTGTAGATTTTTTACCAGTAACTTTTTTTATTAATCATTTTAAATTTCAATTTTTTCCGATCATTCCAAATAAAATTTTTAATTCTCTATCAAATGGTTCAAATGGTATGAAAAGCATTAAAAATGATTCATTTATTTTAAGTTATAAATCTTGAAATGAAACGACCTAAATAAAATAATTTTTAACAAAAAATACCGTAATAAAAAAAGAAGAGAAAAAAGGCTGTAAAAAATTTAAAAAAGCATAATATTGACTCAGGCTTTTTTTAAAAAAATTGGATGATCATTTTAATGTAATGGGAAAATATTTAATAAACGCATATTTTTAACACAATTTAAAAATATATTTAGAAACATTGGCGTTGATTGAGAAAAAGTTTGAAAGAAAAGTTGGAAAAAATGTTGGGGAAAGAGTTGATTAAGTTGGATAAATTGAAAAAAGTTTGAACAAAAAAGTTGGAGAGTTTAAAAAAAGTTGGTTAAGTTGGAAAAGGTTGGACAAGATTTAAGTTTGATTTTGAATTAAAAAAGCGCTAAGAAGACTGGATTTAAAATCCAATATATCTCATCAAGAAATAGAGATAAAAATCTGAATTTTATATCAAAAGATAGAGGAGATTTTAAGCTAGAATATAACCAAAAATTAGATTTTTACATTAAATTTAGGAAAAGTAGTGAATTTTTAAATGAAAGTGGTGTTGATTTTTAAAGGGATTCTCGCCTAAATTATTTTCAAAATTAGAAAAAAATCCAAAAATTAAAAAAAAAATTTTTGTATCATTAAATATCCCCAATTTACAGATATTATGAGCCAAATATCACATTTAAATCCCCTTTTTATTAAACAAAAGTTAAATTGCCCTTCTATGTCCCTCAGTTTCCTGTCTCCCCCTCTATCCCCCAACTAAGTGTGAATCAACACAGAAAATATTATTATTTTGCCATTTTTTGGAGGTTCATTTAAATTAGAATTTTTTCGATAGTCAATTTCCGTTTATTGCCCCAAATTATTTTATATTTTATAAAAATAATAACATTTTCTGGATGAGCACCACCACCACAACCCCAGACACACTTTTCGTCTCAATTTTTTGGCCGTCGGCATTTTTGTAGAAAAAAAAATAAATACTTGTTTTACTTGTATTTTTAAAATGATTGAGTGGCCATATTGGACATATACTACCAAAATAGGAAAAAAGGAAAAAATCTGTTGTAGAAAAAAATAGCCTCAAAAAGGAGGTAAAAAAGGTAGACGGTAATTAATGCTTATTTGAGTCTAAGATTTGGATCACAAATTGGATCTCAAAAAAATTAATGAATAGTACATATTGATAAAAAATTAAATACAGAATTAAATAGGTTATCACTTAATAGAAGATAATAAATTTTAATAAAAAGGACAAGAAAATTGTACAAGAAAAACTGGCATTTTTCGGGTATTCTTTGGGAGGTACCGGAATTTTGGATTTGGATCAAGACACCAAGACTTTGATTTCAATTTTAGATAAGATCCGTTTTTTCCGTTTGGTGTCCAAAATCCTGCTGGTGACCAAAATTCCAAAAAATTTGTGACCAAAGTTCCGAAAAATATAGGTGACATTATTCCAGTGCCCAATATTCCGTAAATCATTTTTTGGATATTTTTGATAGTTTTCCTGTAACAACTTTAATTAAAATAATTTTAAAAATTCCAATTTTTAGCGTTCTATAGTCTCATTAATTCTCGATAAAAAACCATCAAAAAATATTTTAAAAAATCAAAAGATATATGAAGAATATCTACTCAAGCTCAACTACATTATAGTAATCGTTTAAATAAAATAACACTTAAATCGAGTAAAAAATAATAATTTTTAGGTAAAAGAAGCGTGTAACAAAATATAGAAAAAGTGGGAGTGTGGATTTGTTATTTTTGTTAAATAAAAAAATTTTTTAAAGGGCCGGAAGAAGAGAAAAGAATGTTTTTGGAGGCGAACTTGTCGTTTCTAAGGCCATCAAAAATAAAAAAAAGTTTCAGAAACTTTTTTTTGCTAATGGCTAAAAATAAGTGTATATATCTAGGTAATAATGTTGCTAAAAATAATATATTAAATTGATAGAAAAAAATATTAAATTACAAAAATTATTAGTATTTTTTTAATGTGTGTGTTAGTCTTTGAGCTATAAATATTGTTTCCGGAAAAACTTAATATTAAACTTGTTACAAAGCTACAGTAGAAATTAGAAGACTAGCAACAATTGTAAAAAAAGTTGCAATCGAAAAATTGAAAATGTAAAACAAATAAATTCAGAATTAAGCTCAGAAATATAAATTAAAACAAAATTAGAATTACAATAAAAATCAGAATTTGTAAATATGTTTGAAAATTACAAGAACAAAAACATAAATAATTACAAGGCTTCGCAATGAAACGTCCCTAAATTATAACCCCACACAAAAAATGTAACAGAAAAAAATTATTTAATTAGAAGGTAAAAAAAAAGAATTTTTTATTGTCTTTTGCGCATTTAAGGAAGAAATTTAAATTAAATTGAGGCAAATTTGTTTTGGGAAAATAATTTAAAAATTAATGAGAAGAAAAATAAAATAAATTGAGGAACGGAAATTTTAAAATTAAAAGTTCAGCCGGAAAAAATTTTTAAAAAAAGAAAGAGGTTGATAGGATTTGGAAAAAATAAGAGTGAAAAATTAGAAGGTAATGGGAAAAAATAAATAAAATTAAAATTAAAATATAAATGGGAATGAATAAATAATCTATTTAAAATTTTAAAAAATTAAAAATTAATTTCTGGAATTAAAAAAAAATTTTTTTTTGCTTCAAATTTAATAAAAAAATTAAATAATAAAATTCTTAAAACTAAAAAAATTGAAAAAAAATTCTCACAAAATGCTCAAAAAAATTTAAATTAAACTCCCCACCTCCTAACCACCAATCCAAACAGAGCAAAACCAAATCCTTCAGAATGAAACAATCCAAAACATGTTGTAATTAAAATAATGCTGCAAATAATTGTCGTTTGTTGTTGTAAATAATTTGACAAGTTTGAGAGGAGAAACAATCCAAAACATGTTTTGTAGTCAAACAGAGTTCTGAAAAAAACAAGTTGTAAAACAAGTAAATTGTTAATGTTTGAATAAATCGTAAACAAGTTTTAAAGTTCATTTTACGATTGTAAAAACAACCCCAAATCAGAATAAATAAAAAAAACATGGGAAAATTCTGGTTCGTAAAAACATTCAACAAACATGACATAAACACAAAACAAAACAGAATAAACAAATCAGAATAAAGTTAAAACAAGTTTATTTTACAGGTTTTAAAGTTCATTTTACAATTGTAAAACTTCAAAACCAGAATTATTAAAAATAAAACAAGTTTTTCAAAACTTGTACTTTTATAGTAAAAAAAGTTTTAAACTTACTAATTGTGATGCACAAAAGTAATATTAAAACATATAGCCAGGTGTGTTGTTAAAAATTTTTTATTGTTGTTGTTAAAGACATTTAATAAAATATATATCCAGTTGACGTTAAAATTTGCCATTAAAAATATATTTTATATTTTATTTGCCTGCAAATCAAAAAATAAAATATTTTAGAGTATTAAATTTGATGGAGACAAGCATTTAGTATATTAATAACATGACAAGTTGGAAATATAATAAATAATGATGATTTTTGAGTGACAGATGTTGAATGAGGTAAGTAGTTAGTAGAAAGGTGTAGAAAAACAATTTGTAATAATTTTTCTGATTTTTTCAAGTTACTTAAAAAGATTTGACATGTTTTAAAAACACAAAAATAAATATTCTATTAATAGAAATTGGGTGGTTTGGAGAAATATTAAATTACATAACTTTGATTTAATATATATTTATAAACTCTCAAGTCATTTGCTAAAACTTTGCTAAAAATTTCAGAATTATTTTAAAACATGTTGAGAGGGAAACATTTTGTGTTTTTAAAACATCAAAGGTAAAATAAAGTTTGTGTTTTAATTTAATACTAAAAATAAAGTTCAATAAATAAATCAGAATTAAATTAAAACAAATCAGAATTAATTTAAACAAATCAGAATTAAAGTAAAACAAACCAGAATTACAAACAAACAGAACAGCATCACAAATAAAAAATCAGAATTTCAAACAAACAAATCAGAATACAATCAAAACATTAATAAATACAAACCAGAAAAACACAAACACAAATAAATAAACAAAAACACACAAATCAGAATTACACATCAGAAAAACACAAAAATATTTCACAAACAAAACCAATTAAAAAAACCAGAATAAAATCTAAACAAGCAACCAAAATCGAAAAATAATTCCAAAAGAATTAATTTAAAAAATTAATTAAATTTAGTAGCTTCATTTTAGCTTTATAAAATTCTCCCAAACAATCTTTCGTTTCCTAAAACAATTTGAATTAAATGAAATGTGATCCCCTCACGTTTAGGGGCTTCATAAAATTAATCCCCAATTTCTTATTTTTCAATTTAGAGCTAATAAAAAATAAAAGAATTAAATAAAGATAAAAGGGATTAGCTAGCTAAATTTAAATATTTTTAGAAAGAAATAGCAAAAACAGAAGAGAAACAAACACAGCAAAAAGAAAAACAAATCAGAATAAATTAAAAACATAGGAAAATTCTGATTTTGGAAAAACATCAAAACACACTCAACAAACACACAACAAAGAAAAATTAGAAACAAATCAGAATTAAATTAAAACATTAAAAATATCAAAACAAAAATCAGAATAAAATTAAAACATTGAAAATATCAAAACAGAAAATCAGAATTAAATTAAAACAAGAAAACAATAAACTAAACAGAACACAAAGGAAAAACAATGTTAGGTATAAAGGGGCAAACAGCTAAAATCAATTAGTCAAAATAAATAGTTAAATACCTTAAATAGTTAAATATGCGGGAAAAGAATAGGGGAAGAGACTTATTTAAAATAATAAATTGGCCAATTTTTGAGTATACAATTTACTAGTTAAAAGAAAAATGAGGGAAGGATTAACTTTTTGTTTTGTGAAAACCAATTCTCTTCCCGAGGGTGCTGTGAATTTTTAATGAAAAAGGAAAGAGGAGGAAGGAAAGGAATTTTTAAAAGAATATTGGGTTTAAATAAGCAAAGAGAAAAAAGAATAATTTAATTAGTTAATAGAGTACTAATTAATTTGAATTTATTGATTTTTCTGAGGTCAGAGAAAATGAACTTTGTTCAGAGAAAATAAACAACAAACAAATCAAAGAACAGTACTAAATAAGGAAAAAGAAACAGAAAACAAACAGAAAAACAATCATAAAATACACAATGTTAGAAAAACATAGCAAAAACAAATCAGAAAAACATGCATTAGAGAAAAGAAAAACATCCCAGAAAAACATGCGTTAGAGAAAATAAAAACATCCCAGAAAAACATGCGTTAGAGAAAAGAAAAACATACCAGAAAAACAGAACTCCTAAAAACACTTAAAAATTCTAATTTTAATAAAACAAAGTGTCAGAGAAAAACAGAAAAACATAAAATTAAAATGCGTGTGGTATTTTCCAAAAACATAAATAAATAAAACAAAAATACATACATATAATTTACATAATACACCCACAAATACTGGAATGCCAATCCCAATTCAACTTGTTAAAAAAATTTTTTAATATGCAAAATGGCACATCCAAAAAATTCCAAATTTTCCCAGCAAACAATGTTGTCATGGAAAAATTTTTAACAAAAAAAGAAAAATGGGATTCTGTTAAATTTATTAAAGCAAAAGTAAATTATATTAACTCATAGATACCGTAAAACATAGGCAAAACAAAAATCATAAAACAAACAAAAGTTAACACAAAAATTAAAGAAACAACACAAAACACCAGAACACAACTAAAACACATAAATCAGAAAAGCACAAACAGAAGGAAATCAGAAAAACATATAATAGAAAAATATAAAAACACAAACAGAAGGAAAAACACAAAACAATATAAAACATTAGAACATAGCTAAAACACATAAACAGAAAAACAAAATCAGAAAAACACATTAACAACAAAACAGAAAAACACAAAATCAGAAAAACATAGACAGAAACAGAAGAAACACAAAAACAGAAGAAACACAAAAACAAAAGAAACAATACAAAACAACAGAAACACAACTAAAACAGTAACCAGAAAAATCAGAAAAACATAAAAACACAGACAGAAGGAAAAACACAAAAACAAAACACACTCATCAGAAAAACATTTGCATATCAGAAAAACAAATCAGAAATTAAAATAAACAACCTTGTCAAATAATCTCCAAATATTGCCCCAATATTCACGCGCTAATAAAAATTAAATTTCATAAAAAAAGTATTTTCACAAATTTGAAAAATTGAAAATTTAAAATAATTAAAATCTGACAACATTTTTATTCTTCAAAGAAAATTAAAAAAAATAAAACTATAATTTTTTTAATAAACAAAAAAGAAAAATAAAATATAGTAATAAAAGCGCCATATTCTCTCTCCTCTCCCTGTCTCACACTACAAAAATTAATTGTATGAGAAGAAAAAAATTTTTTATCCAGAAAAATAACCCATTTTTCAAGAATCAAAAAAATATTTTTTTTTGAAAAAAAATTCTGAAACTTTAAAACCCCCAAAAAAATTTTCCCTCTTAACCTGAAAAAATTTTTCCCCTTCACCTGAAAAATTTTTTTTTAATTTTTTTCTCTCATCCCACCCCTATCCTCAAATTTAAATTTATATATAAAATTTAACTAATTAAAAAAAAATTTCATACTACTGCTTTTTTTAAAATTAATTTTGCTTTTTTAAAAATTCTTCTTTCAATTCTTTTCCTTCTCCTTAACAACTTCTTGCCCTCCTTCTTCTCCTCCTCTTCCTTGTTTTTCTAATTTAAGTTTTTCCAATTCAATTTTAATTTTTTCTTCATTTTTAATTTTTTCCATTTGATTAATTTCTAAACGTTGTCCAGAAGATAAACGTTCTTTCAAAATTTCAATATCATCCAATTTTTTTTGACATGAACGAATTTTCTTTTCAATTTCATTTAGTCCACTTGCTGCAGATGAATTATTATTGTTGGAAGCATTTTTATTTGTTGAAGATTTTGCTCCTGTTGTTGACGGTTTTCCTCCTCCACCACCTCCTCCTTTTTGATTAGAATTTTTTCCTTAAAAAGCAAAAAAAAATTTTTTTGGGAGTTTAAATGACTAAAAAGATTTGAATCTGAGGAGGAAGTAAACCAGTACTTTATAGGGCTACGGGAGCTAGTCATGAGCAGAAGCCCAAATTTGAAAAAGGTCGGAGCCGGAGCCAACAAATGCCCAAACCACAGCACTGAAGTACACCCAAGGAGAGGTCCTAAGAAACAGTCAACTCTAAAACCGATCATAGACTGGGGTAAAGAGCTGAATTGACCCAGTATGATTCAGGGATTCATATCTAACACTCTCACAGCTCACTCACCTAATTGTGCCTAATTGACCAAATTTAAGGATGCGAACTCGAAAAAGGCCTGCTCCCAAACCGTATGTTAGCATTTTAAAACTAACTCCTCTTCGAAAAAAAATTTTCAAAAATTAAAGAGAAAAACCTCTCAAATGCGGAGGTACATAAACACCTTGGGAAGTTACAGCTCCCTTTGGAAGACTATCCACCAAATTATTATTGTTGCTAGTATATCCCATTTTTGAATTTATACTTTTTTGTTCTTTAGAAGGCTCTTCTATTGCAAATTTTGAATATGAATTGCTAGGCTTCCATTTGACCTTTTTTATTGAAAAAATTTTAAAAAATCCTAAAATTAAAAAAAAACCTCCCACAATTCTTCCTTTTCAAACAAATGTTCAGCAACTTTAATTCCCTGATAAGTCCATATACGATAACCATTATCTGTTCTTAAACGTGGTGCGGTAGTTGAAGTGCTATAAAAAATTTTTGAAAGGAATTTTCGGTATGATCCCTTAATGTCAAAAGCCGAAATGCCAAAGAACTATTGACAAAGAGGGTACACTTATTCCCTTCCACCTCCCAGCTTTTTATTTGATGCCAAAACCCGCCTTAATCCAAAAAAAGATCGAGATGACAAACCACCGAAAAGCTGATAAAATGCCCACATGTTGATCCAACAATGGGGGATGATGTTCCTAGCAAATCTCCGCAGGACAAACTGTTTTCCCAGTTGAAGGAACCGCTTCCCCATGGTCATCATTGGAACAACGTTTCGATGGGTGGAGTTACTTTGCCATTTACACAGTTAAGCACTTTATCAGCTTATGGAGGTTTGGACTTTTATTTGGATTTTCACTATTTTAAGGCACATTCCGCTTTTTTTCTATTTTTAGAAAAAAAATTTCAGAATTTTCTGAAAAACTCTGATTTTTAAAAAGAAATTCCCCCCCCCCCTCCCCAAAACAAACCAAATATGTTGTCCATCAGGTGCCCAACCAAAATGTGTTGTATGTGGAACACAAAATTGACTAATTTCTTTTCTTGTTGACAAATTCCAAAATTCCATTCTTCCAGAAGAAATATTTCCAAACCCACAAGTTACCAAAATTGTTGATTGGGGATTATAATGAATTTCATTTCGATGTCCTTCACCAATATCCCAAATTATATCACCTTTCATATTGAAAATTGTTACCTTTAAAAAAAATAAAAGAGTACTATACATTACAAGGCGGCCTCGGTTTTAAATATCCCTTAGCAAATTTCCAAATTAGCGCCCAATAAATCTTATTTAAAAATTAAGGGTATTCTAAATTGGAAGTACAATTGAGAGTTTGCACTTCCACTCTTCGCACATCATCCCAGTAGCCAAACAAAACTTAAAAAATCATATCTTAAAAAATGATGGATATCTAAAATTGGGAGGGATACCAAAAAAGGAAAAAGATATTAAAAAAGGGGAGAGATATCTGAAATCGAAGGAATCTAAAATTGGTAGAGGGTATTTAAAACCAAAATCAACCTTCCAAAAAAGAATTACAAAAATTTTAAAAAATAAACAAAAAAAACCTTTGAAGGCATAAACCCGTAACAAACACAAAATTCTTTTGCATTGGGTGCCCATTCTAAAAAAATTTTAATAAAATTATTAAAACAGCTTACAAAAAAAATTATTTACCAACAGAATGTACTGGCCCTTGCTTATCCAGAGGTACTTGAAAACATGAACCACCATCTTTTGTCAAAATACAATAAATATGGCTTACACCATAATAAGATTGATTTGATTTATCAACATCTACAGATGCTGTTACTAGTAAAGCAGAACCTTTAAAAATTTTAAAAAATAAATTTTTAAAATTAAAGAAAGGCAAAATTAAAAAAAAAAGCGAGGAGAAAATAAGAGAAGAAAAAAACTATTTCACAAAAAAATTAATTCGTCAAAATCAGAAAAAGAATTCTTTAAAAATATCCGAAGAAAGGTATTTAACTTTGGAAAAATGATACTAACATACAAGGGGCTAAATGGCACACCCCTTCCCAAAGGGGTGTGCCATTTCGCCTTACGTCTTTCGCCAAAATTACGCCTTTTTGGACTTTCACTTTCCGCTTTTTTATTGATTTTCAGCTCTTAAAATCTGTTTCGGCACATTCCTGCCATCCATAGTGTTTTTAAGATTAGGGATGTCACAGGTTGAGAGAAAAAGGTAATCAGTGCCATCCCTACCACTGATATATTCTTTTTTGAAAACTAAATTCCTATTTCCAAAACCCAAATTCCTCTGTCAATACTCATTGCCAAAAATAAATTAAAAAATAAACAACAAAAAATCTCAACCTTTAGTATTCCAATTCATTACACAACGATCACAATTAAAACTCGTCTTTGTATAAATTACATCCAATGAATCATTTAATGTTCTCAATTGAATTAATGCTGGTTGATTCTTTAAAATAAAAGAGAAGAAAAATTTAAAAAAATTTAAAAAAAAACCTTTGACGGAATAAAACAACCAATATGTGGAGATGAACCTGGACTTAAAGATAATTGAGCAATATCTTTAATTACAATCTTGTTTGAATATTTTTCTAAAAAGATAAAATTTTAAGTTTTAATTAAATTATAAAAAGAATTTTTTGGTAAGAAGTGTCAGAGCCTAGAAAAACTAATAAAATTAACGAAAGCACGGATGTCACGAGTTATCCAAAACCCCGGACGACTTTAGGCCAAAAACTGACCAAAGAAATTTTTGAAACCACATTACGAGATCCGGCCTTTCCTACAGATCAGGGATCGGAATAAAACATCCAATATGTGGAGATGAACCTGGCACCGACCCGATTTGGTTTTGTCGGTGCAATCCCTGCTACACCCGTAAATATCAATGCTAGAGAGCCGAGCCCAATGTGGACCCGAGACTTTTACACAAAGCTTAAATGCCGGTTACGCCCTTGACCAAAAAACTTGTAACAAAGTCTTCAAAGTTTTAAATTTAATTTAAGTTCCCCACCCAAGGATTAATAGATAAAACAACAAAAAAAATAAAAAAATTAACCAAATTCTCCATTTTTGTAGAATAAAATTTCAGAGCCTTTAACTCTAATAGCAATAGAATCATCATCAGTAAAATGAGGCTTCCAAACAGACTGTTTATCAGCAATTAAAGTAGCCAAAAGTTTACCAGTCGAAACTTCAAAAATACGAAGATTTGGATTTGGAGTTTTTACTGTTCCGTCTTGATTCATTCGAGTTCCATAAATTACATATCTGGAAAATTGAGGAGAATTTTTAATAATGAAGGCGTAACTAGCAAGGGCGTAGCCAAAGGGTCAATCTCAAGGGGTCTAAATTGGGGGCCCTAAAATTTACCTCCCAAAATTTTTTCACTTCTCCTATTTCAAGGAGGACTTCAACTCCCCCTGGCTACGCCCTTGGTAAAACGAGTAAAAAATTTATAAATTGAAGAAAGTTAACTAACAGAGTTTGAATCGAACTTCAAACCTAATAGGAGTTATATGACTATCAAAAAGGGCTTAAATGTTAACTAAATAAAAATCCAAAAAAGAAGGAAAAATTGAAAATATGACAAGTTCTCCCTACCAAGAGCCCAACAAAGAATTTCTCCCCCATTTAAAAATCCAGAAAAAAAACTTACGGCTCATAAGTAACCATATATTTATCCTTTGGTGAGAATAAAATACAATGAGTTTTAGCCAATTCAGAAGAAAAACATTCACGTCCAGTTGAAGATTCTACTAAAACTGTCCTTGAATTGAAAAAATTTTTTAAGGATTTCAAATAAAAAACCTTGAAGAGTCACAATAGGCAAAATAGGCTCCATCATTGCTAAATTTAAAACAACGACAAACTGCATATTTTGGATCTCTAAAATTGAAAAAAATTAAGGGATAGTCGATTGTTAAAAGAATATCTCAGTTAAAAAATCGATTTTCTGTTCGGTCAGTGGTCGTAAATCCCGAAAAGTAACCCAATGTATTTGCTAAAGATCAGGAGGCCTGATGTGGGAAAAGATATAGGTTTTTCCAAAAGAGAGTTGGCACACACACAATAGGCAAAATAGGCATATAATTATGAGTTAATGGACTTGGTCCATTGATCTGGACCATATCAAACATCTAGACAACATCTAGATTTAATTTATCAACCTGCCATGATGCGTATTCTGGGCTTGGAATCCAAATGTCAGCTGAAGGTAATCATTGAGCTTCCTGGGTAACCCGGACCAGTTATGCCAAACATGCTTCTAACAATCACAATCTCCCCTTATTCGATCGAATAGAAACCGATAACAAACAAAAAAACCTTACAATTTTTCCCCAGCCAATTCTTCAGGTTTCCCAAGTCCTCGTTTCAATGCAAAACCGGTAGATCCGCGAACTTGAAAAAAAATTAATTTTTTGATTAAAAAACAAAAAGAAACCTGCATATATTAAATCTGTCATTTCAAATTTATTTACACACAAGAAGAAATCTATAAGCAATTAAGAAGAAAAATAAATAAAAATTTATATATTTAAAAAAAATTGTTGTTGTGTAGAGACTACACTTTGAACATGGCAAAAAGGCTTTAAAAAAATTTAAAAAAAAATGAATATTTTATTTTACGAATAAATAAGAAAAAAGGATCAAAACTCCAATAAGAAAGCCTGGACCCGTTCCTGGACTCTGGGTTTGATTCATTGACCTGAACCGTATCGTGGGCCTGCAATCCAGGAAAAACGCAGGAAGGTCAAAAAATGCCTGGGCCTGGACTCTGGGTCCAGGAAAAACCCAGGCCTTGGTCCAGACCCATTTCGATCTCTATTATCCACGGAACAAGCATGAATGAAAGCAAAGGACACTTGTCAATTAGTCCCTTGTTTCAATTTCCGACTTGAACTTCTCTTATACTTATATTACGGAAGCTACATCAATAAGCTACAAGAGCTCTTACTTAGGCATCCTAAATGCTAGCAAGGTAAGTCTTCCACCTTATCCTTACAAAAAATCGAAGGAAATTCTTCGACAAAGTCGAAAAAAAGGAAAAATTTCAGTTAGCGCGGTAATAAATTCCCTTTTTTGACCATTTTTAAATACAACGCGCTGTAGATATTTTGTTTATTTTAAGCGATTTGTTATTATGAAAAATTATAAAAACTAGTAAAGGTAAGGAGAGAAGAAAAGTAAAGGAAAGAGAGTAAAGGAGAGAGAAGAAAAGTATAGGAGAGAAGAAGAAAAAGAGAAAAGGAAATAATTAAAAAATAGAAGATAATTAGTGTTCTCTATACCCTTTCTATTAACCATCTAAGAATTACCGTATTTCCTCAAATAGTACGGCCGGCCGTACTATTTTTCAACCCTCTTCCAAAGGGCCGTACTATTTGAGGGGGCCGTACTAATTGAGGGGGCCGTACTATATTTCAACCATCCTTCGGAATTTTCTGAATAATTTTTCTGGTTATGCCACCTTGAACTAAGGCTGTGTTTATTGGAATTTTTTTGTTTTTTATTACACACACTAGTGTATGCCTAAAAACTTAGACTTAATCATATGCCTAGATCCAAACTGAAATTACCAAAGACCTTAAAATGTAAGGCTGCATTTAAATATCAACTTTTGTTGTGTGTTTTATCGAGCGTCAAGTGTTAGGTTTGTGCATCGGTAAATGATTAATTTAAAAGATGAGAGATTAAGAAGGATTAGAGTGATTAAGGGTGATAAGATTAAGGGTGATAAGACTAGGGTGATAAGATTAAGGGTGATAAGACTATATATATATACTGATTAAGGGTGATAAGACTAGTTTACCTTATTTTAATGAGACTAGGACACGGATTCTGATTTTGGTATCCGGATATTTAGAGTGATTAAAGGGGTGATAGGACTAGTTTACCTTATTTTAATGAGACTAGGACACGGATTCTGATTTTGGTATCCGGATATTTACGGCGGATACAGACGGATATCCGCAGGCGTTTTTACAATATCTGTACTTACCATATCTGTATTATTTCGGTTCCGGTGAAACACTAATCTGTATCCATATGTATCCGTACGACTTCAACATCAACATCATCTACGACTTCAACCTAACACAGAACCTCTCGGTCACCCACTCTTATAAGGGCCATTGAAAGAAATTAAACATATTTCTTTGAATTTTTCAATTATTCCCAAGTACGAAAGAACAAATGATAGCAGTCGATGAACTTGTGTTTCAGAAAAGGGAATTTGATCTTGTGTGAAATAATCTTTAATGTCATTTACTTACTTTAATAGAGATTTTTAGAATAAGTATAGGGCGATAGTCCGGGTCCCTCCCGGTCAACCTTCAGAACCCGTTTCTCGGTTCCCGGACCCGGTTTTTTCAAAATTCTGATCTCTAACTATCTCATTTAAATAAGCATAAACATAAGCCATACGCTACATTAAAAATTGAAAAATAAACGGAAATAAACATAATTTAATTTTGAGGTTTTTAAACGGGGGCCGTACTATTTGAGGGGCCGTACTAATTGAGGGAGCCGTACTATTTTTCAACCCTCATCTAAAGGGCCGTACTAATAGAGGGGGCCGTACTAATAGAGGGGGCCGTACTATTTGAGGAAATACGGTACTTGTGCTCAAATCTTTTATTTTTGGGAATTCTCCCACAATTTATCCATGGACCGCTTCGGCGGACTATCTACTCTAGCAGAAAGCTGGTGGGGCAGTGGCTTCGGTCGCTGTGCAGCCAGTGGACACTATTGGTAGATAGACATCATTGGCTGTGCGATCTGGCAGCACTATTGGTTTAGTGCGCTTCTGTGGCTGTCCAATAGTGTTTGTGCGGAGGCAGTGCGCTGGTGACCATGAGAAAAATTTTGGAGTGTCCATGTGCCGTTTTGTACATGGGACCGGCCCCTGCTTAGGGGTCATTTAATGGTTAGAAATGTTGGTTTACTCATTCGATGCAGCTTGATGAGTAGAATTACTATTTCTCAAATCTGAGAGAAGTAAGGAGAGAGAAAATGGTTCTTCTGGACCATTTTGAAACTTTGAGAAAAAAGAGGAGGGTACGAAACCGACTATTACCGTTATCGCCACTTAAAGTTTCATTATAGATCAAGTTTAAACAACATATGACAACCAAAAGTCTAAAAACATTCACACAAAACACGAAAAAACCCCGAAAAAAGAGTCGAAAAATTGAGAAAAATGTCAAAAAAAATTTCTCTTTTTCTCTCGCCTGCAGTCTTTTCTTTTTTATAACAAGACAATTAATCCCAACATTACGCCAAAGCTTATAAATTGTGGATGTTTTAAACTTACTATATAAAAACGGTAAAAGACAACTGTAAGTCTCTCAACTACCCCAACAGAACATCAATTTCTACCACTTCTTCACAACATTAAAACAAAAGAATGGGGCAGACAGTTTCTCATCAATATGGAGGTATTTATGGACCTGACCCGCAAATGGTAAGCAAAAAATTTAAAATTTAAAAATAATTTTTTTCTCAGACGTATTGTCCAAAATGCGGCGAATATACCCTCACTAGAGTTACGTATGTTATGGGTCCTTTGGCAATATGTATGGTCCTCATGTTCGCTTTCATCAGGTAGGTTCCTAAATTTAAACAGAAAAAATATTTTTCAAGTCTGTTCGCTTGCTGCTTTGTGTTTCCACTCATTTTTTTGCCGTTCTGTTTTAATTTTTGGAAGGATGCTGAACATCGTTGTAGTGTATGCAATACCTATATTGGCAAGTTTATACGTGAATACGAGGACCACAGATATGGAAGGCGAAGAACTGTTGTGGTTATCCAACCCCCGATTCCTCCTCGTCAGCCTCCTCAACCTCAAGTTCAACCTGTTATAATGGCTCCTCAAGCTTATACTCCGCCAGCTAGTCCACCGCCGTATCCGCCAACTAGTCCGCCGCCGTATGCACGAAAATAATGAGGATGAACATAGAATATATAGAGTATATAAACGTTGTTGTTGTTGTTGTGTTTTTCTCTTGAAATATAAGTCTTAACTTTTTTCCGGAAATGTAATTTAATTTTGTGTTTTCCGGAAGGTTATCAAAACAGTATGTTTTTCTTCTGTTTTAATCAATGCCTATTTAAATTTGTGAAAATCAGAATTTTTATAAAACACTTCCGGAAATGTTTATATAAAAAACCGGAAAATACATGTGTTTTCTCTTAAAATATATACAAACTTTAATGTTTTTCCGGAAATAATTTAATTTATTTTTGTTTGTGTTTTCCGGAAAAGTTGTTAAAATAATATTTTTCCGGAATGTTTTAATTCAAGTTTTTCCGGAATAAGTTTATTTTTCTGAAAAATCAGAATTTTCTAAAACTCATAAATTCCGGAAATATGTTTATATAAAACCGGAAAACACATACCTTCTATTAGCTGTATTTTTTATTTTTGTTTCTGTATTTTTATTGAATAACATTATAATTAGTATTTTTACTTACAAGTTTAAAATATATTTTAATATTTTTAAATTAATTGTTTTCCTTTACTTCTGAAATTTAAAAATTTACTATATAAAAGGGTCTAATTAAATCGAGTATTCCTCAACATAACTACAATTTCTACAGCTTCGGTGCAATAACAACAAAACAATAGAAAATGGGGCAGACAGTTTCTCATCAATATGGAGGTATTTACAGCCCGGACCCGCAAATGGTATGAAAAACTATTTTTTTCAAAAATTAAAAATAATTTTTTTTTCTCAGACGTATTGTCCAAAATGCGACCAATATACCCTCACTAGAGTCAATTATGTTATGGGTCCCGTGGCATGGTATGTGGTCATCGTGCTCACTCTTACTAGGTATGTTCCTAAATTTAAACACAAAAAATATTTTTTAAGTCCGTTTGTCTGCTGCCTTTTTTTTCCATGCATTTTTTTGCCGTTCGTTACTAATTGTTGGAGGGATGCTGAACATCGTTGTAGTGTATGCAATTTGTATCTTGGCAAATTTGTACGTCAACTGGAAAACCGTGGATATGGAGGACAAAGGACTGTTGTGGTTCATCAACCTCCGATTCCTCCTCGTCAGCCTCCTCAACCTCAAGTTCAACCTGTTATACTTGCTTCTGCTCCTCCAATGCAAACTTATACTCCGCCAACAAGTCCGCCGCCGTATCCGCCAACTAGCCCGCCGCCGTATCCACGATAAGAATAATAAGGACGAACATAGGGATAGAGTATATAAACATTGTTGTTGTGTTTTTCTCTTAAAATAATATATACAAGCTTTAATGTTTTTCCGGAAATGTTGTAATTAATTTTGTGTTTTCCGGAAAGTTACTATAAAATAATATGTGTTTTCTTTTCCGGAATGTTTTAATTCAAGTTTTTCCGGAATAAGTTTATTCTGAAAAAATCAGAATTTTTATAAAACATTTTATAAATTCCGGAAATGTTTATTAAAAACCGGAAAACACACATTATACCTTCTATTAACTGTTATTACCAAGTATGTATTTTTGTGTGTTTTTAATTGTTTTTGTGTTTTTATTTAATAGAAAATAAGTTGTATTTTTTTGTATTTTCATCTTTTGTATTTTTTCAAGTTTATTATTTTTCTTTGTTTATACAACATTATATATAATTCTAGCTGTATTTTTCTAAACAATTATTGTTAATAATGACTTATGTTCATCGTCAACGTTATGGTTATGCTCAATATTTTGGACCTAAACCACAGCTTGTAAAATTAATTTTTTTAATTCAAAAAATTTTTCCTCCATTTTTAAAGGTTTATTGCCCAACCTGTAACCAAAACACAACAACTAAACTTAAATATGTTCAACTTAAATGTTTGGAGGTGGTAATGTATATTTTGTTTGTTGTTATAATGTGTGTTGTTTTACCCTTAAAAATATTAACTTTATTAATTTTTAAAGAATTGTCTTTGGTTCTGGTAGCATAATTACATGTACAAAATCTGATAGTAGGTTTACTGAATGTTTTATGCTTACTAGTTGTGGGTATGTTCAAAAAAATATTTAATAAAAATTAAAAAAAAATTAAAAAAAAATTTTTTTAGGGTTATCAGTTTATTCGTTTTTATGTCTATTTGTGTGCCTTTTTTGTTCTGTGACAATTGTAAGAATGCTGAACATTATTGTAGTGTTTGCAACACTTTTGTTGGTAAATATGTAAATGACGATACAAGGCCTGTAGTTATATTACCACCAGAATTATATAAACATGAAGTCTATCAACCTAAGAATAATAATGTTTAGAGAGAGAATACAGTAATATGTATGAGAGAGAATAGAGAATAATCAGAATAATAAAAATACAAAAATCAGAATTTATTTGTATTTTCCGGAAATGTTTTAATTCATGTTTTTCCGGAATAAGTTTATTTTTGTAAAATCAGAATTTTTATAAAACACCTTTCCGGAATTCTGTTTTAATTCAAGTTTATTTTTTGCTTATGCTTTTCCGGAAAAAGTTTATTCTTGTTTTAATGAATTAAAACACAAACTCCGGAAATTATAAAAACCGGAAAACACATTAATTGCTTCTACATAGTTTTATTATTGTGTTTTTGTTATTGTGTTTTGTATTAAATATGTTTTTATTTGTGTTTTATTTGTTTGTTGTGTTTTTATTTGTTTGTTTATAGGTTTTATAAAATACTTAAAACATTGATGTTTTTATGTTTTAAAATGTTTGTATTTTCAAGTTTAATTTTTTTTGTTTTTCAAACAGTGTTATTTTAGCTGTATTTCTCTAAACAATTATTTGTTGTTTGTTGGTTTCAATAATGGATGTTCAATATTTTGGAAAAAAACCACAACTTGTAAAAAAATTTTAATTAAATTAAAAAATGTTTTTTTCCCATTTCTAAGGTTCATTGTCCAACTTGCAATCAAAATACAAAAACTAAACTTAAATTGGTTAATGACGAATGTTATACACCAAAATGTTTATGCTTTTCTTTAATAATTTTTGGGCCAGTTTAAATTTTATTTAAATTAAAAAAATATTTTTTAGCCTTTTTCACATTGTACTTGCCATCCACTCATGCTTTTACTCCACTAAAAGAGAGTGTCTTATTTCTATTTTTGCGGGGTATTTTTAAAAATTTTTAATTAAAAAAATTTTTTCCTAGATTTGCTTTTGTCTCCGCATTTGCAGTTTTTTGCGCCTATATTCTATTATGTGATTTTTGCAAAAATATTGAACATCACTGTAGTGTTTGCAACAATTATGTTGGAAGATATGAAGGTGATAGCAAGCCTGTAGTTATATTACCACCAGAATTATATAAAGATCATGTGGCGCAACCCAACAATAATTAATTAGAGAGAATACAATAATTAGGAGAGACTATAGAGAAAAAATAAAGAAAATACAAAAATCAGAATTTATTTGTATTTTCCGGAAATTATTGTATTTTCCGGAATGTTTTGTAAAATCAGAATTTATTTGTATTTTCCGGAATGTTTTGTAAAATCAGAATTTATATTTATTGTATTTTCCGGAAATGTTTTAATTCATGTTTTTCCGGAATGTTTTGTAAAATCAGAATTTCTCTAAAACACACAATTCCGGAAATATATAAAAACCGGAAAACACATTCATTCTTCTATTTATAATACTATAACTCTTGTTAGAAAAATGTATTTTGTTGTTGTTGTTAATGTATTTTTGAGTTTTTAATGTTTCTGTATTTTATTTAATAGAAATTATATATTGTATTTTCCCTTGTATTTTAATTTTGTATTTTTGCATATTTATTTTTTAATTGTTGTATTTCAATTTTATTTTTCTTTCTTTTTTAGACAACAAAGCACTACCTATTTCTCTCTAACCAATTATCAAAACAATGGGTAATGGTTATTCTCATAATTATGGCTACAACCCTTTTATGCCCTATGGTCCTTATTATGGTGGTTATACTCTTCCCGCTCAATTTTATGGACCTGATCCGCAACTTGTAAAATTTATTTTTTAATTAAAAAAAATTTTTTTCTTCAATTTTTAAAGGTTTATTGCCCAACCTGCAAGCAAAATCAAACAACTAAACTTGAATATGTTACTGGAAAGGGTAGTTGGTCGTGTTGTATTGTTTCAGCAATTTTAGGGTTAATCTCAAATTTCAAATTTAATTAAGAAAAATTTTTTTTCTAAAGGGGTTTGTTCGGCTTTTTTGGTATTATGTGGCTTATCGAGGCTATTAATGAGCCTGAAGACGACACAACAACAACTGCCCCCTACCCCTACCCAACAAAAACTAAAGGTTCTCGCGCAGCTCGTATAGCCTTTTTCTCTACTTTTGCTAGTTTTTGGTAAATTATAAAATTGAAATTTTGTATAAAAAAATTTTCTAGCTTCTGTACTTGCTGTTGGTGTATGTTTAGTTCATTCTGCTGTGATTGGTTTAAAGATGTTGAACATTACTGTGGTCGTTGTGATACTTATATTGGTAAACATTTACGAGACCATCGAAGGCCTGTAGTTGTATTACCACCAGAATGTCATAAACATCAAATAATGCCCAACCATCATAAGTAGAACGAAGTGAATAGTTGAGAAAAATATAGTGTATAATTAGTGTTGTATTGATGTAAATTTATATTTGTGTTTTCCGGAAATGTTTTAATTGTATTTTTTCCGGAATGTGTTTATTTTTATAAAATCAGAATTTTTATTAAACACATTTCCGGAATGTTATAATTCAAGTTTATTTTTAATATGTTTTTCCGGAAAAAGTTTATTTTATAAAAATCAGAATTTATATGTGTTTTCCGGAAAGTTTTTCCGGAATAAGTCAGAATTTTTCTAAAACACATAAATTCCGGAAATATATAAAAACCGGAAAAACACACAACCGGAAAAACACATTTCCCTTCTTCAAAACATTGTTGTTTGAAAATGTTTTGTTGTTGTTAATGTATTTTTGTGTTTTTAATGTTTCTGTGTTTCTGTATTTTATTGAATAGATAATTGTATGTGTTTTTTTGTATTTTACTTATTTAAACGCGTGTATTTTGCGCAATTTTATTTTTAATATTGTATTTCAAATTTATTTTTCCTTCTTTTTTAGATAGTAATACTATTTTTCTAATTATTGTTTAAACAATGGGTAATGGTTATTCTCATAATTATGGCTACAACCCTTTTATGCCCTATGGTCCGTATTATGGTGGTTATACTCCTAATGCTCAATTTTATGGACCTGATCCGCAACTTGTAAAAATTTATTTTTTAATTAAAAAAAAATTTTTTTCTTCAATTTTTAAAGGTTTATTGCCCAACATGCAAGCAAAATACAACAACTGAAGTTAAATTTGTTTTTGGTGGGTGTACATGGTTCTACGTCGTCTTTTTTATTGCTTTTGGGTTTGTTCGTTTAAAAATTGCTATATTAACGTATTTTTTAAGATCTTTCATGGCTTTTGCCGGAGTCCTTGCATGTATTAAAAATGATGAACGATGCTTCATTTTTATTCCCTTCGCGTTTGTTGTTTAAAAATTTTTTTAGATTTTTATTTTAGAATTATTTTATTCTCCTGCGTGCCTTGTATTATCTGCTGTAACAATTTTAAAAATGCAGAACATTACTGTGGTCGTTGTGATACTTTTATTGGCAAATATGAACGTTTCAGTGGAAGGCCTGTAGTTGTATTACCACCAGAATGTCATAAACATCAAATAATGCCCAACCATCATAAGTAGAACGAAGTGAATAGTTGAGAAAAATATAGTGTATAATTAGTGTTGTATTGATGTAAATTTATATTTGTGTTTTCCGGAAATGTTTTAATGAATGTTTTTCCGGAATGTGTTTATTTTTATAAAATCAGAATTTACTAAAACACATAAATTCCGGAAATGTTTATATAAAAACCAGAAAAACACACAACTGGAAAAACACATTCATTCGATAGAGATAATAAAAAATACAAAAATCAGAATAATGTTGTGTTTTCCGGAATGTGTTTATTTTATAAAATCAGAATTTATGTATTTTCCGGAAATGTTTTAATTGTATTTTTTCCGGAACAAGTTTATTTTTATAAATCAGAATTTTTCTAAAACACATAATTCCGGAAACACTATAATAACCGGAAAAACACACAACCGGAAAAACACATTTCCCTTCTTCAAAACATTGTTGTTAATGTATTTTTGTGTTTTTAATGTTTTGTATTTCTGTATTTTATTGAATACAAAGTTGTATATGTATATTGTGTTTTTTTGTATTTTACTTATTTAAACGCGTGTATTTTGCGCAACTTTATTTCTAATGTATTTTTGTATTTCAAGTTTATTTTTCCTTCTTCGTTTTTAGATAGCAATACTATTTCTCTAAACAATTATATTATTATTGTAAATAATAATTATGTATGCTCAAAGATATAATTATGCTCAATTTTTTGGACCTAAACCACAACTTGTAAAAATAATTTTTTTGTTCTTAAAAATTTTCCCCCCTATTTTTTCAAAGGTTCATTGTCCAACCTGTGACCAAAATACAAAAACTAAACTTAAATATGTTGTCAGGTCGGATGCTTGGTTGCATTGTATTTTGATTGTATTTGTTGGGTTAATTAAAAATTAATTTAATTTTCAAAAAATAAATTTTTTAAAGGTTTCTTGTTTGCTTATTTAGTATTCTTTATATTGCCAATTTTATTGCTAAAGGTTATGATATTTCTATAATCATTCCGCTTGTTTTTTTTCTTATTTTTGGGTTTGTTTATGTAATAATTTTATTTAAAAATTCTTTTTTAGGCTTTTTTTCATCGCTTTTTCGCCAGCTCCATTTTACTGGAATCATTATAAAGATGTTGAACATTATTGTAGTGTTTGTGATACTTATATTGGCAAACATGTACGTGACATGCGAAGGCCTATAGTTATACTACCACCAGAATCATATAAAAATCTACCAAACAGACAATAATTAATTAGAGAGAATATAATAAAATAAGAGAGACAATAGAGAATAATTAGAAGAAAATACAAAAAAATACAAAAATCAGAATTTATATTTATTGTGTTTTCCGGAATGTGTTTTTCCGGAATAAGTTTTTCTAGAAAATCAGAATTTATTGTGTTTTCCGGAAATGTTTTAATTATTTTTTAATGTTTTTCCGGAAAAAGTTTATTTTTATTAAATCAGAACTTTAAAACACATTTCCGGAATGTTGTAATTCAAGTTTATTTTTTATGTTTTTCCGGAAAAAGTTTAATTCTGAAAAATCAGAATTTTTATAAAACACAACATAAATTCCGGAAATATATAAAAACCGGAAAAACACATTCATTCTTTTTTACTATTGTGTTTTTGTATTAAATATTATTATATGTATTTGTTTCTGTATTTTTGTGTTTTTTAAAATGTATTTTTGCAGCTTTATTTTGTTATTGTGTTTTTCAAGTTTATTTTTCGTTCTTTGTTTTTAGATATCAATACTTTTATTTCTCTAACATTTATTATTACTGTTAATAATGGTTTATGTTCATCAACCAATTTATGGTTATGCTCAATTTTTTGGACCTAAACCACAACTTGTAAAATTCTTTTTTTTAATTAAAAAAAAATTTTTTCAAAGGTTCATTGCCCAACTTGTAACCAAAATATAAAAACTACACTTAAATACCGTATTTCCTCAAATAGTACGGCCCCCTCTATTAGTACGGCCCCCTCTATTAGTACGGCCCTTTAGATGAGGGTTGAAAAATAGTACGGCTCCCTCAATTAGTACGGCCCCTCAAATAGTACGGCCCCCGTTTAAAAACCTCAAAATTAAATTATGTTTATTTCCGTTTATTTTTCAATTTTTAATGTAGCGTATGGCTTATGTTTATGCTTATTTAAATGAGATAGTTAGAGATCAGAATTTTGAAAAAACCGGGTCCGGGAACCGAGAAACGGGTTCTGAAGGTTGACCGGGAGGGACCCGGACTATCGCCCTATACTTATTCTAAAAATCTCTATTAAAGTAAGTAAATGACATTAAAGATTATTTCACACAAGATCAAATTCCCTTTTCTGAAACACAAGTTCATCGACTGCTATCATTTGTTCTTTCGTACTTGGGAATAATTGAAAAATTCAAAGAAATATGTTTAATTTCTTTCAATGGCCCTTATAAGAGTGGGTGACCGAGAGGTTCTGTGTTAGGTTGAAGTCGTAGATGATGTTGATGTTGAAGTCGTACGGATACATATGGATACAGATTAGTGTTTCACCGGAACCGAAATAATACAGATATGGTAAGTACAGATATTGTAAAAACGCCTGCGGATATCCGTCTGTATCCGCCGTAAATATCCGGATACCAAAATCAGAATCCGTGTCCTAGTCTCATTAAAATAAGGTAAACTAGTCCTATCACCCCTTTAATCACTCTAAATATCCGGATACCAAAATCAGAATCCGTGTCCTAGTCTCATTAAAATAAGGTAAACTAGTCTTATCACCCTTAATCAGTATATATATATAGTCTTATCACCCTTAATCTTATCACCCTAGTCTTATCACCCTTAATCTTATCACCCTTAATCACTCTAATCCTTCTTAATCTCTCATCTTTTAAATTAATCATTTACCGATGCACAAACCTAACACTTGACGCTCGATAAAACACACAACAAAAGTTGATATTTAAATGCAGCCTTACATTTTAAGGTCTTTGGTAATTTCAGTTTGGATCTAGGCATATGATTAAGTCTAAGTTTTTAGGCATACACTAGTGTGTGTAATAAAAAACAAAAAAATTCCAATAAACACAGCCTTAGTTCAAGGTGGCATAACCAGAAAAATTATTCAGAAAATTCCGAAGGATGGTTGAAATATAGTACGGCCCCCTCAATTAGTACGGCCCCCTCAAATAGTACGGCCCTTTGGAAGAGGGTTGAAAAATAGTACGGCCGGCCGTACTATTTGAGGAAATACGGTATGTTAATGGAAGATCTGCTTGGTTGGACAGTATTGCTATAGCATTATTTGGGTTATTGGTTTAACATGTAATCTAAAAAAATTTTTTGGTACTTTAAAGGCTTCTTGTTTGCATTTGTGGTATTATAATTATTATTGGGGCTATTACTGAAGCCGCTGACGATCGTGTAGCTAAAGTAATCGCGTCTTCTATTGTTATTATTTTTGGGTCTGTTGCAGAAAATTAAATTAAAAACAAATTTTTAGACTTGTTATTTTCTACCTTTCGTTTATTCTATTTCATTGGGACAGTTCTAAGGATGTTGAACATTATTGTAGCGTTTGCAACAATTATGTGGGCAAATATATACGAGACCATACAAGGCCTATAGTTATATTACCACCAGAATTATATAAACATAAAGTATATAAACCTAAGAAGAATTTATTAGAGACAGTATAATAATGAGAGAGACAACAGAGAATAATCAGAATAATAAAAATACAAAAATCAGAATTTATATTTATGTGTTTTCCGGAATGTTTTAATTCATGTTTTTCCGGAAAAAGTTTATTTTTGGAAAATCAGAATTTTCATAAAACACATAATTCCGGAAATATATAAAAACCGGAAAAACACATACATTTATTACTCCTATATTATTGTGTTTTTGTTAGTGTGTTTTATTTGTGTTTTTAATTAAATACATTTGTATTATTATATGTGTTTCTGTATTTTAGTCGTTTCTAAAGTGTATTTTTGCATTTTTATTTTTTGTGTTTTCAAGTTTATTTTTCTTTCTTTGTTTTTAGATAGCACTACCTATTTCTCTCTAAACAATTATCAAAACAATGGGTAATGGTTATTCTCATAATTATGGCTACAACCCTTTTATGCCCTATGGTCCTTATTATGGTGGTTATACTCCTCATGCTCAATTTTTTGGACCTAAACCGCAACTTGTAAAATTTCTTTTCTTAAATAAAAAATTTTTTTCTCCCATTTTTAAAGGTTTTTTGCCCAACATGTAATCAAAATACAAAAACTAAACTTCAACTTGTTGCTGGGTTGAATTCTAAATTGAATTGTATTTTGTCTTTACTTATTGGGTTAATTTTAGACATTAATTTAATTTAAAAAAATTTTTTTAAAGGTTTGTTGCTTGCGCATTTAGTATGCTTTTTCTTGTCTTTTCTATTATTAATGGCGATACTTCTCTAATCATCTTTTTTTCTTTTTGTCTTATTTTTGGGTTTGTTTGTGAAATTTTTATTAAAAAATATTCATTTTTAGGCTTTTTATTATTGCTTACTCGTTAACTCCATTTAATCAGGATATTTATAAAGATGCTAAACATTATTGTAGTGATTGCAACAATTATGTAGGCAAATATATACGAGATCCCCGCAGGCCCGTAGTTATACTGCCACCAGAATCATATAAACACAAAGTCTATCAACCTAAGGATAATTTAGTAGAGACAGTATAATAAGAAGAGAGACAACAGAGAAAAATCAGAATAATAAAAATACAAAAATCAGAATTTATATTTATTGTGTTTTCCGGAAATGTTTGAATTTATAAAATGTTTTTCCGGAAAAAGTTTATTTTTGTAATATCAGAATTTCTACACACGCATTTCCGGAAATGTTTTAATTCAAGTTTATTTTTAATAATGTTTTCCGGAATAAGTTTGTAAAAATCAGAATTTTTAGAAAACACAACATAAAATTCCGGAAACATATAAAAACCGGAAAACACATTCGTTCCCTTTTATTTAATATAATTCTGTTGTTAAAAATATTTTCTGTTGCTAATGTATTTTTGTGTTTCATTCTTTTGTGTTTTATTGAACAAAAACTTGTATTTTATTTCTGGCATTTATTTTTCTATATTTATTTTTTAATTCTAATTTAGGGTTTTTCTGTTTTTAAATTATACTTAAGTATTTCTCTATTTCTTATTGGCTATAAAATGGGTAATGGTCATTCTCAAAATTATGTTCTTCAAAATGCCTACACTTATGGTTACATACCTAATGCTCAATTATTTGGACCTGCCCCAAACCTGGTAAAAAATATATATTTATTTTTAAAAGATTTTTTCAATTTTAAAGGTTCGCTGTCCAGCATGTAGCCAAAAAATGATAACAAAAGTGAATCATGTTAGTGGTAGATATACGCGGGGAATGTGTTACTTGTACATAATTATTGGGTAAGTGTTTTAATATTATTTTTCTGGAATATAAATTTATTCTTTGCAAAATCAGAATTTTTAAAAACACTTAAATTCCGGAAATAATGAATATCAGATAATAAAATCCATTAATTAACCCACCAAGTAATAATTGAGAGAGTACATTAAAATAAGAGAGACAATAAAGAATAATTAGAGAGAAAATAATAAAAATACAAAAATCAGAATTTATGTTTATTGTGTTTTCCGGAATGTGTTTTTGCGTGTTTTTTTTTGTTTTTGTGTTTTTCCGGAAAAAGTTTATTTTTGAAAAATCAGAATTTTTATAAAACACATTTCCGGAATGTTGATGTAATTCAAGTTTATTTTTAAATGTTTTTCCGGAAAAGGTAATGTTTTCCGGAATATATTTTTAATGTTTTTCCGGAATACATAAATTCCGGAAAATACATTCATTTTAATTAATACTTTTTTAAAGGTTTTTTGTTGTTTCGACTCCACTCATCAATTGTACAAGTAAAAATGACAACGAGCTACATAGGTGTTTTATTCTTCTTCTTCTTGGGTTTTATATAAATAAAATTTTTATTTAAAAAAAATTTTTTTTGAGGCTTCCTTTTTGGTGTATCTCGCTTATTCCATACATGTTAAAATGTTGTAAGGATGTTGAACATTATTGTAGTCATTGTAACACTTATATTGGCAAATATTTTCGTGACGAGAAATATTCTGTAATGATACTACCAATAGGAAATCAACAACATGTCGATCAGAATGAACCAAACGATGATTAATTAATTAGAGAACACAATAAAATAAGAGAGACAATAAAGAATAATCAGAATAATAAAAAATACAAAAATCAGAATATGTTGTATTTTTGTGTTTTCCGGAATTTTTAAATTCTTTTTCCGGAAAAAGTTTATTTTTATAAAATCAGAATTTCTATAAAACATCTTTCCGGAAATGTTTTAATTCAAGTTTATTTTTGATAATGTTTTTCCGGAAAAAGTTTAATTATTACAAAATCAGAATTTTTATAAAACACATAAATTCCGGAAACATATAAAAACATGAAAAACACATTCTTGCTCCCTTCTATTTTTACTATAAAAACTTGTGTTTTTGTATTAAATATTTTGTGTTTCTGTATTTTAGTTCTTTTTTTAAACTGTATTTTTGCCTATGTATTTTTTACTTGTGTTTTTCCAAGTTTATTTTTCTTTTCTTTATTTTTAGATAACAATTCCTAATTCTCTTTGAACAATTATTGTTAATAATGTATATGCCTATTGTTCTTGGACCTGACCCGATTATGGTAAAAGATAGAAAATTTTTAACAAAAATTTTTTTCTTCATTTTTAAAGGTTCAATGTCCAAACTGTAATCAAAATACAGCAACTAGACTTAAGTATGTTAATGGTAGTTATACTTGGTGTAGTTGTATTGGGATACTAATTCTTGTGTTTGTATTTTTCTTTTAATAAATTTATATGTTTTTTAAAGTTGTTTTGTTGGTGTTGCTCAAACCTTCAGATGTGCAAAGAGTCTTAGCGACCTTATATTCTGTTCTATTTTTTTTTCTATTATTGGGTTATTTTTGTTAATTTTTAAAAATTCTTTTTTTTTTCTTCAGGTTTCCATTTTGCTTTTGTTCGGTTCTTCCATTCGTCTTACACATTTGTAAGGATGTTGAACATTACTGTGGTAGTTGCAACAATTATATTGGAAAATATTTTCGTGGCAATAGAAGCCCTGCAATTGTATTACCACCTCAATAACAACACCGAGTCAATCAGAATCAACCGAACAATAATTAGAGAGAAAATATAATAATAAAGAGACGATAGAGATAATTAGAGAGAAAATAATAAAATACAAAAATCAGAATTTATATTTATTGTTTTCCGGAATGTGTTTTTCCGGAAAAAGTTTATTTTTGTGAAATCAGAATTTTTATATAAAACACAAAAAATACAAAAATCAGAATATATGTATTTTCCGGAATGTTCAAGTTTCCGGAAAAAGTTTATTTAAAAAAATCAGAATTTTTATAAAACACACAATTCCGGAAACATATAAAAACCGGAAAAACACATTTATTACCCCTTCTATTTTTACTATATAAACCTTGTGTTTTTGTATTAAATATTTTGTATTTCTGTATTTTAGTTTTTATTTTAAAGTGTATTTTTGCCTATGTATTTTTTACTTGTGTTTTTTCAAGTTTAATTTTTCTTTTGTTTATTTTTTTTCTCTTTATTTTTAGATAACACTTCCTAATTTTCTCTAAACAATTATTGTTAATAATGTATACGCCTATTGTTCAATCTCTTGGACCTGACTGCCAACCGGTAAAAAATTTTTTTAACCCAAAAAAAATTCAAATTTACAGGTTCATTGTCCAAAATGTAATCAAAATACAATAACTAAAATTAAGTATGTTAATGGTAGTTATACTTGGTGGAGTTGTATTGGGATACTATTCTTTGGGTTTGTTTTAATTTTAATGAATAAATTAATTCATTTTTTAAAGATGTTTTATTCCTCTTTCGATATCAGTTAAATATTGTGCAATAACTCTTTTAGACCTTATGATATGTTATGGTTTTTGGGTGGTCCTTGTCGGGTTTTTGCTTAAAATAATTTTCTAAAAAATCCTTTTTTTTCTTCAGGTTTCCAATTTGCTTCTGTTCGGTTTTTCCATTCGTCTTAAATATTTGTAAGGATGTTAAACATTACTGTGGTAGTTGCGATAGTTATATTGGGAAATATTATCGCGGCAATAGGAACCCTGCAATTGTATTACCACCTCAACAATAACACCAAATCAACCAGAATCAACCAAACAATAATTAGGAGAGACAATAAAGAATAATCAGAGAGAAAATAATAAAATACAAAAATCAGAATTTATATTTATTGTGTTTTCCGGAATGTGTTTTCATATTTTTCCGGAATGTTGTGTTTTTCCGGAAAAAGTTTATTTTTGAAAAATCAGAATTTTTATAAAACACAAATTCCGGAAATATATAAAAATTCCGGAAGAACAACACATTTATTCTCTCTTATAAAAATTTTGTGTTTTGTTGTAATTAAATGTTTTTATTGTATTTTCCGGAAATGTTTTTGTAATGTTAATTTCTAATCTGTGTTTTTTCCGGAAAAAGTTTATTTCTCCAAGATCAGAATTTTTATAAAACACAAAATACAGAAATATAAAACCGGAAAAACACATCCATTTAATGAAACTTTAAATGTATTTTTGTGTTTTTAATTCTGTGTATTTTATTGAATATAAAATTGTGTATTGTATTTTTCTTGTATTTTAATTTTAAGCGCTTTAATTTGTGTTTTAGTTCTTAAAATGTATTTTTGCAACTTTATTTTTTAATTTGTGTATTTTCAAGTTTATTTATTCTTTCTTTGTTTTTAGATAACAATACTACCTATTTTTCTCTAAACAATCATTATTACTATCAAATATGTCTCATGTCTATGTTTATCAACCAAGTTATGGTTATGCTCAATTTTTTGGACCTAAACCACAACTTGTAAAAATTTATTTTTCTTAAATTAAAAAAATTTTTCCTCATTTTTTAAAGGTTTATTGTCCAAGATGCAAACAAAATAGAACAACTAAACTTGAATTTGTTACTGGAAAGGGTAGTTGGTCGTGTTGTATTTCTATAGGAATTTTTGTGTTAATTTCAAATATTAAATTTTAATTAAAAAAATTTTTTCTCTTAAGGGGTTCGTATGGTTTTATTGGTATTATAGCGCTTATCGATGCTATTATTAAGCCTGAAACTACAGAAGGTTCTCGAGCATCTCGTATATTCTTGATTTGTATTTTTCTGTGTTTGTGGTTTGTTATAAACTGAAATTTTGTCTAAAAAATTTTTTAGGTTTTGTATGTGCTGTTGTTGTATGTTTGGTTCATTCTACTGTGATCGCTTTAAAGATGTTGAACATTATTGTAGTGTTTGTGACACTTATATTGGCACACATTTTCGTGATGTTCGAAGGCCTATAGTTATACTACCACCAGAATTATATAAAAATCTACCAATCAAAGAATAATTAATTAAAGAGAGTACAATAAAATGAGAGAGACAATAGAGAATAATCAGAAGAAAATACAAAAATCAGAATTTATATTTACTGTGTTTTCCGGAAATGTTTAATGTTTTCCGGAAAAAGTTTATTTTAAAAATCAGAATTTATGTGTTTTACTCTCCGGAAATGTTTTAATTCGTGTTTTTCCGGAAATGTTTTAATTGTATTTTTTCCGGAATATGTTTATTTTTTGTAAAATCAGAATTTTTATAAAACACATTTCCGGAATGTTGTAATTCAAGTTTATTTTTAATAAAGTTTTTCCGGAAAAAGTTTATTAAAAAATCAGAATTTTTAGAAAACACAAAAAAATTCCGGAAACACTATAAAAACCGGAAAACATTTAATTTTTGTTTATTTGTGTTTTTGTATTAATTATTATACATACATATTTGTTTCTGTATTTTTGTGTTTTTAAAATGTATTTTTGCAACTTAATTTTTTAATTGAGTATTTTCAAGTTTATTTTTCTTTCTCTGCTTTTAGATAACAATACTATTTCTCTCTAAACAAATATTGTTAATAATGGTTTATGTTCATGTTCAAACTTATGGGTATGCTCAATATTTTGGACCTAAACCACAACTTGTAAAAAATTATTTTCTTAAATTAAATTTCAAAAAAATTTTTTTCTTCCATTTTAAAGGTTCATTGCCCAACTTGCAACCAAAATACAGAAACTAAACTTAAATATATTACTGGATATAATAATTGGCTTTGGTGTTTTATTATGGGAATGCTAGGGTGAATTTAAAATATTAATTAAAAAAAATATTTTTTATCTAAAGGTTTTCCTTTTGCGGATATGGTATTTTATTTGTTAGCAATGCTATTGCGAAAGGTTTAAATATAGCGGGGCCTCTTATTTTTTCTGTCATTAGGTTAGTTATACAAAAAATGACTGTTAAAAATTTTTTTTCATTAGCTTTCTTATTTGCGGTTGTCTTATGCCTATTCCATTTTACTGTGATCGCTGTAAAGATGTTGAACATTATTGTAGTGTTTGTGACACTTATATTGGCAAATATGTTCAAGACAGTCGAAGGCCTATAGTTATATTACCACCAGAATCATATAAAAATCTACCAATCAAACAATAATTAAATGGAGAGAGTACAATAAAATAAGAGAGACAATAGAGGATAAATAAAGAAAATAAAAAAATCAGAATTTTTATAAAACATTCTGAAAATATATAAAATTGGAGGAAATAATTAGAGAATAATAAAAAATAGAAAAATCAGAATTTGTATTTTATTGTGTTTTCCGGAAATGTTTTAATTCAAGTTTATTTTTTAATAATGTTTTTCCGGAAAAAGTTTATTTTTACAAAATCAGAATTTTTATAAAACATTTCCGGAAACACTATAAAAACCGGAAAAACACATTTATTTATTCCCCTTGTATTTTATTGTGTTTTTATTATTGTGTTTTTGTATTAAACATTTATATTTTCTGTATTTTTGTGTTTTTAAAATGTATTTTTCCTAGTTTATTTTTTAATTGTGTTTCAAGTTTATTTTTCTTTTTTTCTCTATTCTTAGATAACAATACTATTTCTCTCTAAACAACTATCTTATTGTTCACAATGTTTCGTCATCCATTGTATGATTTGTTGTCCGGACCTGGGCGTGCCCAATATTTTGGATCTAGCCCACAACGCGTAAAATTTTTTCTAAAATTTAATTTAATCTTTCCCCTATTTTTTAAAGGTCTATTGTCCAACCTGCAACGAAATTACAAAAACTAAACTTGAATATGTTAATAATGCAAAAACTAAATGTTGTAGTTTTTTTATTGCATTTTGGGGGTTATAAGTTTATTTTTTAATCGAAAAAAATTTTTTTAAGGCTTTCGAGTTTACTTACTGTGTTTGGAATTTTTACAGTTGGTGCTAGAAGTTCTGAAGATTTGTTTAGTTTGCTTATCCTTCTGCCTATAGGGTATGTTTTATAGAAAAATTGAAAAAAATAAATTTTTCTAGACTTATAATTTGTTGTCTGGCGCTTATTCCAATTTATTGTGACAATTGTAAGGATGCTAGGCATTATTGTAATGTTTGTGATACTTATATTGGCAAATATTTTCATGACAGTCGAAGGCCTGTAGTTATTATACCACCAGAATTATATCAACAAGCACACAACAATAAAAATAATAATTAGAGAGAGAATACAATAAAATAAGAGAGACAATAGAGAATAATTAGAGAGAGAAATAATAGAAAATACAAAAATCAGAATTTATATTTATTGTGTTTTCAGGAATGTGTTTTTGTGTGTTTGCGTTTTTTCCGGAAGTGTTTTACTTTATGTTTATTGTGTTTTCCGGGTGTTGTGTTTTTCCATGTTTTTCCGGAAAAAGTTTATTTTTATAAAATCAGAATTTTTGCAAAACACATAAATTCCGGAAATATATAAAAATTCCGGAAAACACAACAATTATTCCCTCTTATAAAAATTTTGTGTTTTGTTGTAATTAAATGTTTTTATTGTATTTTCCGGAAATGTTTTAATTATTTATTTTAATAATGTTTTTCCGGAAAAAGTTTATTTAAAAAAAAGTTTTTATAAAACACAAATTCCGGTTTGTATTTTAGCCGGTAGCTAGTTCGAAATTACTCCCCTTATTTTCTGAAAATATTTTTTTTTTGAAAAACAAAAAAACAGACATGTACTTTTGTATTTTTCATTTATTTAAACTTAAAAAATAAGAATGAATTTTGTTTAATTAGGGAAAAAAATTAAAAGAAAAGCGTGTGCCTGTGTGTGTGGCATTTAAGTAAAATTTGTATTTTTTAATTATTCACACTATCTTAAAACTGATAAAATAATTTTTCTCTCAAAAAATTATTTTATTTTATTATTCTTATTATGCCTAATAAAATGAATTATGTTCAACCTAGTTATGGGGGGAATAATGTTCAATATTTTGGATCTAAACCACAACTTGTAAAATTAATTTTTTAATTAAAAAAAATTTTTTCCCCAATTTTTAAAGGTTTATTGCCCTATTTGTATCCAAAATACAAAAACTAAAATTAAATTTGTTGTTGCTCGGCTAGTTTGGATAATGGCAATGCTTGGGTTATACTTTAATATTAAAATTTAAAAAATAAAATTTTTTTTCCTTGAAGAGTTATTATTTGCTTGATGAGTATTATGGGAGCATTTTTTAGTTTTATTATTATTCTTTTTATTAATAATAAAAAAGGTTACAAACTTACTGATAATACAATTAATGTAATTTTACCAATTGTTTTTGTTATTTCTGGGTTTGTTAAAAAATTTGAATTTAAAAAATTAAAAAAAATATTTTTTCCCCTTAGACTTGTTATTTGCATTCTGTCGCGTATTCCACTTTGTTTTGAATGTTTTAAGGATGCAGAACATCACTGCTCTGTTTGTGACACTTTAATTGGCAAATATATACGAGATAAACAAAGGCCTATAGTTATATTACCACCAGAATCGTATAAAAATCTACCTATCTAACAAATAATTAATTGAAGAGAGAATACAGTAAAATAAGAGAGACAGAAAAGAATAATCAGAATAAAAAATACAAAAATCAGAATGTTGTGTTTCTGTATTTTCCGGGATATTTTTATTCAAGTTTTTCCGGAAAAACAACACATTTATTCTCTCTTGTAAAAATCGTGTTTTGTTGTAATTAACTGTTTTTGTTGTGTTTTCCGGAATGTTGTGTTTTTCCATGTTTTTCCGGAAAAAGTTTATTTCTTTAAAAAATCAGAATTTATATAAAACACTTTCCGGAAATATATAAAAATTCCGGAAAAACAACACATTTATTCTCTCTTGTAAAAATTTTGTGTTTTGTTGTAATTAAATGTTTTTATTGTATTTTCCGGAAATGTTTTAATTCGTTTATTTTTACTAATATTTTTCCGGAAAAAGTTTATTTCTAAAAAATCAGAATTTTTATAAAACAAATTTCGGTTTTGTACTTTAGCCGGTGGAAGGTTCGGAATTACTCCCCGCGATAATATTCGATTCGTCTCGTCGAGATGAGACGATTGGAAACAAAATCAACGTAAATGTTTAAGTTTAGGCCGAGATACAGTGTTAAAAATGGTCAAAAACCATAGAGGGAACAATGTGATTTTTAAATTCTTATTTTTTTTGGGAAGAGGGGGGGGGGGGTTATGTATTTTCTGAGAATAATCTTTTTTGAAAAACAAAAATAATTAGAAAAAATATTTTAAAAACAAATGTTTGTGTGGCATGTAAAAATACGTCTTTAGTGTAAATTTTGTATTTTTTAATAATTCACGCTATCGTGTAAAACAAAACTTAAATAAAAAAGAATTTTTCTCTCAAAAAACAATTATTATTATTATTCTTATATTTATTATTTTAAATAAAATTCTTAATAAAAAAATAATAGAAAAGATGTGCGTGTGGCATTTAAGACCAAATTATGTTCAACCAAGTAGTTATGTGGGGAATGTTCAATATTTTGGATCTAAACCACAACTTGTAAAACTTAAAATGAAAAAAAATTTTTCTCTTCAAATTTTTAAAGGTTTATTGCCCTACTTGCAACCAAAATACAAAAACTAAACTTAAATATGTTACTGAAACTCGGGCAGGTTGGATTATAGCATTACTTGGGTTATACTTAAATATTAATTTTAATTAAAAAAATATTTTCTTCTTCAAAGATTTGTTATTTGCTCGCTGGGTATTATAGCATTTTTCAGTTTTGCTATTAGAAATATTAAAAGAGGTTTGGGTATTATTGATAGTAATATTGGTTTAATTTTACCAATTGTTTTTGTTACTTCTGGGTAAGTTATAAAAAAAATTAATTAAACAAATTTTTCCCTGTAGACTTATTATTTGCGTTCTGTCGCGTATTCCACTTTATTGTAGCTGTTTTATGGATGCAGAACATTACTGCTCTGTTTGCAACACTTTTATTGGCAAATATATACGAGATAAACGAAGGCCTATAGTTATACTACCACCAGAATCGTATAAAAATCTACCAATCCAACAAATAATTAATTAAAGAGAAAGAATAAAATAAGAGAGACAGTAAAGAAAAATCAGAATAATGAAAAAATACAAAAATCAGAATTTATATTTATTGTGTTTTTCGGAAATGTTTTTATTCAAGTTTTTCCGGAAAAAGTTTATATTTTTTGTAAAAACAGAATTTTTATAAAACAATTTCCGGAAACATAAAAATTCCGGAAAAACACATTTATTCCATCTTGTAAAAATTTTGTGTTTTGTTGTAATTAAATGTTTTTGATGTGTTTTCCGGAAAAGTTGTTGTGTTTATAAAATCAGAAGAATAAACAAATAAAAACACAAAGTTTAGAGAAAAACACAAAAACCAGAAATTGTGTTTTATATATTATTTTTCCGGAAGATGTTGTATTTCATGCATATTATGTTTGTTATGTGTTTTCCGGAAATATTGTTTTCGATTGTTATATAGTTTTTCCGGAAATTTATAAACACTGAGTGTATTTTTGTGTTTTCCGGAAAAGTTGTAAATAAACATTTATTCTAATGTGTTTTAGGTTGTATTTTCTTTCCGGAAAATTAAAGGAAAATACAAATGAGAAGATATGTTTACAAATTTATCTACCCCGATAAATACAAATAATTGATTTCCTATTTTATCTAAAAAAAATATTTATAAAAAAAGATGTGTGTTATTTAAGTACGTTTTTAGCGAATTATGTATTTTTCTCGTACATTTCCTGTTGTCGTAAAAAGACTGATAAAAGAATAAAATAAAAAAATCCTTTCCCCATATTCCCCATATTTTTAATATTTTATTCTCGCATTTTCTATATTTATTAATTTCTGACATCATTTTTTATAAAAGAAAAATTTTAAATTTATTTTTCCAAAATCCTGATTTCTGATTTTTGATTCATTCAGTTTTGTATTTTACGTGTTTTATTGTATCCAAAACATTTACTTAAACAGTTTAAATTTGAAAAAAGTGTGTTTTTATTATATAAACCTTGTTTTCCGGAAAAAAGTATTTAAAATTATTGTATTTTCCGGAAACAATGTATTTTTATTTTGAACTTGTTTTCCGGAAAGGTTTTGTATTTTACATGTTTTATTGTATTTTCCGGAAAATTTATTTAAAAAATGTATTTTCCTCACAAACTTATTTTCCGGAAAAGTTTTGTATTTTACGTGTTTTATTGTATTTTCCGGAAATTATTATTGTATTTTATTTAAAATATTATTTAAAATACAAAAAAAAATATTGTATTTTCCGGAAATGTTTACAGTTAACTAGTTCTGTTATATAACCGGAAAGTTTTTGTATATAATAAAAACACTTTTTATAAAAGTGTTTTCCGGAAAAGTTTTTGTATTTTATTTCAAATGTATTTTGTTGTTTTAAATTAAATTCTGGTCACATTTTAATTTATGAAACTTTACTAAAACACAACTTTTAAACAATTCTTTACAACAATCAATCATAATTAATTTACACACACACACACGTTTTTATAGTCATTTCTGATTTTTGATTCATTTTAGACTTTAATGTTTTGTGTATGTGTAAAAACTTAATTGACTCTATTTTTCTATTTTTAGAAAAAAAAAACAATTTTTGGAGTTGAGAAACAAACTCTAAACAATAAAAATAAAAATATTTAAAAACCTTTTTATTAAAATTATTTTTCTATTCTTTCCCAAAAATATATAAAAATAAATTTTCTAAAAAAAAATCTAAATAAAATTCTTAACTATAAAAAATCCTCCTCATTTCCTAATACAAAATTTACTAAAAAATTTTTTTTCTATTTTACTTAATATAAAATATAAATGTTCGTTAAATCTCCCCCCTACTCATTGTCAGTCCAATTTAATTCTCACATCATAAAAAATATAAAAAAATTTTTTTTATAACACTATAGAGGATTTATCCCTCAAACTCTCTCTAACACCCCCACAAATTCTCAACCAAGAAAGATTTGAATAAATTAAAAATATTAAAAAAACACGAGATCGGAGGAGGCTGACATGAATCTAAATAAAAATAAAAAGTAAAATGATGTGTGATATTAGAAGAAAAATATTTATTTATTAGTTGTTATCATTTCAGAATTATTACTTGATAAATTAAATAATAATAATATTTTTTAAATTTTATTTAATAATCAGAATTATACAAATTGTAGTTACAAATTGTAAAAAGATGTTCTTTAAATATTCTGAAATTTTTTAAATAAAAAATTCTGATTTCTTTTTAATTTCTGATTTTTTAAAAATTCTGATTTTTTAATTCTGATTCTTTCTGATTTTTAAAAATTCTGATTTTTTAAAAATTCTGATTTTCAAAATTCTGATTTTTTTAATTCTGATTTCTTAAAAATTCTGATTCGTAAAAATCTGATTTTTAAAAATTCTGATTTTTAATAATTCTGATTTTTCAATAGAATTACAATTACATACAAATTCTGATATAAATTGTTTAAAAAATTCTGATTCTCTTCAATTAAAAAATTACAAATTCTGATTTTTAAATAATATCAGAATTACAATTTAAATAAAAGCACAAACACACTTACAAAAATACACAAAATTCTGATTTCCCCCAAGAAATCCCAACCATTAATTTAAATTTAATTTTTTACAATCACAAATCAAACCCTATGACCCCAATTTTATAATTAAATTGATAAGAACAAAACTACTAAAAAATTTTTTATACAATTTTTATATGTGTGTGTTTAATATTTACTCAGAAAAATCAATTTTTAATATTTATTTTACACAGTTTAGTTCTCATTTTTAAATAAATTTTCTGTCAAAAAAATTAAAAAAATTTTTTTTCACCAAAAAATTCATCAAAAAAAATTTTTTCCCCCTTTAAAAATTAAATTTTTAACAAACCCATTTTTCAGATACCGTATTTCCTCAAATAGTACGGCCGGCCGTACTATTTTTCAACCCTCTTCCAAAGGGCCGTACTATTTGAGGGGGCCGTACTAATTGAGGGGGCCGTACTATATTTCAACCATCCTTCGGAATTTTCTGAATAATTTTTCTGGTTATGCCACCTTGAACTAAGGCTGTGTTTATTGGAATTTTTTTGTTTTTTATTACACACACTAGTGTATGCCTAAAAACTTAGACTTAATCATATGCCTAGATCCAAACTGAAATTACCAAAGACCTTAAAATGTAAGGCTGCATTTAAATATCAACTTTTGTTGTGTGTTTTATCGAGCGTCAAGTGTTAGGTTTGTGCATCGGTAAATGATTAATTTAAAAGATGAGAGATTAAGAAGGATTAGAGTGATTAAGGGTGATAAGATTAAGGGTGATAAGACTAGGGTGATAAGATTAAGGGTGATAAGACTATATATATATACTGATTAAGGGTGATAAGACTAGTTTACCTTATTTTAATGAGACTAGGACACGGATTCTGATTTTGGTATCCGGATATTTAGAGTGATTAAAGGGGTGATAGGACTAGTTTACCTTATTTTAATGAGACTAGGACACGGATTCTGATTTTGGTATCCGGATATTTACGGCGGATACAGACGGATATCCGCAGGCGTTTTTACAATATCTGTACTTACCATATCTGTATTATTTCGGTTCCGGTGAAACACTAATCTGTATCCATATGTATCCGTACGACTTCAACATCAACATCATCTACGACTTCAACCTAACACAGAACCTCTCGGTCACCCACTCTTATAAGGGCCATTGAAAGAAATTAAACATATTTCTTTGAATTTTTCAATTATTCCCAAGTACGAAAGAACAAATGATAGCAGTCGATGAACTTGTGTTTCAGAAAAGGGAATTTGATCTTGTGTGAAATAATCTTTAATGTCATTTACTTACTTTAATAGAGATTTTTAGAATAAGTATAGGGCGATAGTCCGGGTCCCTCCCGGTCAACCTTCAGAACCCGTTTCTCGGTTCCCGGACCCGGTTTTTTCAAAATTCTGATCTCTAACTATCTCATTTAAATAAGCATAAACATAAGCCATACGCTACATTAAAAATTGAAAAATAAACGGAAATAAACATAATTTAATTTTGAGGTTTTTAAACGGGGGCCGTACTATTTGAGGGGCCGTACTAATTGAGGGAGCCGTACTATTTTTCAACCCTCATCTAAAGGGCCGTACTAATAGAGGGGGCCGTACTAATAGAGGGGGCCGTACTATTTGAGGAAATACGGTAAATTACAAATTTATATTCTTTTTTTTCTTAATATTTAAATCGGTGTCATTCACCTTTAACGAATTATTCAACTTGGCGTCGTTGCGCATATTTTTACTTTTATTACTTGACAATCTGGACGAGAACGGATAGTCAAAACTTTTATACCCGAAAGGGATAAAAAATAGCAACAACCAAAAAACAACAAGATAATCCTAGCCATTGAAAACAAAAATCTACTAAAAATTTGGTAAGACAATCTCAATTAAAGCATAGTTCTGGCTTGATAACTCCCGAACCCAATTTTCTTTTCGAATGGTACCCATATCATTCGAAAGAGGATTGAATTTCCTACAAAATGAGATATAAATCATAATTTTATCTCGACTTACAAAAAAGTTAAGGTCGAAAAACCCCTTAAAAACTATCAAAAACTTCTAAAAAATTACACATTGTATTGCTCGACAACCCAAAAATTTGAAAAAACCTTAGTTTGTAGCAAATTTAATTCTCTATCGAATGATACCGAAAGCGTTTCAAAAAGTTAATTCACTCAAAAGTTATCAAGTCTGGAATGAGACCCCTTCCAACACATAATTCCCCCTGCCTTAATAATTCCCCAAATTAAAAACAGAACAAAAAATACTAATTTCTGAAAATGGTATCAGAAACAACATTTGAACAGATTTCATCTTCATCAACTTTCCTTTCTTCAATGGCATCAATTCTTCCGTTGTTATTTATTAGCGCTCTTCTTTTTACTGTTTCAATTCCAATAGGCTTTATTTTAAATAAAATAATGCGACGAGTTTATAACAAAAGATTTGAACAAAACATGAAAAAACACAATTTGTTGGGGGAAAATACAAATGTTTTGGAAAACACGAAAAAATACAATTCGTTGGGGAGAAACAACAATGTTTTGGAAAATACAAAAAAACACAATTTGTTCGGGAAAAACACAAATGTTTTGGAGAACACAAAACATTTGTTTGGAAGAAACACCAATGTTTTGGAAAAACATCATTTGTTTGGAAGAGACAATGTTTTGGAAAAAGAAAAACAAGAACAACTGACAACCAAACATCAAGGACAACAACAACGAGAACAACATTGTTTGGATAAACACAAGAAAAGTATTGGAAGTTTGGAGGAATGGATTTGAGGAAAGAAACAGCGATAAAAACAAGAGAATGAAGCGCTGAATAAAATACTTAAAAAAAATTTTTTCTAAAAAAATATTAACTAAAAAATTTTTTTATTAAATAAAAATAAAAATATATTTCTTTCTTTTTATTTTTAAAAATACAAAAAAATTTTTCTCTTAAAACATATTTGCCAAAATCTTGTATAGGTAGTTGAGTCAAACTCGAAGAAGTTAAACTCGAAGCGAACACATATATTGTTCCTCTGTGCTTTTATTTCAAATTTTTTTCTTCTTCTCTTCATGATGCTTCCACCACAAATTGTATGCTCATTGTTCGAGGATCACTGAAGCTGAAAAGCCGAGATCGAGGGGCCAAGAAGATTCTTCCAAGAAAATCCGAGAAGACTCTTGTACTTGTATCAAGATTAATTCAAGTTTTGTATCGATTCAAGATGCCTTATCAAACAAAAAAAAATTTTTTTAATTTTAATTTATGAAAATACAGTCAAATCTCGATTGTACGTACACCCTTGGGAATATAAAGTGATTGGGAAACATTTTAAAGAGATAAAAGCTTTCTTGAACAAGCTTCCCCCTCATTCAGTTAATTATGTTTAGATTGTGAGTAAAATTCGAGATTCTGTTTTTTAAAATAATTTTTATTTTATAAATATTTTTAAAATGAGGCTAAAAAATATTTAAGAATTCTCTTAATCTTATAAAAAATTCCCTACATTAGCTAAAATTTCCCTATAATCCTTAAAACAAGACCCCTAAAAAAATAGCCTCTCTACCCCTAAATAAACAATAAAAAAACAACAAATAGGCCGAAAAATATTTATTCATTCATTTTTTAAATCGAAAAAACTAAGCGAAAAAATATTATTAAATTGCCGAAAAAATTGCCGAAAATTATATATTTGCCGAAAATGTTGTGTATCCAAAAAAGTTATCCGAAAAAAGTTTGCCTGAAAATGTTTAAATTTTTGTATTTTTAATCAGAATTACATAAAACATTACACAACATCAGAAACACAACAAAAACATAAACATAAAACACACACGAAAACACAAACAAACAAAAACATAAGCAAAAACATAAGCAAAAACACAAATATAAAACACTAAAACATCAGAAACACAACAAACACAACAACAATAAAAACATCAAAACAAACAAACAAAACATTCAAAAACATATGTATAAACCTTCTCTTTTTCTTTTTCTAAAAACACACAAAAACACTCTCTAAAACTTGATTCTTCTAAAACAAACATGTGTTTTTCTTAAAACTCAACAACAAAAACATAACTAATATTAGCCAAAACTCTATTAAAAACAAACTAACCTAAACAGATTACCCAACACACAACTTATCCTTTAAGTATACCCAAAACCAACACATTGTGTGTGTCTCTACTCGAAAATACGCGTTCAAAAATACTCTTCATTACCCTTTTCAATACTCCGAGACCTTCTAAATTTTATAATGTACCAAAATTATTTTTTCTTGTTTATTACTCCATCCCATATTTATATAAAAAACACAACTTTGTATAGTGACTCAAAAAGCGCTTTTTAACACCAAATTTTTTATTTTCAAACATTTTTCTCCCGATATTAGGCCTTTAAAACCAGCCATACTCTTTTTTAAACGCGAAAAAATAAACTGTGCACAGTTTAGGGGGAAAATTTTTTGAATTTAAAGAAGCGAATGCTTAAAAAAGATAAAACGTAGAGCATATAAAATGATTAGAAAAATACGGGACGGAAAAAAAGGATAAAATTATAAACGCGCAAATATGAGATTATTAGGCTAAATTTTGAAAAAAAAATATGCTTTTGTAAATATTAAACGTTAAAAAAACTCGGTTTAAATTCTAAAAAAAGGAGAATTATAAAAATTTTGTACGCCTCGTAGAGACAAAAAAAAAATTTTAAATTGTCACATGTGGTTAAGTCGGTAGTGACTTTGATTACAAGGGCAAAAGAGGTCACGGGTTCGAATCCAAACATGGAAAAACGTCTTTGTTTAACTTGACAAACGCATTTTTTTTCATTAAATATTTTTAATTGAAATTTTAAAAAATCCATGCCACTATTTATCCGAGAAAAAAAACTACAAGTTTAGGTATATTAAATAGAAACGCGCAAATAAATTATTTTTAAATAAGAGTTGGATTATATTTAAAAAATTCTTTTGGTAGTAGAATAATATAAATTAAGATTTTTAAAAGACCACTTCTTATCCCTCGATAATGCCAAAAAATTTTTCCGAAATTCCTTAAAAAATAGAGAGGCAAATCCAAATCTCGAACAGAAAAAGCCAGGACAAACACCTTCAAAAAATTTGTAAAAATCTTAAAATTAATTTTAAAATAATTTACTTATTCCGTACGCCTCGTAGAGACAGGAAAAAATTTTTTAAGAAAAATTGTCCCATGTGGTTAAGTCGGTAGTGATGTTGTTTATAAGGAAAGAGGTCGCGGGTTCGAATCCGATCGTGGTAAAACCGCTTTGTTTTCCTATTAAAATATAATTAAAAATATTCTAAAGAAAACTAGGGATAGGAAAAAAATTTCGATATTAAAATTAAAAAAAAATTAACCCAACTACCTAAGGGTTAAGCGCGCACACAAACTGAGTAATATCCTTTTTCCCTCATTAAGAACAATTTAATTTAGGTAGAATAACCATAAAGCAAGAATTGAATTTAAAAAGAGACCAGAAAGCATGTATCAGAGGTATGAATTGTCCCATAAAAAATCATAATAATAAATCATCATATTGAAGGATTCCCTCCAAATAGAGCGATCCAAGACATGATTTTTAACCAATTAAATTTGATAAATCTGATCGCCCATCGAAAAAAAAATTTCCATATTTTTAACCTCCAAAAACTGTGTGTAAATATTTTAAAGAGGATAATATCCATCCAAAAAAAAAGCCAAAAATAAAAGGAACATCCAATCATTTTTAAACACAAGTTTAGAAACAAAACAAGATAGATTGGGCCATTTAACCAAGCAAAAAAACCATTATTATTAGAAAATATTTTAAAATTTTAGCCAATTAATTGATAAAAAATAATGATAAAGAAAGCTGAACAAGTAAGCTGATTGGAATTGTTAAAAATAATAAAGCTTGATTAAACAAAAAAAAGGAAGAATTAAAGATTAAGTGTTCTGGACAGATTTTAAAAATTAAAAAAAGAATAACTCCCTTAATGATTAATTAAACCAAAAAACACACAAAAATACCAAAATGCACCATCGAAAAATTAAATTTAAAAAAAAAAAAATAAAAAAAATTAATTAAAAAAAGAACAAATCCTTTAAAGGAACGCCAATTTTGATAAAAGTTTGCCTTTGTAATTTTTTTTAGTTAAGTTGGATAAGTTTTAAAACATATTATTCGAATAAAAAATTTGTGTAAGGTCGAATCCAGTCACGTAAAAAAATATTTTTTCCGGAAAATTTGTTTAATAATTTTGTATAAATTTTTAAATTTAGAAGATCAAATTGAATAATAATGTAAAATTAAAAATTAATAATTTTTTTCATTGCATTAATTGGATGGATTATTTAGTTAAGTTTGTGAAGTTTTCATCAAATTAGGGGGCTAAAAAATTTTTCAAAAAAGGGTTCAAGCATCCGGTTTGAAAAAACACAAATATTATTTTTTTGGGAGATTGGTTGTAAAGAAATTTTCAATTTTTGGATTTTAAGTTTGTATATTGTATTTTGTAGTTAAGTTGGATAAGCGCGGGAATAGGAGTGGGAAAAGTATGAATCCAGCATGAATTAAATAATAAATCGAATCATTAAAACGTTGTTTTACATATTTTTTGATTGTTAAAATAATTTGTGAGTTGAAAGAGTAAAATTATTGCCCACTAATAACAAATTTGTAATTTGTAGTTAAGTTGGTTAAACGCGTAAAAAAGAGGTGTGAGTTCGAATCCCTCATAGGTAAAACATTAAATTTTCTTCTTAAACGTGGTTTTTACATGTTCAAAAATTATTTAAAACGATTGTGAATTTCCTTCTAATTTTTTTTAATATCAAAAAATATAGTAAATAAGCAAGCTTTCCCCTTGTGTAAATATTGTTGTGGTTAAGTTGGTATAAGTTTTTCTTCCAAATTATTAATGCGGGAATAGAGAAATTGTTTGGATTGTAAAATACATTTTGTTCATTTTTTAGATAAATTTAAAAAAAAACCCCAAGATTAACCATTATAGGTAGAGATTTTTGAAAACACACTAAAAGAATATTTGGGAAAAATTAATTTTCCTACCAACAATAACACCTCGCATATACATATTTACATTATTAAGCTTTTTATACTCAAGAATATTGTTAATAGTATTTGTAAGTTTTTCTCAACCTTGATTCTCGCTTTTTAAAAACACTTGAGATTTTTTTTCAAATTTTATGACGCATTGACTAAACCATTTATGGCAATACTTCTCCCCCCTCTGTTTTTTTTTAGATTGAAAATATTCTAACAAAAGTTTTTATTACTCCTCATTTTAAAATAAACAGGACATTGTTGTTTTGAATTTGAAATTAAATTTTGTGGTTTAAAATGAGAATATATACAATTTTTATTGTTGTTGTTATTGTTAAAGATCAAGATTAATCCAAAGTTTTAATCAAGGTTAAAAAATTGAATTCATTTTCTTGTCCAAAAAATTTTTTTCAAATCTTCTTTAAACATTATTCAAAAATGTTCATAATAATTTAAGAATCAACCCGAAATTAAACACGATTTGTTGTAGGTTAAATAAATTTAAACACTAATATATCCAAAGAAAAATTAATTTGAAAAATTTTGGCAACAATTAGACACAGAAAACATTTGGTTTGAATAATAGAAAATTTGCTGAATACCAAGAACGCGCTTCCCCTCAAAACAGTAAAAAAAACTCTCCAGACTAAATTATATTTTGTTCATTCTACATTAAAATACCTGTGTGTATTGTGTCAAGAAATATAGGAAATAAGATCTAAAATTCATATAGCCCCAAAGATATATCCCCCCTAATATATTCAAAAAAATTTTAATTGAATTTGACCTGGACATCACCAAAATTGTGAACAAATTTTTTAAAGTCCCAAAAAAGCTCGTCTAAACAAGCATGGTTCTATCACTGTATCATCTAAAAATAAACTCCCAAAAACCTTCCCCTATTTAAATTTAATTGTGTAAAAAATACATTGGAGACAAACAAGCTTAACAGTCAGTGATTTAAAACAATGATAGGAGGAAAAGCGCAACTTCGAAACATCTAAAATAGGTATACTATCATCAAAAAACTAACCCATCCTAATGAGAATAAATTGAGAAATCAAATGGCTTAACAGAAGAATAAAAAAAATCCGGTTATTGAAGTAACGAATGATTCTCCCTTCCAAGCAAACATAAATTGGTAAGATATACAAGAGATTGTGATTTGGATACATAATTTTGAGGCACATCTAAATTTCTTTTCCCAACAAAAAAGCAACCAACCCATCCCAATGAGTAGAAATATTTCTAAAAATACAAAAACCGCTATACATCCACTGGGGTTTTAAGAGAATGATCGCAAATTTCCAACTACTGAAGACACTTTTTCCTCTTAGTATTGTATCATACATCTTCTTATCCCTTCTAGACTGAGTATGGTAATGGATTGATCTCGATTCCTTATACAAACATGTAGTTTTGAAATACACATCTAAATTTATCATCAAGGAACCCAACCCCCATCCCATTAAGGGAAAATATTTAAGAAAAAATACAATGACAGTTTGAAAATGAATTAAATTTGAAAATGAAGACACGCAAAGGACTGAGAATTGGATTTCTTATACAGGTAAAAGTAGTTTTGAAACACACATCTAAATTCATCATTAAGGAACAAATCAAATACCGCAAGAAACAAAAAATTCATTAGGCTTTGTAATAGAATGATCCGCGATCTCCCAATTTTTGTATCTTCTTATTGCCGCACACATTTTAACCGCTTCTATTTGGAACGTAAAGTAGTGGTAGGTAGATACACGAAAATGATTGAGATTTAGATTTCTCATACAGGTTTTGAACAAAGTTTTGATACACATCTAAATTTATCATCAAGGAACCAGCCCCAACCCATTGAGTGATATTTAAAGAATACAATGACAAAACATGCATTGAATTTGAAAACGGCCTTTATCTTCATTATTGTGTAACAAATCCCTTCTAACGCAAAAGAGACTGATTGGAAACTATTTTCTTCGTTATTGTGTGTCCCTCTTATCAAACGCATAATAACGCAAAGGAGATTGATTTGGATTCCTCTCATCTAAATATATCATCAAAACCCCAACCCTCGTTGAGTTAAAAAATATTTTTAAAAAATACAACCAACAGCCACCCACTAATCCATTGACTTTGAGAATGAATTTGGCATTCACAACGGTTTCCGATATTATTGTAACCTTATCCCTTCTTGTCAGACGTAAAATAGACATAGGATTGAGTTGGATTTCTTATAGTATTTCTTATAGCTTTTGGATTTCTTCATTTATATTAACACGGTAGCGAACAAACGCGCATGTCACATTGTTGGGTAAAGTCAGAAAGCAGTAGAAAAAACCTTCTCCCTTTCTCTATAAAATCACATGTTATTTAAAATAAAACAGGCCGCTAGTCGAGAATTCGGTCGAGAATATATTGAATGTTGGAGTGGTAGATGCGAGAGTGGTTGCGAGCATTGAATGAAAAATTGACGAGAAAAAGAGTAAAAAAGGCAGCAATAATGTGCATTAGAAGAAAAATAAATGGCAGCCATTAAAACTGAATATTATTTGAGAAAGCGGGACCCATATAATGTGTTGAAGTAGAAAAAACTGGTATTAAGGAATGTAGATTAATGTTGAAGATAAAAATTTAAATCCACACAAAACATTCATAACAAAGGAGTATAATGGAGTATATTAATTATAGTAGAGGTAGTTACAACATTTTAATACAAACATTCAAAGGAAAAAATAAATATTCACTAAAAATATTTTAATAAATAAAAACGCGAACAAAAACCCCCGTCAGCAAAATAATTTAAAAAATATTTTTAAAAATTTGTAGAAAGATTAAAAATAAAATTAGAAATTGTTTAAAGAATGACTTGCTATGGAGCGCTTGGGGGCTATTTAAAGACAATTTTTATGGGCGGAGTTAGGGTGGGCTGGCTGGCTGTATGAGGAAAGAAGCGACGCGCGCGCTCACACGACGCAGAAAAATTGAGAAATTTCTAGAAAAATATTTTTAGAGAAATAAAAGAAAAATAGTATATATTTTAAGGAGAATAAATGAAGCAGTCGGTCGTTATTGACAGCCTTCATGTGTGTATACAACAACAGCAGCCATTAAAAAAAAGCAGGCAATAGCGTCTAACTGACAGCCGTGCAGCAAGAAAAGAATAGTGGGGTGAGTTGTGTATATGAGGAAATATGCGAGCGATATTGACAGCCGTTGTTGTATAGTCAGTCGTAAGGCAAGCAAAGAATGGTGAGGTGAGTGTTAATGAGTGAAGGAGCCATTAAAGCAAGCGATGGCGTTTAATTGCCAGCCGTTGTAGTAAGCAAGTAAAGCAAAGAATATTGGGGTGGTGTGTATATGAAGAAATAAGCGGGCGTTATTGACAGCCGCTAGTGTATAGTCAGACGCGGAAAGGCAAACAAGCAATGGGTAAGTGTTAGTGTGTGTGGAGGGATGTGAAAAGAAAATTTTGAAATATATTTCTAAATAAAATTGTTGTTGTTGACAAAAACATAAAAAATGAATAAACATAAAAATAAAAATGATAGTCATATGATGCTTCCTTTTTTTTGAATTTCATAATAAACAAAAATAGAATTTGGAGGATTTCATCATATGACAAAAAAAGTAAAAAAATACATGAGGAATTTCAATAGAATTTTGATGAAATCCTCACAAAAAAATTATTTAGAGGGATAGAGGATGATGGAACATAAGGAAAATTCGAAAAAATTTATTACGAAAATTAGAAAAGTTTATAAAAATTGACTCAATTACAAAAAAACCTAACCAATACAAAATACCCCCAAAAGACTAATTTCATATTCAGTAACTAAATATAACATTTTACTCCCAAATCGCATTATACTCCCTCAGCCCCCACCAAATTACAACCCCAAAATCCCACCCATTAAATACTCTCTCCAATCAACATCTTATATATTTAAAAAACCCCTACAAAATCTTTTAAAAAATCCTCCAAAAATTCAAGTAAGATATTTTTAATACTCTAAAAGACCTTAGTCTATTTACAGCTGTCAACACACACGAACACCGGCTGTCATTTGGAATGTTTTATAGGAAATTGATTGAGAAATACGTGTGCGTTAGCGCCACGAATATTGAAAGAAAAAAAATTTTTACATTTAAAAATAGAGAGAAAAGAAAGAAAGAAAATAAAAAAAGGTGTATATAGAAGCATATGATTTTTAAAAATTCGATAATTGTTAAATTATAAAAAATTGATTAAGAAATGTTTTTTGGATTGTTTGTGAGACTTTTATTCCCAAAATGCTCCCCCAAACTCCGTCAAAAATCCGGAAAAAGACTCCAGACATATCTTTATCCCCCTTTATTTTTCTACCAAGAATTTTAATTTTTTACTTTCCCTTTCCCCTCTCCCAATTACTCCCCCCAAACCTTTTTACCCATTTAAATGTTTTAAAACCGGATATATACTACTAATTAATTAACTCTTCTCCACTTGATATAAAGGTTCAAAAAATTTTCTTTTTAATAGAATTTTGTGTATTTTTTTATTATGTATATCAACAGAAATATAACCGAAAAATTTTAATTAATTAATAAAAAAACACCGTATTCCATTCCATTTATAGTCCATCAGAAGCTAGCCTCTTTTCAACTTGTTCCAACACTTCTTTACGATAATCATCAAATTCCCCATCAATTTGATAAACATTCTCATCTTCAACAATCCATAAACGACAATTTGTTGCTCTAATTAATCTTTCGTCGTGGGTAACCATTAATACACCTCCACCAAATGTTTCTATACCATCTGCTAAGGCTTGGATTGACTCAATATCCAAATTGTTTGTTGGTTCATCCTTTAAAAAAAAAATTTTTTTTTGAAATGTTTTTGGTATATGTTTTGATCCTTATTAGAAGAAGAATCCTTTCGTTCATGACCCAAAAGTTCCAACATGGTCCTAGGTTTAACCCAAAAATCACTGATTATTGATTCGAGGTCAATAATCCAGGAGTAATTTATTTTGAAGAACTTAACAGTGAGCCCATAAGAACCGAGGAACTCTTTATAAAGATGACATCATAGTTCGGATTTGGATCCAGGAATCATAATGACTCGATTAAATAACACGAGGTTGGTATAAGGTTTGAATCTAAGGGTCATTAACTTCGATCGATGACTCGATCATATAGATCTGGGATTTGTATAATTTAGAGATCATATTCAAACATGCTCTCACACGGTTCCTTATTTTAGTAAACCCAAAATCACTCAAAAACTCCTTCTTAAAAGTGACAGCTTATCCCAACACACATGTAGTTATATATAAAACTAACCCCAGATAAAATTCCTTATATAAAATTAAATAAATTATACCAAAATTAAAATATCTGGCGCTGTTAAAGACAATTCAGCTAAAGCAACACGACTTTTTTGACCACCAGATAAATTTTTGATTTTTACATTGTGTGCTTGCGATATTAATCCAACCATTCCCAAATTTTTTCTGGCGCTCTAGAGAAAATGAAAAAGATTATTAAAATTTTAAATAATATTTTGTTTATTATTTAAAATACTATCATGCCTTTAAGACGGAATAAGAAAAAGGATCAAAGAAAAAAAACCCCCCCAAATTTCCCTATTCATCCACAATTTATAACACAATAAAAACATAGAAATCATTCAAGAAAGAATTCCCCAAAACCCTCTCAAGCATCCTCCCAAGGATACTTCTCTCTTTCCCTTCTCCTAACAATAAGATAGAAACTCATCTCAATAATCCTTCTTTCAAAAATACTTTACCAATCGAATGGAAAAACCGGAATCACACCTTTTTCGACCCCCAAAAAGGCACAAAAAAAAACACCCAGCAAATTTATAGAATTACCACAAACCCCTCTAACAATAAAAGCAAAAAAAAATGTTCACAAACCTGATGATCAATATTATATTTAACCATCAAATATTCAACAGGAGTTTGTTCACCATTTAATGCTTCATTAGAATGTTGATCAAACCACCCAATTCTAAGTTGTCTATGTTTAACTAATTCACCTGTAGTCTTTAAAAAAAACTTTAAAATTAAAAAAAAAATTCAAAAATAAACCGGAGCAATTTTTCCACTCAACAATTTTAGCAAAGTAGATTTTCCAACACCATTAGGTCCAACTATCACAATTCTAGAATCCATATCAATACCAAAATTGACATTTTTGAATAATAATTTAGCATTTTCATAACCAAATGAAACATCTATAGAAAAATTAAAATCAGTTTCGGATATTAAAAAATAATTTCCCCAAGCGGGGTCGAACCCACGACCCCCTATCCAACGGCACAGTAATTGCCGAAAAATTCAATAAAGTTGAGACTATCAAAAAAGGAGTTAGACAAAGTGTCAACACATGCTTTTTAACTAAAAACAACTTTCAGAATATTTAGAAAAAATAATTTCTCCAAGCGTGGTCGAACTCATGACCACTCCCTTAAGCGGGGTCTCGAAAATATTTTAAAAGATTTTCATTAAAAACACTTCGAAAATATTCAACGTTTTTTTTTAAATCCATAAAACCCCTTTTAATTAAAATAAAATTAAAATAAACCATGTAATCCCAAAACAGGTGGAGCCAATTTTGTAGTACCAGGAAAAACAAATTTAACAGAATATTCTTTTATTTTTTGTAAAAGTTCGGGTGGAGGAGCGTCTTCTGTAAAAAGAATAAATAAATTTAAAAAAAATCCCAAAAAAATTTTTTTTCAAAATTCAAACCCTCCTCCCACCAACCTTCATCCCCCATAGTTGCTGAACCTCTTTCACTCTTTTTTCCAACAGCTTTTTGTTGTTTTGCATTCATTCTTCCTTTAATTTCTTCTTCTGCCTGTTTTCCACTTTTTCCACCCTTTTTTAATGCATGTAATTGTTTTTGTTGATTTTCGTAAGCCTTCAAATGTTCTCTCAATTTTTGTTCATACATTTTTCGAAATGAAGCTGAAAAAATTGTAAAAATAAACTTAAAAAATCAGAATTTTAAATGAACATAAAATACCTAAAATACATGTTCATTTAAAATTCTGATTTTAAATAAAATTGAAATCAGAATTTCAAACGAACATTTAAATGAACATGGAATGAACATTTTAACTGAACATGTTCATTTAAAATTCTGATTTTTATTAACATCAAAACAAGAATTTTAAACAAACATTGAATATGTTTCAAGTTTATTTTTAGAATCAGAATTCAAAATAAAATCAGAATTTAAGACGAACATTGAAATGTTTCATGTTTATTTAAAATCAGAACAAAATTAAATTCAAAACTTAACTATAATTTCCCTTGTAATAAAAAAGTTTTTGACTATCCAAATGAATAATATCAGTACAAATGTTGTCAAGAAAGGATTGATCGTGAGAAACAATTAATAATGTTTTCTTCCAATTTTGTAGATAACTAAATAAAAATTTTATAAAAATTTTTTAAAAAATCTGAAAAAAATTTCTGGACATTTTGTCGTTTTGTTTTCGATTTCTGGACGTTTTAAGAATGGACATTTTGGGTTTGAATATTTTTCTAAAAAAATTTTTTAATTTCAGAAGAAACAAAAACATCAGAAAATCCAAAAAAATATTTTTTGCCAGATTCTGGGCCTTTTGTCGTTTTTTACAATTTCTGGACGTCCCAAATTTTTTGTCCCAAATTTTTTTTTAAATTTTTTTAAAAATTCCAAAAAAAATTTTACAAACTTGTCAAGCCAAATAACAGCATTTAGATCCAAATGGTTAGTAGGTTCATCCAATAATAAAAGTGTAGGTTCCAAAAATAACGCTCTAGCCAAAGATATTCTCATTCTCCAACCACCAGAAAAATCTTTGACAGCTTTTTCTTGCATTTCTTTACTAAATCCTAATCCAGCCAATATTCTTCTAGCTCTAGATTCAGCAGAACTTGCCCCAATATTTTTTAATTCAACCGAAACTTGCTGTAATTCTTCTGTAACATTTGTATCACCCAATTCTAATTTTGATAGTAAATCTGCTTCTTTTGTTATTAATTCCATTCGAATTTTGTCTGAACGCAAAACTGTTTCAATTGCTGAAGTTTCATCAGCTTCGATTTCTGAAAATATTAAAAAATTTCTTAATTTTTTAAACAAAATTTAAGAAAATAATCCATTCTGCAATTGGAAAGTGTACCATTTGGATTCATAACAAAATAGGTTTCGAAGGATTCGAACCTACTCCCTCGTCTTTTTTCTCATTATATAAATTTTGGTACTTGTGGGTTATCCCTACGGACTTTTGCGGACTTTTTTTGCGGACACAATTGTACATAATGGTAAGAGTTTCTCCCTCCTTTTCTCCTATGCACTTGTTATTGTATTCATGTTCATGCTGTGGAAAAATTCATTGGATGGGTGATGGAATTGAACCATCACGGAAAGGGCCCAAACCGAAGCACAACCGACTGTGCCACCATCCAACCCGATGATAGGTTATTTATTTTCATTTATATTCTTTCTGCAAGTGCGGGCACAACACTTGTCAACCAATCAAACAAGATTAAATGTAATATATTAAAAATAAGCAAATTATGCAAACTTCACATTCTAACTTTTTTTCTTTTCTAATCTCTTTAGCTAGTGATCTTTTTATAATGAAAATTTGTGATTTGCCGGCAACTGAAAACGATGCCATTGAATTTTTACAGAATCTTAGTCTTCTACATAAAACAAGAGTGTACCGAAATGGGCTAAAATGAAATTGTATTACAAATAACATCCAGTTTTGTCCAAAAAAGCTGGACAATTGGAGAGTTATTTTTTGGAGAGTTATTTTGCAGAGTTTATGTGGAGAAAAATGGTTGGGAAAAAAAACGTTTTTGAGGAAATCATGCTTGCTTGGGGGAAATATTGGGCATTGGAATGATTTTTGTTTTATATATTTTCTTTTTCACATAAACGCTTATATTTTCTGACATAATTGTATACATTAAATTTAATCCTTAACGAGGGAAGAGAAACTCTTACCATTATGTACAATTGTGTCCGCAAAAAAAGTCCGCAAAAGTCCGTAGGGATAACCCACAAGTACCTAAATTTTACACTACTTAACCACAAATGTTTAGTTTCCAATTATGATGAAAGCGGACTCTGCCGGATATGCCAGCCCTTTCCTGTATCTTTTGAGGATTCAAACTTCTAATAGAACAGTGTTTAGAGAAAAGTTGTTCTCCTAAATTATCCCCTCCCATTCAGAACCTTTAAGATCACAAGTCTATTGATCAAGAACGTCAAGCATTTCATCGCCCACCTTCACCCCCCATTAAGAAATAAATTCCAAACAAACCTTGTTCACAATACAGAATATCAATATTTGGAGGAATAGCAAGTTTTCTAGCAGCAATATGTTTCAAAAGTGTAGTTTTACCCATTCCATTGGGCCCAACCAATCCATAACGTCTACCCATTGCAACGGTTAAACAAGCTTTGTTGAACAATTGCCTTCCATCGGCAGAAATATCAAAATTTTCAACCTTGAAAATTATTTAAATTAAGCCAATTCCTTCATAAAAAACCTTTATATCAACAGCAGTTTCCATTAAATTTAATTGAGCATCAGTTTTGACTTGTTGTGAAACAGTAAATTGATCTCCAACTTCTGCACCAGAGCCTATTCCACCTGCAAAAAGATTTCAAAAATTTTTAAATGGAATTTTATTAGGGGTTGATTAGTTCTGGGCAAGTTGTTTGGACACGATTTTCAACGTAAAAGCCATTACAGATATTTAGAAAAATAAATTCCCTCAAGCGGGGTCGAACCCACGACCTCTCAAATTCGTTAAACAACGGTGCGGTTATTGCCAAAAATTTTACTGGAATCGAGATTAATCAAAAATTGAGGTTAGACAAATTATCTACACATGATTTCCGTCTTAAAAAACTTTTTTGAATATTTAAAAAAAAATTAATTTCGGCAGGCGGGGTCGAACCCACGACCTCTCAAATTCACTGAACAACAATGCGGGAAATGACGAAAGGGTCAGGAAATATTGGAATAGAAGTTGGCAAGCTGATGGCCACCCTTCTTTGATTAAAAACTTTCAAATTTCACAAAAAACCTTTTTTCAGTGGAGACTTTTGTTCCTCCTCATTTAAATTATGCAGCTTTGATCCCATCGCCTGCAATCCCTTTTCATATTCATTACGTTTTTGTTGTTTCTTGAGCTCTTTTCTTGAGGGTTTCTTTGATTTTGAAGCATCTACAAAACCCAACGAAATTTTTAAAAATTTACAAAAAAGTAAACCTTCTCCGTTGGTTGCATCCAATTTTTGAGTGTCCTCCTCAGCCGTAGACATTTCAAAAAATAAATTTTGAAGGAATTGAAAGAGAGTAGCGTTGTGTTGAAATAATAATAAGTTTTGGGTTAAATAAGAATCTAGAAAAATCAAAAAAAAATTTTTTAATAGTTTGAGGTACACAAAAGCAGTCACTAAAAACAAACAAAAAAGGATAGATTTTTGTTGGGACAAAATTTAAAGAAAAATAGATCGAATAGCAATAAAATAGAAACAAAAAAATCAGAATTAAAAGAGGCTCGAACATTCAAGTGGAAATTAACACGTTCTACAGTCAGTTAAAAAGAGGCTTGAAATGTTGCAATAAGTTTATTGATTGCAACAGAGAACTATTAATTTTTGTAATGAATGTCTCTGATAATAAACAAAAAAAAGAATTGTAAAAAGTGTAGAGCAAAAAATCAATACACAAAAAGGACTGAGAAATCAATAATGAACTTTACAAAAACAAAGAACACTTCAAGGTTCATTTGATAGTCACAAAAATAAAAAAAAATTTACATAAAAATGAATCTTCATGTTCATACTCAAATGACTCCACGAAGAGAATTACTTTTTCTCTCTACCTGTAGTCTTTCTAAAATTGGGACAAATTGTCATTTTTCGTAAACAGAATGCCAAATTTAAATTTTAAGAAAAAAAGCGGCATGACCCCTCTAGCATAAGATTTTGTCACCAGAAAAATTACCCTTAAAAATCAGAAACCTATACAAAAAACCTGAAAAACTTCTTCCATTACCAATTCATCCACCACCACAATTCCACATCCATTCAACCACCATCCATTCCATACAGTCCATTTACCTTTTTTCGATAAAAAACAGAAAATTTTTAAAATTGAACAAAAAACAACAAAGACAAAGGACAACAAGAGAGAGGAAAGGAGGCCCGCGTGCGCATTTTTAGCTAATTTTAAATTTTTTTAATCAAAAAATTTTTTACCTGGCCAGAAAACAAAAAGGCCAGCCACCATGAAGAGCATGTTGAAGAACATGTTGAAGAGCACCACCATGAAGAGCATGTTGAAGAGCACCACACTGAAGAGCACCATCAGTTGAAGGACAAGTAGACACAACTAAATATAAATAAATTTTTTTCGGTTTTTTAAAAAAACAAAAAAACAGCCGTACTGATGAGCAGCCACCACCACCATCAGCAAAAAATTTTTTAAAAATTAAAAAAAATTTAATTTTTTATTTTTAAAAATTTTTAAAAAATTAAAACCAGCCACTCAACCACCAAATCCACACAAGAGCATGTTGACCACCACCAAATCCACACAAGAGCATGTTGACCACCACCAAGCAACCAAGAGCATATTGACCACCACCACCCATCACACGCAAAAAAATTTATAAAAATATTAAAAAAATTTATTTTTTATTTTAATTATTTTTAAAAAATTAAAAACCAGCCACCATCCATTGGAACCAGCCAGGCCATCCATGTTGAGCAGCAGCAGCACAAGAAAAAAATATGAAAATAAAAAGATTATTTTGGTATTTAAATTTAATTTAAAAAATAAAAAAGAAAAAAAACCACCGAATCATCGGCAGCTCCATGTAGAGCACCATCAGGCCATGTAGAGCAGCATCAGGCCTTCAAATTAAAAAAAAATCAAATTTTTTTATAAATTAACAAATTTAAAATGAAAAAAAACAAAATTTTAACCAGGCCAAGCGTTCTGCACGTTGACTGGAGGCTTGCACCTTTAAATTGATGAAAATTAAAATTTTTCAAAAAATTAGAAAATTTTTATTTTTTTTAAATTTTAGCGTGCGCAGCAGGGGAAAACGAATAAATAACGAATAAAACAGATAAAAAAGAAAAAAACATATGAAAAAAAAGAAAAAAACGAAAAAAACCGGCATAAACACGCTCGAGATCTCGAGATAAAAGATAAGAAAAATGAAGCCAAAATTAAGCCTCAAAAAGTTTGAATGAAAATTGCTCGCAAAATTAAATTGGAAATTCCAAAGTGTTAAATGTCAAAGTGTCAACTAGTTATAATTCGTTCAAAACACATACTCTAGCTACAGAAAAATTTTCTGGAAGTTTTCCGTTTCATTTTTTCTGCGCTGTAGTTAATTCCAAGCTTCGTCTTCTCTACTTCCCCCCCCCCCCCCCCCCCCCCTCCCTTATTACGTTTTGGTTAACCTTTGACTCTGAGACTTTAGAATGTTTACCTTTCCCGCTTTCCAACCAAATCACGATGACTAATCAATTCACTGCCTTTTTCAGATCGAATGACTGATTCAACTGATCCAACTTTAACCTTACCTTCTACCTCTCAACATGATTTTGATGATGTTGAAAAACCTATGGAAATTGAATCCATCTGCCCAAACTGTCACGAAAATGGAATTACAAAGATTATTTCTATCAACATTCCTTTCTATCGTCAAGTTATTGTTATGTCCTTTGCTTGTGAACATTGTGGACTTCAAAACAATAATTTACAATCGGGAGAACAGGCTCAGGTTTTTAATTTATTTATTTCTCATGTTTAGTCACTTGCCAGAGCCTGGGAGATCCATTCCAGGAGATTTTTTTCTGCTCTGAGTAGTGTTTGGGAATGTTAACTGACTTTATTGGCTTTCTTTGAGGAGCCAGTTTATAGGAAGAAAGGAAACCTCTAGTAACCTTCCCGGACATTTTGGATTGTCTATCTTGATTCTAGCCAGTTTTAGGAAGTCCACCTTTGCTAGACTTCATGGAGCTCTAGATGGCTTTTTGAGGAGTAGTTTAGTTCCAGAAAGACACACTTTTGATGTGGCTTTCTGACAGTTGTGAGTTGTTCGATTTATGGGCCCAGCCAGTTTCTAGGGGAGAAGTAAACCTATGCTAGCCTCCCGGGATTTTTTGGATTGTCTTTCTTGGTTTTAGCCGGTTCCAGGAAGTTGAGCTAAAGGGGCTTTTCGAGGAGTCTGCTAGTTCCAGAAAGACAGACTGTTGGAGTGGCTTGATGACAGTCTTTCAATTCCCAAAACCCACCTTGTTAGCTCCTTGTAACTATCCTTTATCATTATTTTCAGGAATACGGAACAGAGATTGTTTTAAAAGTGAAGAATGCTGCTGATCTGAACAGAACAGTTGTGAGGTCTGAATATGGAATATTCGAAATCCCCGAGCTTGAACTTACAATACCTCCAAAATCTTCGTCTGGAGGTTTCTTTTATTTTTAACATTTTTTCAAAATTAATTTTAAGCCCTAACAACGGTCGAGGGTGTACTTCAATCAGTTAAACAAGATTTGGGCGAAACCCAGCCTTTACGTAAACAGCTGGATGCTGCTATGGCCGATAAAATTGATCAATTTTTGGAGAAACTTGACAAATTTCTTTCCTTGGAAAATTCATGGACGTTGGTAAGTCTATTTTTTAAAGTAGAAAAAGTAAACTTGAAGCGGAATATTGTGGTCAAGGTTGAACTTACTGACCCCTAGAAATAACTTAAGAAGAAGTGACTTCAGTTTGCCAGTAATTTTGTAACCCTAACTTGCCTGGCGTATTCGAGTTTAGGATTTGAAAATGAAATTTGAACACATATTTGATCGTACTACCTACTGGCAAACCCTAAGAATATCAAAAGAGCTTTTCTTCCTCGATATGTTCTGCGGACAAGTGGATTCAATCTTTACGCATTTATCTTTTGAGAGGCTTGAAGCATTTTATATGCTTTAAATTTTGTTTTTCATTTATTCCAACTTGCTGAAATTCTAAAAAATCTTAAAACCTCTCAATATTTTTTCTAGAAGCTTCGCGACCCATCAGGAAATTGTTTCATTCAAAACCCAAATCCTTTCCATGTTGACCCTCATTGTATTACTAGCCATTATTGCCGTTCTATTGATGAAGAAAAATTATTGGGATTTTTGGATGACGACCAAGTAATCGAATTAAAACAAAAAATTGACCCGGCAGAACAAGCAGAAAATGAATGGAAATCTTACCAGGATGTGAAAAATGAAGTTATGCATTTTATGGGTCCGTGTCAGTCTTGTGGAGCTATTTGTGAAACTAGAATGAAACCAACAGGTTTCTAATTTTAATTAAAACTGAGGAGGTCATAAACTTTAAAAATGAAAATCTGAATTTAATAACTTTTGATCTTCCCTAGAAAAGGCCTAAAATAGCTGTTGATGTTTTTAAGTTTTGTTCTGAGGGTAATCGTTAAGTTGTGGAAATGAAAGCTTAGAATGATTGCTGGCGAATATTCGGTTTCCATGGACCTTAATCTTTACTTTTTAAGGACGATTCACCTAGAGCATTTAAAACGCTTAGGCGGGGGTTAAACGATCTAAAAGGACAAAGGAGAAATTATTAGGCAATGCCTCCGGTAGCTAGAGCTCCTGTATATGGTGAGTGAAAGCTCCTAGCAATAACTGTCATGAGGTCACAGGTTCGATCCTGCCTGTTGGCTAAACTCTTCTAAACTCGTTTTCTTTTACTCCCAGAATCCCATATAAACTTAATGCCCTTTTATAATCAAATATTGTTTTTTTTTACAATGGGCATTATATGTGCAGGGCTTTAACAAAAATGCAAGACTAGTAAAGGCATAATTTTAATTGTGAAAAAATCGTGTTAGTAAGGTTTTGACATTGAAGGAGAGTCAAAAAAATTTTTAAATTTTTTAAGAAAAAATTTTTCTTTCAGATATTCCCTACTTCCAAACAGTAATAATAATGTCAACAGATTGTGATCGTTGTGGATTTAAATCAAATGATGTAAAAAGTGGTGGAGTAACACAAGATAAAGGAATTCGTCTTTCGCTTAGGATAAAAGAGGTTTTTTTCTAAATTTTTTTTTAATTTTTAAAAAATTTTTCTTTAAGCCTGTAGACTTAAAACGTGATTTACTCAAGTCAGACACTTGTTCTGTTCATATACCCGAAATTGACACTGAAGTTGGTGCTGGAATTCTTTGTGGAAGATTTACAACAGTTGAGGGTCTATTAATTGCTATTTGTGAACAACTTGAACGTCAAGCACCATTTTTTGTTGGTGATAGTTGTACTGATGAAGGAAGGAGAAAATTTGTTGAATTAATTGAAAGAATGAAAAAATTTGTTAAAATGGACGAAGAATGTACACTTGTGTTGGATGATCCTTCTGGGAATAGTTATATACAGGTTTGGGTTGAATTGATATTTTTGGGGATTTTGTAAGTTTTTGAGGAGAACCAAAGAAAACCTTCAATGTTTTATAGAGTGAATCCAAAAGAATTTTTAGGAAGGGCACAGGAGGCTTTTTAGGAATGATCCTTCTTCAGGTGCAATCCAGGAGAAACTTTCCGGGGAGAACTCTCCTTCCATTGAGATCTCTCCTCTGAGTGAGGAAACTCAAGAACCCTTTCAAAGAGGGTCCTCCTTACGGGGAGAACCCAAGAAATCTTTTAGATCTCTTTCCCGGGAGGACTTTTTTTCATAGGAAAGAAACCCTCCTTCCATGAGAACACAAAACACTTTCCAGGAAGAATCAAAAACAAATCTTTTTAAAATTTTCAAAAAAAATTTTTCTTTTAAGAGTCTTACAGCTCCTCTCATCGATGAAAGATTGGATAAAGAATTTTATACAAGAACTTTTGAACAAGATGATGATCTCGGATTGAATGATATGAGAGTAGATAATTATGAAAATCTTGGAGTAATTGAAGAAGAGGATAAGGAAGAGGGGGAGGAAATGGATGGGGAAAAAGATGAAGAGGATCATAATAAAAATTAAATTGTTAAATTGAAGTAAAAATAAATTTTAATTTTAATTATAATTTTGGGTGTTTCTTGGAAGAGTTTTAAATTCTCTTTAATATTTTTTTAATTTAATTTTTTAGGCTAATTTTCTTTTATTTTTTTAGAACTATACATTTTTTAGCTTTAATTTAATTGTAAAATTTATTTTGTTAGAATCAATATGAATGAGGCTACTTCAACCGGTGATAATAACCAGAACTTGAGGTTTTTAGTTTATTTTTTACCTTTTTTTTTATTTTTTAATTGTCAGCGTGATCGACATTTCAATGGATAGTTGTGAGTTTTGCAATTTGTATTTTTTATTTTAATGTTTCAATATTTAAGCTACTAGCGCGGAATCTCCAAACTATGCAGAATTGATAGAAAGATTGAAGCGTCAATTGCGTATTTTGGAGAGCGAAAATCTGGAATTTCGAAGATCAATCCCTCATCTGAAGGACTACAAAGGAGAAGACTGCACTAAATTTGTATTATATATTTTTTACTTGCTAGGGATTATTTGAAAATTTATTTTTTTAAAGGTCACTGGAAAATTAAACGAGCTGGAGGAACATAAAGGAAAATATAGAAGAGCAGTTGACGCAATGGCGGAGCTTAACAAACAATTTCAACATTTCAAAGTTGATGCGAATGAGAGAGCTCAGAAGAGTGAAAAACAGCTTTATGAGTTGAGGAAAATTGCTGATGCTCTTGAAAATGAGAATACCATGGTTTATTTTTTTATAAAAGCTTTTTGGGGTTAAGACATTAATCAAAGTCCCTAGGACAATCAAGGTGATGACCACGTGACTCATCAAAATCCCTTGGACAATCAAGCGGAAGACCCTGTGACTTTTCAAATCTTTCGGACAATCAGGGGGAAGACATCTTTGACTAATCAAATCCCTTGGACAATCAATGGGAAGGGACCCTTTGACTAATCGAGGATCCGAAAGACTTCTTGTCAAATGATTTTGGAGAATCAAGAAGAAACCTTTCTGATTAATCAAAGCCTTCTGGCATTCAAGAAGGGGATACTTTTTTTTCTTAATCTAAAATTGTTTTTTTTTGTTTAAGTTGCGAGATCAACTCGAAAACATGGATTCTATCGTCATTCTTCAACTTCAAAAGAATGCTTTTTCATCTGCCGAAAATTTAAATCGTTCAGCGGAAGAAGGACCAAGTCATACTAATAATATTAAGAAGGTTTTCTTTTCTCTTTTTTTTAGCAGCGCGTTGTAATGCCAAACGCCTGACCATACAAACATAATATGTATCTTCATACCACTTGGAAGGGTGTCTGACTTTGCTATTTAAATAATGCCCTGTTATCATGAAATATTGCCTTTTACAATAGGCATTATTTAATGCGCAGGGCTATAACAAAAATGCAAGACTAGTAAAGACATAATTTTAATTTTATAAAAATTATGCCAGAAATGTCTTGACATTTCAAAAATAATTTCCATCATAACATTGTCAACATATTGTTGATCGTCGTTGATTTGAAGATTTTGAGGCGTTTGGCAAGGGCGTAGCCAAGGGGGGGGGGGCTTCTGGGGCTAAAGCCCCCCCCCCCCCCCCCCCCCCCCGAAATGGGGAAAAGGGAAAAATTTTTTACAATAGGCATTATTTAATGCGCAGGGCTATAACAAAAATGCAAGATGCGCAGGGCTATAACAAAAATAATGCGCAGGGCTATAACAAAAATGCAAGACTAGTAAAGACATAATTTTAATTTTATAAAAATTATGCCAGAAATGTCTTGACATTTCAAAAATAATTTCCATCATAACATTGTCAACATATTGTTGATCGTCGTTGATTTGAAGATTTTGAGGCGTTTGGCAAGGGCGTAGCCAAGGGGGGGGGCTTCTGGGGCTAAAGCCCCCCCCCCCCCCCCGAAATGGGGAAAAGGGAAAAATTTGGGGAAGGCGTTGGGAAAAAAAAGTGAATTTTTTTGGCCTACGGCCTACGAATTTTAAAAAATTTTCGCCTGCGGCGCTGAAATTGAAGAAATCTGGCCTTTTGAGCTCCATAATTCAAAAAATTTTCGCCTGCGGCGCTGAAAAAGGAAGAAATCTGGCCTTTTGAGCTCCAGAATTAAAAAAATTTTTGCCTGCGGCGCTGAAAATCAAAATTTTTGGCGCCTGCGGCGCCAAAAAAGTGAAATTTTTTCGCCTGCGGCGTAAAAAATGGAAGAAATCTGGCTTCTTGAGCTCCAAAATCCTAAAAATTTTCGCCTGCGGCGCTAAAAAAGTGAATTTTTTGGCCTAAGGCCTTCTAAAATTCAAGAAATTTTCGCCTGCGGCGCAGAAAAGATGAAAATTTATGAACAAAAAAATTTGCGTCCGGAACGCCAAGGTAAACGCCAAAAATTTGGCGCCCACCCAGTGTTAGCCCCCCCCCCCCCCCCCCCGAAATCGACCCCCTTGCTACGCCCTTGGCGTTTGGTATTACGTACCTTTTATAAAAAATTCTTTTTTTTCAGTCATGTTCAAAATGTACAAACATTGAAAGAGAAAGAGATCGGTTAAAAACTCAACTTAATCGGGAAATTTCTTTGAAGAATGAATGTTTGGCAAGTAAAGATGTTTTGGACAAAAAGCTTCGGGAAGCTCACAAGACAATTGAAGAAATGAGACGTAAACAACTTGTTGTTTGTAATGATATAATTGAAAATGGACAAAATGACAGACGAACTGCTCTTCTCAATGATAGACCTGAAGGTTTTTTAAATGAATATATATTTTTGGGGTTAATTTAAATTAGGTTAGCACTCCGTCACCCAAAACTCCGACTATTTTTTGGCAAATGCCTCGACCCGACCACCGAAGGCTCTACCCTGGCAAACCCCAAAACCCGACACTCCCATCCTTGAAGGCTCGGGGTGCTACTCTAATTTAAAATCTTCATTGTGTCATGCTACAGCTGGCTAATGTTTTGTCCTATTGTCTTTGCCAAGATTACTCGGAACTTATATGGTTTGGGTACTCTTTTTTAAGCCACGCCCTTTTTTCCTTTTCCATCATCAATCAACCTTAATATGGACAGAATGGTCAGCCTTTCTTTCTTCCTCGATTTCACTCAATTTTACCTGTGGCATGTTTAATGAGTGACATAAACAAAGAAAAGATTAGTTTTTCTTTCCAATGTCATCCAAATAAAAATTAACATTTGAATCAATATTCTTATTTTCATCTATTTCTGTTATTTAAATGTCAATAAGTACCTGGGTTTGTGTTTTAGAACTAATGGACCGGTAATTTTGACCATTTCAACCCTTTTTAGACATTTTTGGACCCTTGTAACTCAGCTCAGAGATGTTATCACGGACCGATTCTGGTCTATTTATTCATTGACATCTTAAAAAATTGTAGATCTTAAATAGGGTTGGGGGCCGATCTGGCCCGTTCCGATAAAATTGTGGCCCAAAAAATGACTCGAACGTCGGCCCGACTCGAAAACCCACAGCCCTAATCTTAAACAGAAATTGACCTCAGCTGAATTGATTGATGGGTGAGAAAGAAAATGAGAGAGAGAAAATGAGTTAAGAATAATGATGGAAAAGGAAAAAAAGGGCGTGGCTAAAAAAAAGAGTACCCAAACCATATAAGTTCCGATTACTCAATCCTTCACATACCAGATATCTTGCTTTCCCGATTTATGAAAATAGTGAAATCCCAACGTTTTTTTGGATCGTAAATGAGGGCAATTTTGGAAAAGGGAGTAATTGTCCTCGTTTGTAAAAACCTATTTTGGAAAGGGGATTGTATTTTTGAACCTTTAAAACAAAAAATTAATTTTTCAAGTTCCTCCACCTTTTGAGACTCCACGAATTCGCAATGTCAACAATGAAAGGAATGCAAAAAGGCGACAAAGAATGGCTAACAGTATTGCTAGATCAGCAACAATTTGTATTCGAACACCTTTTGTTGAAAACAACAACAACAATAATAATAATAAAAATCCAAACAACAAGGTTGTTAAAATTCGTGAAAAGAATTTTGATGGTTTTAATAATATCCAACAAAAGAAGTCAGCTTTATCATTCTTTGTTCCGCTTGATGAGAATTTTCATTTAAACGATAGAAAGGTTTGTTCAATTTAATTTTTTTAATTTAAAATTTGTTAGCCCAGAGGGAATGTTACTTTTCTTATCGGAAGAACGTTTTCTGAAGAAGCTTATCAGAAATTTTTGGGAAATAATTTTCGACATTTTCTAAAGAGGCTTCCGAAAGGGGAATGTTTTTTTTCTTTTTCTGCCTTTGGTCATTCGCTTTTCGTCAAATTTCAACTAGTTTTTTGTCATGACTTTCTTGCTTCAGTCTTCTCCCGAATTCAGTTATTTTTGACTATTCCTTTTTTTAATTTTGTTTCGGTTTTTATTTCGCGTTTTATCATTCTTTGTTGTCTACATACTCATATTTTCGATTAATTTTGAATAATATTTTTTTTCTTTTTTTTAAAGGCTCAAATTCTCAGGGAGCGTTCTGAACAACGTTGGCGTGCAATTGAAGAAGCTTCTCGCAAACGAGTATATAATTTTTTAAATTATTAAAAATTAAAATTTAATTTTTTTAAAGGCAATAATAGCAGCTAATCGACGTGCTGTAGCATCTGACATCTTAACAAGAAAGCGTCAATTAGGTTTTGAAATTTTTGAAAAAAGTCTTGAAATTATTTTTTAATTTTTAAACAGATGATGAAGCAAAAAGAATTCTTGCAAAAGATTCTTCGTCAATTTGTGCATTCCCTAATTTATTGCGTCAAATGCGTACTGCTTCAAGACGGTTTTTTTTTTAATTTTTTATTAATTTTTAATTAAAAAAATTTTTTTAAGAAAATTTGAGGAATCCCCACACCGTCAAAAATTAGAAAAGGAAAGGCAAAAACAAATGTATCAGGATATAAATCGATTAATTGCTCATGCTTGTGCTAAAAGTTCTGGTTCTAAAACCCGTTGAAGTGGCTTTATTCTGAAGTATATATAATTTATTTTTTTTATAAAACCTGAAGCAAGAATATAAACTAGGGTTGCCGTTTTGAGTCGGGCTGACGTTCGAGGCATTTCTATCGGACTTCATTTTTTTCGGACCGGCGTTCGAGTCATTTTTTTCGGGCCGGCCTGACCGAGTCTTTTTCGGGCCAAAATCGATGTCCGCCTCGATCTTTCGGACCGGGCCGGCAACCCTAATATAACTATGTATAATTTTATAGACTATAGAATTTACCCCAAATTTTTTTTGTTTGTATAATTTCATGAATTTTACTTTAAGACATTTAAAAATAAAATTTGATTTAATTTTATACCTTTGTGTGTGTTTTTTGAAAGAGTTTTAAATTCTCTTACAATTTTTTTTACTTAAAAAAAATTTTTTTAATCAATTTATTTTTAGAACTATACATTATTTTAACATTAATTTAATTGTAAAAATTCATTTTGAAAAAATCAATGAATGAAGCTACTTCAACAGGAGATGATAATAACCAGAACTTGAGGTTTGTTAAGTTTATTTTTTTAACCTTTATTACTAGGGTTGGGGTTTCCAAGTCGGGCCGACGTTCAAATCACTTTTCCGGCCCTCATTTTCATCGGGCCGGCCTGACCGAGTTTTTCGGGCTAAAATGCGAAGCCCGTCTATATCTTTTATACCGGGCCGGATTGAGCCCTCAACCCTGTTTATTACTTTTAATTTTTTTTTATTTATCAGCGTGATTAACAGTTCAAAGGATAGTGGTGAGTCTTGCAGTTTGTATTTTTAATTTAATGTTTCAATATTTAAGCTACTAGCGCGGAATCTCCCAACTATGCAGAATGTATAGAAAGATTGACGCGTCAATTGCGCATCTTGGAGAGCGAGAATTTGGAATATAGAAGATCAATTCCTCATTTAAAGGACTACAAAGGAGAAGACTGCACTAAATTCGTAAATATTTTTGTTAAGGATTTGAATTGAAATTCTCAAATTTTTTTAGGTCACTGGAAAATTAAACGAATTGGAGGAACATAAAGGAAAATATAGAAGAGCAGTTGACCGAATGGCTGAGCTTAACAAGCAATTCCAACATTTTAAAGTTGATGCAAATGAAAGAGCTCAAGAGAGTGAAAAACAGTTTTCTGAATTGAGAATTATTGCTGATGCTGTTGAAGATGAGAATACCATGGTTATTTTTTTATATAAGATATTTGGGGTTAGGACACTAATCAAGGTCCACTGACACTTAAGGGGAGAGACATCTTTGATTAATTAATGTTTATAAAAACAATCAGACACCCTGACTGACCATAGGTCCTCTTGCAGTCAAGGGGAAGACATCTCTGACTAATTAAATTTCTCGGACAGTCAAGGGGAGATCTCGTCAAGGTTCTCTGACAATCAGTGGGAAGGCTCCTTTGCACTATTCAAAGATCCAAATACTCCTAGTTAATTGTTTTGGAGGATCACGGAGAAACCTTTTTGTTTGATCAAAGCCCTCAGACATTCAAGAATAGGATACTTTCAATCTAAAATTTTTTTTAAGTTGAGGGATTGGCTCAAAAACAAGGATATCATCATTCGACAACTTCAGAAGAGTGCTTTCTCATCTACTGAAAATTTAAATCGATCAGCGGAAGAAGGACCAAGTCATCTTACAAACAATAATAAGAAGGTTTTCTCTTTTTTTTTTTTATTAGTAGCGGCGTTGTAATACCAAACGTCCCCTCACCCTCTCAAGTTTATTTTTCGATTTTCTGTGTATTTTTATTTTTTGTATCGTTTTACAATTCTTGATTTACCGCCATAGTTTAAAATTAACGCCCTGTTATCATGAAATATTGCTTTTTACATTAGGCATTATTTATTGCGCAGGGCTACAACAAAAATTTCAAGACTAGTAAAGGCATAATTTTAGTCTTATAAAAATTGTGCCAGAAACGTCTTGACATTTCAAAAAATTTTTCATTATAATATTCTTCAACAGAGTGTGATCTTTGTTGATTTAACGGTTTTAAGGCGTTTGGTATTACTTACATTTTTTTCTTTTTTTTACATTTATTTAAAAAAATTCTTTTTTCAGTCATGTTCAAAGTGTACAAACATTAAAGAAGAAAATGACCGGTTAAAAATCCAACTTAATCGTAAAATTTCTTTAATGAATGAATGTTTGGCAAGTAAAGCTGATTTGGACAAAAAGCTTCAAGAAGCTCGTAAAACAATTGAAGAACTGCGACGTAAACAACTTGTTCTGTGCAATGATATAATTGAAAAGGGACGAGATGACAGACGGGCTGCTCTTCTCAATAATCCTCAAGGTTTTTTTAAATGAATAAATATATATGAATGGTAATCCCCTGAAACTCCGAATATTGACAAAAATCCCGAACTGAACTTCGAAGGTTCTATAACCGGAAAACCCTGAACTACACTCCCGCCCTTGGAGGTTCGAGGTGCTACTCTATTTAAATTTCTCATTGGGTCATGCTACAGCTCTCTGTTTTTTACTATTGCCTTTTCCAAGATTAATCTTTCACATACATACCAAATATCTTGCCATCCCGGTTCCTGAAAATATTGAATTCCCAACGTTTTTTTGGGATCGAAAATAAGGGCAATTTTGGGAAAGGGAATATTATTTTTGGTTGTAAAATTCTGTTTTGTAAAAGAAATTGTATTTTTGGACATTTTAAAATGATAAAAAAAATTTTAATTTTCCAGTTCCTCTTTTTGAAACTCCACAAATTCGTGATGATTTAATCAACAATGAAAGGAATGGAAAAAGGCGACAAAGAATGGCTAACAGTATTGCTAGATCTGCAACAATATGTATTCGAACACCTTTTGTTGAAAACAACAACAACAACAATAATAATATTGAAGGTCAAAACAAGGTTATTAAAGTTCGTGAAAAGAATTTTGATGGTTTCAACAATATTCAACAAAAGAAGTCGTCTTTATCCTTTTTTATTCCTCTTGATGAGAATTTTCATTTGAACGATAGAAAGGTTTTGTTTTTAATTTTATTTTTTAACTAGATAGGGGACTAGAATAAGACCAAAAAATTTGAAGACCTATACCTTTTTGAATTCGTGGTCAGGTCCAAAAAATACAAAAATTGGCAACATGTTGTTGTCGACCATGCTCTAAACGATGATATAATTTTTATTTGAAAATTTCTTGGTCACAGTTCGATAGGGTCCCTCGTTTCTGATCTTCGGTTATCCATTGGGGATTTTTTTATTCTTACACTTTCGACAAATTTTATCTAAAATTTTTTTTTTGACTTTTTTGCTTTAGTCTTTTCCTTAATTTTGTCATTATTGACTATTCTTTTTTTTTTAATTTTGTTTGGGTTCTTATTTTGCCGTTTCATCATTCTTTGTTTTCTACTTATATTTTTGTTTAATTTTTTTTCTTTTTTAAGGCTCAAATTCTCGGAGAGCGTTCTGAACAACGTTGTCGTGCAATTGAAGAAGCTTCTCGCAAACGAGTTAAAAATTTTTTTTTGATTTTCTAGAATAAAGTAAAATTTAATTTTTTTTAAAGGCAATAATAGCAGCTAATCGACGTGCTGTAGCATCTGACATTTTAACAGGAAAGCGTCAATTAGGTTTATTTTTTAAAGGAAAATTTTTTAACTAATTTTTTAATTTTTTTTTAAATAGATGATGAAGCCAAAAAAATTCTTGCAAAAGATTCTTCCTCAATTTGTGCATTCCCTAATTTATTGCGTCAAATGCGTGCTGCTTCAAGACGGTTTTTAAGAATTCTTATCAATTTTTAATTAAAAAAATTTTTTAAAGAAAATTTGAGGAGTCCCCACACCGCCGCAAATTAGAAGAGGAAAGGCAAAAACAAATGTATCAAGGGATAAATCGAATAATTGCTCATGCTGGTTCTGGTGCTAAAAAATCCGTTAAAGTGGCTACAATCCGTTGAAGTGTCTTTATTCTGAAGTATATATAATTTATTTTTTTTAACTTGAAGCAAACAAATATATTAACTGTGAATATTTTAGACTATATTAACAACTTTTTTAGATGTATTTTTATGTATTTCACTTACAGACATTTAAAAATAAACTTGAATTTAAATAAAATACAAGAAAATAAATTTGAAATACAAAAACCAGCATTTCGAAAATCAAGTTTTAAATTAATTCTGATTTTGTGTATCTTTCCGGAAAAGCTTTTAAATATACTTCCGGAAAATTGTGTTTTTAAAAACATACATGTTTTATTTAAATTCTGATCTTAAAAATAAACAAAATCAGAATTTTTTAAAGTATAAAATCAGAATTATGCATGTTTTAATTAAATTCTGATTTGTATTTTTCCTAAAAATTTCTGAAAATACAAAAACCAGAATTTTTTACGGAAAGTTGTCTTTTTAAAAACATACATGTTTTATTTAAATTCTGATCTTAAAAATCAGAATTTGTTTATTAAAAACACAAAACTTGAAACACAAAACATTAATAAAAACATTCAAGTTATATAAAAACACTAAAAACTTGAAACAATAAAGTTGCTGTGTATTAAAACTTTTTTTACACAACTTGTTTTTGAAAAATGTTTTTTCCGGTCCATTTGCTTCATATTTTCAATAAATGAGGTAATTGCGGGATTTGAGTATAATAATCCGCATCAAAAATTTTTTTTTGAAATTGGGCAGATTTTAGTAAAATAAAAATAATAGAATGTCTCCCTTTTTTTTCAAATAAATTTTTTTTCTAAATTAAAATGAAAACAATTTTACCTTCTGATATTTGGATAGCAGATTTATTATTTTTACGTTCAAATCGGTCTTTAATTTATACAGAAAATGGGTAGGTTTTTATTGATTTAATTTTAAATTGAGAATTTTAGGGAACCTTTAATTACTGTTAAGCCACTGGAATTGAGTCAATTATATGAACAACTTTGTGGTTATTTGGGTTGGCTTATGATTTACTTGACTGCTATTATTTTAAACTTTTTGCTGCTTATCCTCTCACTTTTTGGAAAAAGACAAATACGACATAAAAATAAGTTTTATTTTTAATTGTATTTTTAAAGTTTTGTGTTTTTGTATTTTTGTTTTTAAAAATCAGAATTTATTTAAAACATGAATGTTTTGTTTTTAAAAATCAGAATTAGTTTAAAACTTGAATGTTTTGTTTTTAAAAATCAGAATTTATTTAAAACATGAATGTTTTGTTTTTCTGCAAGTAAATCAGAAGTTTGTAAGCTTTTCCGGAAAAATACATTACTAAATCAGAATTTATTTAAAACAATAATTCTGATTTTGTATTTTAAAAATTCTGATTTTTGTGTTTTATGTTTATTTTTTGTATTTTTTCAAGTTTGTTTTTGTGTTTCATGTTTAAGTGTTTCTTGCTTTTATATTTTTCAAGTTTAGTCATTTTTTTATTTTTTTCAGGTAGGTCACAATTCCTCATTGGCAATTTAGCTGCCTGCAACATTTGTTTAGCGTTGGGATTATTTGTTTATACATTTTTAATTGATGTTTACTACCATGTGGATTCTTTCGATACCCTTTTACTTATTAATGGTGGCCAAGCTTCTTCAAAACTGCCTCGGTTTGCTAAGGAAATTTGGAGTGTTGCTAAAGTTGGTTTAAATTTAACATTTTCCGGAAAAACACAAGAGTTTATTTTACTAATTTTCCGGAAGAATTAAATAAGTCACAACATTGTTTTAAACATTTTCCGGAAAATACATATATATCAGAATTTTACTATAATAACTTTCCGGAAAAACACGTATGAATCAGAATTTATTTTAAACAATTTCCTGAATGTTTTAAACTTTTCCGGAAAACATTAAATAAACATTGCACATTTAAACTATTCCGGAAAAACATCTTTAATTGTTTTTCCGGAATTTAAATCAGAATATTATTCAAACATTTTCCGGAATGTTTTGTAAAAATCAGAATAATTGTTTCTGTGTTTGTGTTTTTTGTATTTTATTTGTATTTTTTTGTATTTTTCAGTTTTTATTCCATACAGAACTTGTAGAACAATTCTTTACTGTACAACAACTTATTATTTTACTCGCAGCAATATATTCTTATTTTACAATTTTCTTCAATTACAACAACAATTATTATTATTTTTCAAATTATTATGCTTTCTTCAATATTGTAGCTGTTGTTGGTCCTTATTTATTTTCTTTTGTTTTGCTTGACAAGTATATTTTGCAGCAATGGTTTTGTTTGACTAAAAGTGCTGCTAATGTTGTTAGGTGGGTTGAAAATTTTTTTTAAATTTTTGCTTCGTGTTTTTGCTTCAGTTTTTATTTTATTTCGGATTTTTTTTTTGTTTTAAACAAATTTTTAATTTTTTTGCTTTAACTTTTGCTTCAACTTTTATTTTTGCTTCAATTTTATTTTTTTGCTTCCACTTTTTTTTAATTTCAAATTTATATTTCTTGCTTCAAATTTTGTTTCTGCTTCAGTTTTCTTTTTTTGTTTCAAATTTTCATTTCTTGCTTCAGTATTTTTTCCTTGCTTCAACTTCGTGTTTTGTCTTTCCTTTATTGTTTCTTCATATTTTGCTTCCATCAGTTTTAATAGCTTTAGTTCTTGCTTCAATTTTCTAGTTTGTTTGTTGCTTCATGTTTCGCTTCAGCTTTATTTTTTACTCTTTTTTTGCTTCAACTTTCGTCTAATTTTTTATTTTTGTTTCTGCTTCAGTTTTAGAATTATAATTCTTAAAAATTATTTTTTAATCATTAGACTTGCTTCACTATTTTTCCCAATGATAATTTCACTTGTATTCTCAACCAGCAGTTTATTCACAATTTCAAAACAACGCCAAGAAATTAAACAAAATTTTGGCAAAAATTATTTTTCTGATCTTTATTCCTTTATTTTTACATTTTTTATTGTAATTTGGATTGATTTTATTTCAAAAATTGGAATTTTTATTGAATTACTTTATGTTAATTTTTCTGTTCGAATTGTACTTGGAGAAGATGATGAGAAGGATTTTAATTTTAAAATTGAAACATTTTTGGCTAAATTGTTTGAGGTTAGGGAAAATATATATTCTTGGTGAAACATGCTTCAAACACCTTTTGAAATCTGTTTCAGAGTTTTTTTAAAAAAATGTTTCAGGTTGTTGAAGCATGCTTCAGATAATTATTCTCGCTCTTTGAAACATGCTTCTGATTTTTTAAAAATGTTTCAGCTTTTCTGAAACATGCTTCAGATTAAAAAAAATACTTTAGATTTTTTGAAACATGCTTCAAGTTTTTTTGAAATATGTTTCAGATTTTTTGTAGCATGCTTCACCTATAATTTTCTCGTTCCTCCCGAATTTATTTTCCAAATTTTATTAATTTCTTTAAAGCTTTCTCATTGGTTATTACAACTTTCACCTCTATTACAATCATTATTTTGTCTTTTTGGTGTTTCATTTTATCGTTTACAACTTTGCTCAATTTTACAAAAATTTTTCTTTTGTTTTTGTTGTTGTTGTCAACATTCTAAACTTGATTATTCTTCTGAAACTTTGCGTTCAATTCTTGCTGAACAAACAAAAAAGCGTCAAATGAATAGAGGAAAGAATTGAAAAAAATATTTTTTAATTTAAATTGTTTAATATTTTTTGAAGCATAAAAAAGTAAAGTTGAAGCAAAAATAAAAGTTGGAGTGAAATTCTGAAGAAAAAAACTAAGCAATAAACACGAAAAATCAGAATGTTTTATAAAACTTTCCGGAAAAATCAGAAATGTTTTTACAACAATTTGTGTTTTTGTGGAAATGTGTTTTTTTATAATTCTGATGTTTTTCCGGAATGTTTATAAAACTTTCCGGAAAAATCAGAAATGTTTTTACAACAATTTGTGTTTTTGTGGAAATGTGTTTTTTTATAATATATAATTCTGATGTTTTTCCGGAATGTTTATAAAACTTTCCGGAAAAATCAGAAATGTTTTTACAACAATTTGTGTTTTTGTGGAAATGTGTTTTTTTTATAATTCTGATGTTTTCCGGAATGTTTTAAAAACATTCTGATTTTTTATTTCTGTTGCTTCTGTGTTTTAATAAAAACACAATCCAACTTGTTCTGATTTTAAATGTTTTTGTGTGTTTTTAAGTGTTTCGCGTTAATTTTGTGAGTGAGGGAATATTTTTACAACGTGTTTTATTTTTATTTTTTAACTTTAAAAAATTGTAAAATTAGTCCAATATTTTTTTGTATTTTGTACAAATTTGTGCAACCTTTTTTATTTTTAAAAATATTTAAAAAAAGTGTTTTTACGGTTTGGGAAAGTGGAAGAAAAATTAAGCTAATTTAAACATGTTTGTATGTGTGTATAAGTTATTGCTAAAAATAGCAAAATCAGAAATTCTGAAAGAAATTCTGAAATTTTATTTTATTAGTAAGGGGAAAAAGAAGATAAAAAATATAAAAAAATTTTTTAAATGTTCATCGACCACCCAAATAAAAACAAAAACAATGGACATATAGGGAAATAAATAAACAAAAACAAAAAATACCCTCAAGGCACTTAGTTCCTTTTTTGTTTAATCCGATGAGTGACTAATTTTTAATTTAATTATTTACCAAAAATAAATGTGGTAGTTGTACAGGGTGTTTCAACTAAGAAATACTATTGGTTTGGTAAAGATTAAAAAAATTTAATTGGGACATGAAGCAAATTTTATAAAAATTTTAAATTTAATATAAAGTAAGAATATTTTGCTAAAAAATATTTTTAATCATTTCTGATATTTTTCAAAAATATTTCACCAAAAATCAATGAAAAATCCTTTTACAATTTGTAAGGACAAAATGTTGTGTTTGTTGTTTTTGTTGTTGTTGTTGTTGTTGTTGTTGTTTATGTTTGTATTTTTCCTATAAAATGCTTTAAAAATATTTGGTATAAGTTACCTATTAAACACAAAAAACAGAGAGGTTTACAAACTTTCCGGAAAACACAAAAAACCAGAACAGTTTTAAAATGTTTAAAAGAAAAAGTTTGAGCTTTATGTTTGGTTGTTCTTGTGTTTGTGTTTTTCCTATAAAATATTATTTTAAAAACACGTTGTTTCATTTAAAGTTTTCCGGAATTTCTAATTTTTGTATTTTCAGGAAAGTTGTAAAACTTGTTTGGCTTGTGTTTGTGTTTTCCTATGTTTTTCTATATGTTTGTGTTTTTCTTATAATTTTTTAAAACACGTTGTTTTATTCAAAGTTTTCCGGAATTTCTGGTTTTTGTGTTTTTCTTATAATTTTTTAAAACACGTTGTTTTATTCAAAGTTTTCCGGAATTTCTGGTTTTTGTGTTTTTCTTATAATTTTTTAAAACACGTTGTTTTATTCAAAGTTTTCCGGAATTTCTGGTTTTTGTGTTTTTCGGAAGTATGACTAAAAACATTACAGTTTTGTGTTTTGTTGTTGTTTCCAAGTTGGTGTTTTTGTATTAAAATAATTTTCAGAATAAAATCCAAACATTTTATTAATTAAATTTTGATTAAAAAATAAAAAGTTGTTGTTGTTTTGTTTATAATAAGTGAATAAGCGTTTCGCAAAGAAAATTTCATATAATTCAGCTGGGAATGAGGGGTCGTGTATATTAATGCTTATTGACATTGTTTTCTTGTATTTTTTTATTTTACATAGTACGTAAAAATGAGGAAATTTTTTTTAAGTTTAATTTTTGGGAAGAAATTGCTTCAGTTTCTAGGCGTTTATGAGAAAATGAAACTTTTTTTGGGTACCTTTTTAATTAAAATTTTAAAATTTCCTATTTTTTCAATCACGAGGAGAAATTGGAAAAAATATAAGAGAAATTGGAAAAAAAAATTTAGATTATTTTTTAATTTAATTTTAAAACGGAAATTAATGAATGGAGCAAAATTAAATTTTTTTGGAGTTTAAAAATGTAGAAAAAAATTTTTTTTAATTGTTTTAAAATTAAATTTGTGAATAAATATAAATTGAGAACAAAAATAACGGGTGATTAATTTTTTTAAATTTAGTTAGAAGGGGAGAGAGAGGAGGGAGTAAATATCGCCGCAAGGCAGATGTTCCTTACACTCTATTTTTCTTTTGTTTTGTGTGTTTCTTTTAAAATATTTTAATTGTTTTGTTGAATTGAAATTTAATTTGTTTGGACGTGTTTTTAAAATTTAATTTTTAATTTAAAAAAGTTTGTAAAGGGAAAAGGGAATGTTTGTTGGTTTATAAATGTTTTCCGGAATGTGTTTAGGAGGAGTATTTGTTTTCCGGAATTTGTTTGGAAAGAACATGTTTCTGTAAATTAAAATATTCTGATTTTTGTGTTTTTTCCGGAATAGAGAAAAAGAAAGATAAAGGAATGTTTTTAAGAGTTTTCCGGAATGTTTTTAGAAAATTCTGAATTTGTGTTTTTCTGAAATGTTTTTGGGAAGAGTTGTTTATGTTTCTGTAAATTAAAATATTCTGATTTTTTGTGTTTTTGTTGGAATGTTTAATTTATGTGTATTTTCCGGAGAGCTGTAAAAATCAGAATAAAACTTATTTCTTTCCGGAAAGTTCTGATTTGTGTTTTATTTTAAGTTGTTTTAAGTTGTATTTTCCGTAATGTGTTTGGAAGGAACTACTATATTACCATTATTAAAGTATTGATCGATTAGAACAAGAGGGCTCTGAAGAGACCGATTATTGGGTTAGAGAAGTCGGAGAAAAAATTTCTTCTCTTCCCATATAATCGGTCTCTTCAGGCTCTCTTGTTCTAATCGATCAATACTTTGTTAACCCAATCCTATAGGAGGTTGTGGGGGTTGAATGGAGTAGTGCGGGGGATAAGTAAAGTGAGGGCGATTCTGAAGCGATTCTGAGGGTGATTCTGAAGCGATTCTGAGGGCGATGCCGAAGCGATTCTGAGGGCGATTCTGAAGTGGTTCTGAAGCGATTCTGCAGCGATTCTGAAGGGAAACTGAAGCGATTCTGAAAGGATTCTGAGGCGATTCTGAAGGCGATTCCGAAGTCGATGCTGGGTGATCAAAAGTATTGCATCAGAATCCAAAAGGTATCAAATATGGCCTGAGGAAATTCTTGACACGCGGGTGGCTGTAGCCTGAAGCGGGGGCCGTGTCGAGTCGGGCCGGCGGGCAATCAATCGATAATTTATTTTGAAAAAACTTTTGGCCCTCAACCCACCCGCACTCAGGGCCCGTAGAATAAATTCGGGGTTAGGTTACTCGAGTAACTTTTCCCCCACAAAACGAAGAAAAGAGAAAAATCCTTGAACAATTTGTAATCGTATCCTATTATCCTAGTGGGGGAAGGGGGGGTAATGCGTTTCTGTGCAATAATTATTTTTTTGGGGGGCATTGAACATGCTTGCTCATAACAAAATCATTATTTTTTTCTCTAACAACTACATACATATATTCTCAAATTCTAACCTTTTTTATTAATTTTTTTCACTATCCGTGTCATAAAAATAGATAGAAATTTTTTTACTCGTTTTATTTTTTTATATTAAATAATTTTTTTATTATAGGGTATACCTATAACCTAAATTTTTGGATTTGATGTTGACTTGAACATCATTAAATAATTCAAGGTTAATTTATTAATATTTTAAAAATAATTATCTTTTTTTAATTTTAGTAGCTGTGTGGAGTGGCTAGAGAACAAGGATTTACTTGTGGGATAAAACGTATTGAAATTAAACTATAAAAAAGTATTTTTTTGAAATTATTTTTTAGATGAAATTGCCTAATTAAAGACTGGATTTAAATATGAAGTCCGTTTTAGCATATTGACTGAAAATAGTAAATCGGAAACCCTTATTATTTAATAGAATTAGTTTGGCCCTTAACTGACAATAATGAATTAAATCCTAATTTTATTTCACCCAATCGCCAAAATTGATGTATTTTTCTCTTCCGATTCTAGTACAGAATTAGCTGGAACTGGATTTCAAGTATATTATTTTAAATATAATTATTAAAAAAATTTTTCAAGGCTAAGCTTAGAACAATTAATTCTGATTGTGGAGGAGCTTTTTTTTTTGCCGGCCAAGAATGGTCTATGTTAGTTTTGTTTGGATGAATTATATATTGTTTGGATGAATTTCTGGAACTTCGTGATGCTGGGGGCTTTAACTGAATGTCAACATCCTGCTTATACTACAGAACCATTACAGGGAAAAAGGAAAGAACTATACGTACAGGTGGTGATAATTTCAGTAATTGTTTAAAAGGATAGGGGAAAAGGATTTTCCCAAGTCATATTATTTTTTTAATAAGTGATTTTCTTTAGATGGATTAATGTAGTTCCCTCGAAGCTTATTTAATTCCAAAATCAATTTATAAATAAAAACACTATTTATTCCTGATATTTCCCTTTAATTTATTCAGGAACCTCAATGCTACATTTCAAGTACTTCAGTTATACAATTAACTGCTTCTGTTCTTCAAAGCCAATTCTCTACCAGTTTTCGTTTCGAACTTTTTCTGCTTGCAATCGAAGTATTGAATTCGATGGAAATGGTTAAAGATTTTCACGATTTGTTAAAAATTAATTTTTTCTATTTAGTTCCCGAGGGTGTTTCATTAGCTTCTGGACGTATT